AAGAAAAGAAAGATGAGAAAAAAGATGATAAGAAAGATGATAAGAAAGATAAGAAAGATGATAAGAAAGATGATAAGAAAGAAAAGAAAGATGAGAAAAAAGATGATAAGAAAGATGATAAGAAAGAAAAGAAAGATGATAAGAAAGATGATAAGAAAGATAAGAAAGATGATAAGAAAGATAAGAAAGATAAAAAGAAAGATAAAAAGAAAGAAAAGAAATAGGAATAAGAAGAGGAAGGAGAAGAAGAAGGTGAAGAAGAAACTTATGAAGATAAGAAATTTAGATCATGCATTGATGAGAAATGTGAAGCATAAACTAAAAAATGTAACCAGACTTGCAATGCACAATTAGAAGAATGCAAAGATATAGCTTATGTTTCTGGTTATGAAGCTGTAAGAATATAAATTAATTATAGTATATGGAATGCATAGAGGAAAATGATCCTGCAAAAGAACTACTCGAATGTGTTTAATCTAAATGCATGTGATCAAGATATTTTACATTTAAATATATTCATATATAATATTTAATTAAAATAATAAATAAGATTTTTAAAGTAAACTAACAGTTCTAAGAAAATATATGATTTGGTGTGTATAATTAAAATATAGCACAAATACAATTAATAGATTTATTTGTCAGAACTACAATCTTTTTATTTTTTTTTTATATTTAAAGTAATAAATAATGCAAGCTATACAATTGCAATGGCACAATCAATTAGACTACAAAGAAACTTTCTATCTATAAGTTGAATGATTGGAGTATTAAATTTGGTGAATTAAATCAGAAATATAATAAAAAGAGATAAAGAAATTTATGATGTTTGAAGATGTAAATACTTAAGGTGTTGGAAAGCCAACCTAATAATAGCAGGCAGAACTTGAATAAAGTAAAAAAGATAATACAAATTCAAATGCTGATCAAGTAAATTTGAAAAAAAACTGATTAATGTAAAGCGGAGACAAAAGGTGAATAAGAAAATGACAAAAAAAATGAGTAAAAATCAAAACTGAAAAAGGAGTAGAAGAAAAATAAAAGGAAGATAATATAAAAAACCAAGATAATAAAAGCAATATTGAAAGGGAAGAAGTTACTAGAAAGCAGCTAAGGCGAAGAATCTGCAGAATTCAAATAATATTTATAAAGTAATTTATGAATTAGATGAATGCATAAAAAATGGAAATTTGCAAATCTGTTGCTGAATGTGAAGGTATTTCAGAATTAAATATTTATTTCATTTCAGTATTAGATCTCATATTTATTCATTAATAATAATAGTTTAGATCAATGAATTAATGATGATTGATTTAATTGCTTGGAATGTATTTTAAAATGATTTATTTTAAATATATCTATAATTACCAATATGTTATTTTTGATTATTCCATCATTAAAAATATATCAGCTTAATATTATTATTATTTAGAATATTTAATTAATTTTAATAAAATGGCTAATAACTCTGAAGAAGATTTGTAAACTTAAATGTAGTAGATTACAGAAAATGGAATATTGAAAAATATTGAAAATATATAGCTAAAGAATAAAGTTCTCTAAAGTCTTTAGTTGAAGAGAGTTTCAAAATTAACATTAATTGGAATTGATATAAGTAAAAGAATTGAATTAAAATAAGTTCTTGATTTAAAGTTTCGAGGTGGATCTACCCAATTAAAAGATAAATACTCAAAAACCTATGTTAAGCTGTTTGCTTAATTACCTTAACCAAAAGATGAGATTATAAATTACATCCTTTTTTTAATCACTTATAATATTCATTGGTATTTATGGAAAGACCCATAATACAAAGAATAAGTGAACATTAGGTAGATTTTCAAAATATTTGAAGATTTGTATACGATTGCTATCACATCATGATATTTTATTCAAACGGATTATATGTTTCAGATGCATATATAAAAGGATAAATAGATAAAATTTTCACATCTAAATTTTTAGAATATGAGAGAATTCAAGATCAGATTATAATGTAGAAGAAATTGGAATAAAAGCGAAAAGCTTAAGAAAAAACATTTTTAGGCAGGAAGCTTATGTTTCCAAATTTATCAGGAGATGGATTAACATTTGCGAAACATTTAAGTGAGAAATTAAAACCTCAAAAAATAGTAAGGAAGGATTCAACAAAAATTGAATAATATGATGATCAAAACGTATAAGTATCAGCTTAAACTAAATATTTACTCTCTCATCTTTAACTGAATGTAAATTAGGTTTCTCCTTCAGTGAAATTAGTTTTACATATGAATAAACCTTAAGTACCATTTTCAAGACCAAAGATGCTTTAGCATAATTTTGAGAAATCAGATGAGAAATTGAAATTTGTTGGTTTACTTAATAATTAACCTTAAATTTAGAAAAAATAAGATATAAAATATACTTAGAATATACTAGATAAATTTAATTTAAGAGCTCCTCCAAAAGAATATTATTAAAAATTTGCAAAAGTAGATCCATTATTTAAAGAAATGTTAGAATTGAATTATGTTCTAAACAACCATTAAGAGAGTCTTCATGATTTGTATTAATTTAAAGAATTGGGATAATATGAAGTTTAGATTCCTTTATCTGAAGAATCTCCATAAGAGTAATAAATACAATAGAAATCATAATTTGATTCTCCTGAGGATGGAACTAACACATAACCACCTCAAATAGAGTAACCTTAAATATCTATAGCATAAATTTAGGGAGAGTAAAACTTCAAAATTACAGATTCATTAAATATTCATGATCAAAGATTATAGTAATAGAAATAAAATGTTCCACTTTATTAATCAAAATAAAAAGAATATAAATAAAAATATGATAGATTTATTTAATCTGAAAGCACAGATAATAAAATAAATAGTATATATGTTGATCTTTAAAAGAAATAGCATGTATTGATGAATCATCATCATAAAAGTTCAAGAAGAAAATGAATTATATATAAATATAAATATATTATAATAATCTTTATTTTAAAAGTGTTTCATATGTATTAAGAATTGAATTACCTAAATAATACACAAAAAGACAATGGCTGAGGGCCATTTGTTGTCTAGTTAGTGTGGATATAATATATATTAACGCTTTAATGATTTAATCTCTAATTGTGAATATTGTCAAACTGAAATCTCTAGATTGAAATTCTGGAATTTTAATGAGATGGTTCGGGATTTGGAAGAGAAGGACAATTGATTGAAATTTATGAGTATATTATTCATATTTTTGATTAATTATTAAGACAATTTTGTAGAGCTAAGAATAAACATTTACTTTAAAATCCCATTTATATCAGTAGTTGGGCGGAGCGACAACAACTAGAGGAGGACGAATTTATCACAGAATCGAAGGAGATATTGGCAATCAAAATCAACCTTTTAGAGCTCAACAGAGGGCAATCTATTAAGTTAATTATTAAATGTCCTATCACATAGACAACAATCTTATTAATACACTTTTATATATAAATTAGAACATTATTAATATATAATTTATGGGTTGTTAAATATTTAATATAATGAATATTAATCAATCATAATATAGTTTCGAGAATGAGAAACTTAAAATTAAAATCAAATATCTTGAGGATTTTATTGAGAATACTAATAATTATGAGAAAACTAATTAGCTTTTTGATCTCAAATAATTTCTATCCAAAAATTATAAAAGATTTAGCATGCTTTTAGATGAAATATACTATCTAAAATAATAAGTTGAAGGAGAGTAAATGCAAAGAATTAATGAAGCACAAAAGTTATAGTCAGAAATTAATTAACTTAGAATAACTACTAGTTCACTTTAATAATAATTGTCTTAATCATAACTATAATAATAATAATAATAATAATAACAATAATAACAATAATAATAATTATAACAATAACACTAAATTGATGAAAGCGAATATGATGTTTATAGAGGATCTCTTAATCCTATTTAAAAGTTAGAGTAAATAGAAAATCTTGAAAATACTATCAAATAATTGTCTGATGAGGTATAAAATAAATTTAATTAGATAGAGGAAATTACACAACTCAATATCAAACAAAGAGAATAGTTAAAAAAGAAAGACTTTTTCAGAGAATATGAAATGATGTGCAAAGAAACAGAAGGATTACGTTAATAGAATGCAAAATTGCTTGAATAATTAAAAGCTTTCAATTCTAACAGAACAAATACCAATCCACAAAATTAAGGAAACATGAATGGATTTTGAGTAACATTTTTCTGCATATCTATATAAGTAATAAATATAACAGCATCATTTATATACTTTTGTTGCCTATGAATATTCTGATCTTGCCTTATATTCTTATGGTTTAGGTTAAGACTCTTAAGGCTTTCTTTACTACTACAAACTCTCTAAATAAACCTTCTATTATTCAATCTCTTCTCTTGTTAAACCCAAAGCTAAATAATCTATTTCATCATCAACAGCTTTTGATATTTGTCTATAATTATTTAAAACTAACTATACTATTATTTTTATTGTTATTATTAACTATATTGTCTATGTAAATATTAATCTGACTGCTTTTTGTCAAAACCCCTATTGTCTAATTATTTATTTTCATAGTATTTATTTTCTTATTATCTATTCATATAGGTATTCGGATCATATTATCGATGCTCGTCCACCTTTCTATCTGGATATTTTTATTAATTAGAAAATTAATTAGCATATTTATCAGTAAGTTTTTCTTATTAAGGATATGCATTCCTAATTTCTTCATTACCAGAAGCTTATCTTTTAATATTATTTGTTGTTGGCTAAAGAGGATACTCTTTAGGTTTACTTTTTTGCTCTGCCACAATTTATTACTATTAACTAAAATTATAATATTATTATGGAATTTTTTTATTTTAAGAATGATGATCTGTTCTAGTTTCAGCTGGTTTATCATACTTAATAATAGGTTATCTTATCTATTAAGCTTACTATTAATATTAAGCTTAGGATGGTTATTATAATTATTATTATTAACTAAATGGTAATGATGGTTTTTCAAAACCAAAAATCTCATGCTTTGCTTAATATTTTTATTAAGGTCTGCTAACTTCTACTTCAGGTTGATATTTATATTTCTAATCCTAATACTTATAATCAGGTTTAGGTAGATGAACATTTTATTAAGGTTATTATTAAATTTATCTATTTTCAATTGGTTTTTAAGTTGGTAATTTTTCTTAAATTATTTCTTTTGGTTTAGGAGGAACACATGTAGATGTATGTTTATTTAATTCTCTAATCATAATATATTATTTGCAAATATCACATTTTTCTGTTCTACTACCACAAATATTTTCATGCTAAAATATTTAATCTTTTGTTTAATCTAATCCACAATGAATACATTAGACTGGCTATTTAAGGCATTTTGTATGTTTCGAAATATCTAAATAAATTGTATACAGTACCTTAGAATATTTCTTTACAAAACTCACAAGCTGTACCTTTATGAAATTCTTCTTCATGAGATTAAGGATCATTTTTATCATAAAATTATCTGCATCTCTTACATTCGATATTATTACGAATGCAATAGATTTCATGCAATGCAAATACTGATTCTGCAATTTGAGCTCTACAGTTTGAACACTATTATGTCTGTTGGGACATTATTTTTTAATTAAAATAATCGTTGGTTAGAATTTTATAATGAGAATAGGACCTATAAAGATCAAACTTAAACCATTACTTGTTTTTACTCCATTATTTTGTGCACCCTTAGTCTTATACAATTGGTATGAATATCGAAAGTTGAATCTTGAGTTTAAGTTGAAAGAAGATGAAATAGTTCTCTAAGCACAACTTAAAGCTAATAAAATATCAGAGAAATCATTTCCTACTATATATTTTGATCCATACAATCAGTATTATATGGAAATGGAAAATTTAGAAGGTTAAATAAAAATATTTGTTTTTTCTGATTAATCAACATATAGAAGGTATTTTTACATTCATTTTTAGAATTTATTCTGTTTTGAAACAAAATCTTAATAGATTTCAGATAAATTACTATAATGTTATAGCATAAAAACAATTTGATACAAGTTTAGTACCAAGTAATTAAAAATCTCAAATGCTTACGATTGAAAATGAAATCGAAAATTAATTGATAGTTACATACAATAATGAGATTATATTTTCAGATAAGTTGATGGAAAGATATGATAAATAGTTGTAGATAATTGAAAGATAAATTGCAAAGATGATTGAGAAGGAATTTTTGAGTAAAATAAAATTTTGAGTTATTATATATATAATATATATAATAACTCTTTAAAAATTAATTAATTTTAAGAGTAGATTTAAATTGTTTATTTAATAAGGGAATAGTTAATTATTTTGAATTAATTAAAAGTGGGACAATAATGATATTTTTACTTATTTGAATAAATTTAGATGAGTAAAAAAATTAATGTTCTATTTTGTCAAAATATTAGATATAAAAGCTTATTATAAAATAAAATTGATAATAAATTGAATTGGAGTCAAATAATTTTTGTATAATGTGAGGGTATTTTAATGTAGTCACTACTTTAAAATTCACTACTCTGTTAATGTTAAATTTCATTTAAGTCTTCAAAATTGTTTGATTTATGGGTCTAAATTTTTCTACTAGACTGTTAATCTTTAGAAGATGGAAGTGCTTAAAATGTAACAAAGTTTGAGAAATGATGTTCTGTTGATATAGTTTTAAACGAGTAAGATTAAAAGGCAGTAGATACACAAGCATGTTTTTAATACATCAAAGGTTATCTTTAATTAATTTATAGAGGCAGAGCTTCTTGACCAGGAGAGCTAGCTTTTGGTGAAAATTAATCTTGCTTTTTTTATGAATTTTATTCTGAACTTGAAGAATCTATATCATCAAATTTAAGCGTATCAACACGAGGAGAGTTTTTGCAGCACCCAACGCTTCCCATGAATTTAGTTAATTTATTATTTATATATAATCCACAAAAATACTAGATTTAGATAAAACCTAAGTAAGAGTATTAGATTCAGTTTTAGACTAAATTTATTGTGTTTCAAATTATAGTTGATTGATATGAAATTATTGATTTTATATGTATTATTAAATAAAATATGGATAATTAAAATTAGAGAAGAAAGAGCAAATTTTCATTTTCTCGAGCTCCAATAAGTGATAATGGTTAGACAAATACATTGCAATAATTTAAAAATAAATTTAAAGGTAAGAGTAAAGTGTAGAATAGATTAGGTTAAATGTTGCAATTAATAAATAAGAATGAGAGTGGGAATAATAAAGAATAGGAGATTTAATAATTTTTGAGTCGAATAAATGTAGAATTAGATGTGGAAGATTATAAATATATAAAATTTGATTTAAGTGAATATAAAGAGAAATATGAGGAAGGATAGGTTTTAGGAGAAGGATGTATAGGATTAGTAAAGAGTATAGTAAGGAAGATAGATGGTTAAGAGTTAGCTTGTAAGACAGTAAAAACAGATGCAGAGGAAATAGTAAAGAATGTAGATGAAATTAATATATGTGTTAGATGATATTAGAATTCAAAAATCTAAAAAAGTTGAGTCATCGTCACATAGTAAAAATGGAAGAATTATACATTTAATGGAATGAAGGATTCTAATCAACTGGAATAGTTAATGTAGTAATGGAGAAGGTGAAAGGAAGTGAAATGTTTGAAGTGATTTAGAAATAAAAGAATTATAGTGGTATTTGAATAAATAAGAATAGAGTGTACTGCTAGAATATTATTTAAATAAATATTAGAAGCAATTGAATATATGCATGAAAATTATTGTTGTCATAGAGATTTGAAACCTAATAACATTTTATGTGCTGAAGATGGTAGATCAATTAAGATTACTGATTTTAATGTATTAAATTAAATCATTTTATAAGGTATCCAAATTTACAGATGGATATAAAGAATTTGGTAATCTAAATGAACATGGTAAAATAGAAATGTGGACATATACAGGAACTGTTGCTTTTTCAGCTCCAGAAATATTCTCAGGAGGATTATACAAGTAATCAATATCATTATTTATTTAGTGAATAAGTAGATTTATGGAGTGCTGGTGTTATATTATATGTTATGTTAAGTGGAGAATTACCATTTAATTCTGATTATTTGAATGATTTGATTGACAAAATACAATAATGCAAATATGAAATGATTGGTTAAGTCTGGGATTAAGTCTCTTGTTAAGCGAAAGATTTAATAAGCAATCTTTTATAATTTGATCCTTTAAAAAGACTTACTCCATAATAAGCTTTAGATCATCCTTGGGTTAAAAATGATCAAAATTCATCTGATTTACCTAGAGATAAATTATAAAAGAATATGGCTAGATTTTTGAATTGGAAACCATAAGAAACATAAGTAAATGCTAAAAAAATTAAATAACTATGTTTTCTTTTTGGAGCTGCAGACATTTGGAAAAGACACTCCTTGAAACATTCATCTGTCTCTAATATTTCAGAAGAACTTAAGAAATTCAAGTCTATTGATATCACTTCTTTTCAAACTACAGAACATATACAAGTAATTAAGGATAAAAATTCAAATAACCTCTATCATATTGATTATCCTTTTAGTGATGAGGAATTTGATTGATATATATAATTATATATATATATAATATCATATATCACAATTCTTCAATCAAACTCCTCTTTCTTTTTTATTAATTGATCCTTCTCATACATAATATAAATCCAAGATTTCCTTTTACCTCCTTTTATTGAATCTACTATGTATGGTTTTATCTCTGTAGGCTCTCCATTATGGGCCCAAAATTCATCTTCCATATCTTCCTTCAATTCTTAAAATTATTTCTATTATGCTTTTTCTAAATACATCATCAAAAAGTAAATAATCACACAATTTCAATCCTGCCATAAAACCTACAAATGAGAATACATGGTTTTTTATCAGTGTTTCATTCTAAAATTTACGAATTATTGAAGACATATATTAATATATATTTATAATTAAATTTATATATATATATCTACTTATATCAATTTTATATATTATCATTTAAATCTATACATTCTTACTAATAATACTAATTAAATTTAAATAATATTAACATTCTAACTTTTTTTCTCCAATATAAATACAAATAAATCCAAAATTAGTCTTACCAAATATTTATATTAATCACATATGCAAACATTCTCAATTCTAATTAACTCTTGCTTCTGATTCACCTATTATATAAATTTACATCAATAAAATCTGGTACTAACATATCAAATTATTATTTTATCAATAAAATTAAATTTACTTTATAAATTTAACTGTACAGCAAAAATATAATCTCAGAATTATGTAAGATTAAGAATAAAAAGATTCAGTTCTTAATATTCAAAATACTTAAACTTCATTAAATAGATTGTTTTGAACAAATCTTGCCTATTATTAAAATCAATTAAAAACTCACTAAATAATAGTTAATGTTAGATAAATTTTATTCATACTTGGAAAATACTTAGGATTTATAAAGAATACTTCAGAAAATTGCTAAATTTTCAGCTTTGGATACATTAATTTAAGATTTATTATGAAGATTTTCATTTATTTAAGTTAAGTGAAGATTCAATAAAATGTTATAAAAATTATGAAAATACATAAAATAAAAATAATGGAGAGTCAATCTTAAGGTCTGTTGTTTTAACTTAATCTAATAAAAATGATGACTCGATTAACTTCAAATTCAGATTCAAATATTACTAAGAATTTACTCTAAATACTGTTTAATTTCAGAGTTCAAAGTAGTTGTAAGATTAGAAAATGATGTATTAATATAATAAAATCATATATATAAATAGAGAAATAAAAAGTCAAACTCTTATTCACAAATTACATTGTAATTTTTAACTCTGGACTAGTTTTATTACACTACTTTATTGTAAATAGATCTAAGGATTTATTTGCTTATATTTTTTATGTTAAATTTTGGCATATTTCAAATAGCAAGGCTATATATATAAATTGAAATAAAATACTTTGTAAGAAGGAGTGTTTTTCCACTTTCTTCCATTAAAGTAAGTATAGAAATCTCTTAAGTAGGATTTAGATTTTAAATTGATGAAAGCATAACCAGGATTTATTGTGCCATCAAAAGGGAAGTTAAAATAATCAAATTTGTTTTTGAATTTTGGATCTATTTCCATCATAATCATTTCTTTAGTGTAAGTTTATGGTATGTTTCTCATCATTAAGGTGGTTCTATTATCACTATCAATCTTAAATTTAAGTAAAAGATTATACATTTGTAATATTGAAGTCAAATGATTATTCACTTTCTTCAGATTTATCAAATACTCCTTAAATAAATTATAATTATTCTGAATGAATTGAACTAAAAGTTTAATTGCTACTTATAAAGATCTAAGATTCTTTGAATAGTTAAAAATGAATTAATACAATAAGCTTCAAGTGTTGAGTTCAGAAATTCATCAGATATAGAAGAATCATCACTCTAATGTCCATCATCATCTTTCTGATTGAATTAATCTATTTCTTCGAACAATGATTATTTATATAGTTTTCTCTTCATATTTAAATTAATTAACAACTTATTAAAATTTTAAATTATTTTAAAAAACACATTTATACATCATTAAATAAATTGTTCAATTCTTTATTATTTCTCTGGTTTAGGTGCTTCGTATTATCCTGGATTATTAAGTTCAGCATTTTTTAATTTTCTATTTTTAGATTCCTTCATTTCCTATCTTTGTTTCTTCTTGTTCATAAGATATTTAGGTAAATGTCTATGTTTAGCAATTCTCTTGATTTCTTGATTATATTTAAACTTCTCCTTCAAAGCATGTCTATAATTAGTTGCATTACTTTCTCTTTAATTGATAATCCCAACCTTCTAACTAGCATTAACCTTCCATATTCTGATATTCATATCATTAGATCCACTATAAACAAATTAAGCATCACCAGAAAAGGAGACAGAATTAACTTATTACATTCTCTATCCATGGTACACTTCTCTTGAAAATCCTTTATTAAATGGAAATATTCTAATAGTTCTATCAAATGAACCAGAAACAAATTCCCTACCACTTGAACTAAATGCTACAGACATTACAGCTGAAATATGATCTTTATGAATCATAGTAGGTAATTCCATTTTTCTGATATCATAAGTATAACAATTAGAATCATCATTTCCAATAACAATATTTAATGGTTCAATAGGATTCCATGCTAAACATTATGATTTATTTAACATTGCTACTTTGTGTATTGCAGATTCAGCTCTTACATCATATAATATGATACATCTATCCATAGATGTACCACATATTAAATTAGTATCAGCTGGAGAATATTTCACACAACTGACAGAATCCACTCCCCATTAAAATTTCATTATTGCTTTTGGTCTTTCATAATCCCAAACTTATACTACTTATCCTGCTGTAGCAAATTATGGTAATTAATAATTATGATCAACATTTCCCAATGTTCCTTTACTTAAATAACACATCAATGGTTCTTAAAATGTATTGTTTGACTACTCTAACAATTATGGAAAATCATATAAGTTTATTGTCTTGTCTTCACCTGATGATACTATACGCATTCCATCTCGACTAAAGGACACTCCCTTCACCATTTATTAATGAGCATCTATATTATTTTATTCACTCTTTCTTTACTTAATTAAATTAATGTTTTTCTACTTGGAATATCCCAAATACGAATTTCTCCATCATAACTTCCACTAACCAATTTTGATAAGTTGAATCTGCATGCCTCGATACAACTTACACCATCTGAATGACCATTCAATGCTCCTAAGAATGGTTGAGCATATATTTTCTCTACTTTTGTTGCTACCAAAGCACGTTAATATTCTCTAGCATGAGCTAAAGGATGTACTTTTGGATTTGGATTCCTATATACTTTTGTTATATCAGCATTTGTTGATCTCTCTTATCCTGTCCTACAAATTGTATTGAATTTTACCATAAATTATATATTGTAAATATTTTTATTTTTTCTCTCTATATTATTAAAATTATAATTATATACTATTATTACTTTTAAAAGAGGCCCAACTTATTATTGAACATTTTTTAAATATATCTATTCATTTAATACAAGATGAATAAAGATGATAAATATAAATTTTAATTGAAACTTAATTAATTATATACTATACTATAATATTATAATATTCTCAATATATTGTGTAAGTATTAAAAGATTATGTTTAGAAAATCCTTTATTCGACCTTTTGAAATTAGATATTAAAAAATATGAGTAAAAATTTAAATTATAATTATAATTATCAACATAATAGCATTTCCTTGAAAATATATATTAATATAGTTAATAAAATATTGTATATATATTTACATATATTAATATAAAAAAAATGAATTTTATACAAAGAGTAGCTTATCGTTATGGATAAAGCAATATCTCAAAACTTGAGTAAATTGGATTGAGCCATACCAAAAGCATTAACTTATCTAGACCTCCAAGGTAATATTAATTTTAATGAGAATCAGAAATTTCAATCCTGGACAATAAGCACCAGTTGCTTATAATGAATAATTCAGTTACCCAAAAGATTATAGACCTTGGACAATTAATTACAAGTACAAATAGTATTTAAGTATAATAGGAAAGATGGTCTTTTCTGGTTGGCAATGAGTATTTCTTGGTTTGCATATTTCTCTTATGAGTTAGCTTATTTAAGAAGAACAGAACAAGAAGAAAGACCAAATAAAGATTATTATGCTTCTTGATGAAGTTAATATATACATAATATAAATTAATAAAAACAATAAAATTAATGAAAGTTGATCCAGACAGTCTTAATAATCTAAGTAATGATGATGATTTATCATTGTATACCAGTAGAGGATTCAAAAAATATAAGGTAAATGAATATGAAAATAAAATATGGAAATAGAAATACAAAAATATAAGAATCCTTTATTTGCAATTTTTTTAAAATCAAATGCTTCGTTATAATCAAATGTCAATAAAATATAACTGTTAATATATTTGATAAAAATATGCCAAAGAATGATACAGCTAATGAACAAAGTAAAAAAAATAATTTTTTAAAGGAGAAAGAATTTTAAAAGATGAAAATTAAAATGAGAATGATTAAGAAAATCAATATAAATAAAATTCAGAAAATATTAAGAAAACATTCTTTAATCTAAAAAACTTAATAAATAAGAAAAAAAATGGAGAAAAAATAGAATAAATAAAATGAATAACCTGAGATTTAAAATAAAAAAGAAGAAGTTATAAATTTAGATAGGAATCATATCTTGGGGAAATTAATTAAATAAAATATTAATAATAACAATAATTATAAGATAATTGATATGACAGGTAGTGATATTAATGATTATTTAAATAAGACTTAGGATGTATAAGTTTCAAGTAATAAATAGTTAAGCAATATTTGAGAGAAGTTTAAGAATTAACTTGGTCAGTATAATGAATTTTAGAAAAGCGTTTGGGGAAATGGGAAAATAACGAATGAAGTATAAAAAAAGAGAAGGATAAAATAATTATTTAAGAACATGAAAAATAAGAAGAATTAACATAATTTACATAATGGAATAATTCTTTTAAAAGTAAAGAAGATTTTTTAAATTATTTAAAATATTTTAAAGAAGATGATGTATTAATTTCTAATGAATAATTTCCAATCTTTGCTAAATTTGAAGAATGTTTTAGAAAAATAGGGATTTATTTTATTTAATTTAATTAGTTTATTAGTAATTTATACAGAATAGGAAATTTAGATTTTAACAGTAAATTGGAAAGGATCTCAAGAAAAGATGGATATTTTATTTAATGAATATGAAATGATCTCAAAAGTTATTAATTTAGCAAAAGATGTATATATATAGAAAAAAATCTTTAAATTTAAGCAAGTATGCTGATTTAATAATAAATAACTAAATTTGTACATCAGATTATAAATACTTTAAAAAGATTTATTGGAATATTGATTGATTCAATTTTAATAAGATTAAGAAATTATCTTTCTCCAAGTTATGATCCAATCTAAGAAAATAATTTAGTTGATTTTTTTAGAATTATGGATAAAAGACTTAGCATTAGTTGAAACAGATGAGACAGGATTATATCAATTTTAAACAATAAGATTATTAGATTAATAAGTATAAAAGGATATTATGAGTATAATTATGTCTAAACTAAAACTTAAGATATAAGAATGGAATCTAAATTCAACAATTACTTTACATAAATGGCTATGGATTAATCCTAAATTGAATAATAAGGATTTACTTGAAGAAGTTGAGAAAAAGTTGAAATAATTAAAATTTAATGATAGAGATGACTTTGGTTTTAGTGTAATATAATCTTGAGCATAATACTTGGGAGAAAATTGGAAAAATATTTTATATATTTCAGTTTTACCTAAGAGGTTATTCTGTATTCAGAATTTAGAAATAAATCCATAAAATTAAAATTTTTAACCTATAGGAGAAATATTCAAATGGATAGATGAAATAGAACCACATATACAAATGATTTTTCAACCTTTAATTAATAAATTAAATATCACTTTAGAAAATTGGATAAATGTTTAAGTTTTAAACACAATTCAATTCAATGAAACAGAAAGTTATTTGATAATATTTAATTTTTATGTTACTAGTACAATATATTATCTATGTTATGTTCCTCTCTCTCATTCAACTTTATTGATTGACATATTAAATTAATGAATAAAATATTTAAAATAAATGTAATATCTACTGAAGTATATATATAGCTGTTGAGTTCATTAAGTGAGTAATCAGTTTAATTGTTCCTCGTATTCTTTAAAGCAGGACTTCTTTCTATTTTATTTGCCTGGACTACACAATTACGGATTTAAATATGAAGACTCAATGGACTCTATACTACATTGTATTTATGATCTCAATCTTTATCTAAAATGTATTATTTCCTCTTCTGAGTATCTGATAAAGATGATTGTTGAACCTGCAAAACTCACTTTACGTTCAACCTTAGAAGTACTCTATTATTTCTATTCAAAATCACAATTCCCCTCATAAATATCCTCAAGTGAAACTATCTTTTAAAGAGGCATCACAAACTTTAACTTGGGCCCTAAATTCGTAGTCATTTCGTATTAAAAGATTATTTATATTAAATAAAGCAAATTGCATTCACAAATTTTATTGGATTATTAATTTCACAATCAAATTAAGTCTCCAGGATGAGTGAAAAATATATCAAATTAAAAAATATTAATTTCAATCTTTTATTTCGAACATTATTATATATTGATAATATTTATTAATTATTAATTCATTTATTTCCATACTTTGTATTAATTATTATCATTTAGTCAAATCTTTATTGATTTTTATACTTATTAGTAACTTTAATTCACTACTTTTCAAATTCTTTTTCAAACTTTGTAATTTTCTCATCTAACTGTATTCTCATTTTAAATACTAATTAATATTAAATAATAATAATTATTAATATATATATTGTAAAATGGGAGGTTTTTAGAAGTACCCAATTCCTCGTTATGTGTTGGTAATAATGATTAAATAAATTCCTTTAGAGTGATGCTTGGCTATATAATAGATGTTGGTTTAGACATTCAGTACATGTTGGAATTCCAACATTAATTCTCTCATTTCTGATTTACAGAGGAGCTGTACCTTCATAGACATAGAAAATGGGAGAAGACTATTATGTAGATCCATAAGATTATCAATCACCTAAGAAATTGATTTTCTGAGATTTAAACATAAACATAAAAATATAAATATATAATAAAATGCAATCAATCACCACTGAAAGTCCCTAAAAACCATCAACTGTTTCTTCAAGTATTTCTATTTTTGATTAAATCAGGTAAATCTATAGGGCCATATAGAACTGTAATTTTATGTTGAATATTTGTTTAGTTAATTACTACTTATGCTCCATTTGTTTCTCATCAAAAAATTAGTAAAGAAGAAGATTCTCCAATAAAATAAGTTCAATAATTTGATACAAATAAACTGATTAAATCTTCTAAGTTAATTAAACCTAGAAGAGAGTTGAGTAAAAGTTAGTCAAAAAGTTCAGATAAAATTATTATAAAGGATATTAAAGATGAAGATCAATATATAGGACCATATAATGGAAAAGTGAGAGAAGGATTTGGAAAATCATTTAATGGTTAAGGTAGATTGATTTATGAAGGATAATGGGTTAATGATTAACCACATGGTAATGGAATATACTATAATAATGATTTAAATTCTTAATTTACTAAATATGTAGGACAATTCTAGGCTGGATAAAAATGTGGAGCTGGCATTGAATATTATAGAGATGGTTCAATGTACGTAGGAAATTTTGAATCTGATTGTAGAAATGGTATGGGATAATTAACCAAAAAAAATGGAGAAAAACTTAATGGATTGTGGTTAAAGGGTAAATTGATTTCTAAAATATGAATTTTTTTAATTTTTTAAATGGAATTATAAAAATATGCAGATGCTCATTCTCATATTTAAGATTTTGAAAATGTTGAATAAATTGTTAAAGAATCAAGTGAGTCTGGCATTAATCATATCAGTATTGTATCTGTGTAATTTATAGTCTGTAACTCTACAACTTTTGATTATTTACCATAATCTCTTCTAAATTTATATCCACTCATAATTCCTTGTATTGGTTTACATCCATGGTACATTCATAAAGAATAGATTATTGATTATTAAAAAATGGAAAACATATTAAAATTAGATGAACGAATTTAAGTTGGAGAGATTGGATTAGATTTCATTAAAGCAAAAGAAAAAGAAGATTAAAAAAAATAATGTGAAGTCTTTATTACTTAGTTACAATTAGCAATTAAATATAATAGATCTATGAGTATTCATTGTGTTAGAGCTTCTGGAGAAATGTTGAAAATATTTAAAAAATAATTAAAGGGATAGAATTACAATGCTGCAATTATTATGCATAGTTATGGATGTCCAAAAGAAATTACAGGAAGTTTAGATAAATTATATCCTAATTTTTATTATTCTCTTTGTTTAAATATGAAAATGGAACAATTAAATTACATTGATAAAAATAAATTGCTTTTTGAAACGGATGCTCCCTACCAATACAATCCAAAAATAGTAGAATCAGAGGATTAAAAATCTCATCCTAAATTCTTAATTAAATTAATCTAAGATTGTGCTACTTATCTAAATGAACCATTATTAGCATAAATAGTATATAGTAATTTTAGAAGGGCACTGAAATTATGAATTTTACTATAGGAAATAATATTAAATTTATATATGTATGTATTATTAATGAAACTATGTCTAACAGTTAGAAACGGCTAATATATAATAAAATATAGAGGAATACTTAATAAGAGTTGATTTAGAAAGTTCTTAATTTTTCTTTTTAATATTATCTAGTAACTAATAGTTTGTATCTGCTTTATATATTAAAATTCATGTTTTAAATTCATTAAATGTGTATTTCGATAATGCATTATTAATCTTATCAAACAAATGAATTCTTCACAAAGCTCATTTACTGATCTTAACGATTGGGCTTTAGTTTACTAAAATCTTCAAACCATTGAACCAGAGTATCTATCTTCAAAGCTCAAATTACATTTCAAAACTTTACCCAAATTTGATGACTTTATCAAACTTTATGAGTCATCAAAATTTGGATGTGATGAAGCTTGGAATCAAAACGAAGAGATTTTCTTATAACTCCTTGTCTTGAGTCTTAATCCAAGATGCATTAAGGTAAATAATTTGGTTAATTATTTAAAGAATCGCTTCGATTGGGAAAAAGTCCAAAAGTTAATGCCAAAGTATAGGAGTCTGTCGGAATTGTGCTTTAAATTCTAATCTTTCTATAAGGCACAACTTCCCAGATAACCCTGGTCTTCTTTTGAAGATAAAACTTTGTTGTAAATCATTTTGTATTTATCTTTATCTATAATTTAGGGACAATACCAGTCGCTGTAAGAAAAAATGGAGCTCTATTGCTAATTAATACAATCTAATCTGTAAATCTGAAATTCTTAGAAATGCTAAATAATGTAGAGAAAGATGGAACAATAAGTTAGATCCACAAATTAATAGGTAATAATATAAATTGTAACAAACTTAGAGAACCATGGTCTAAATCTGAAGAGTTACACTTTCTTCAATTGCTTCTTCAGAATGGACGAAGGTGGGCTGACATATCTTTGAAATTGTCAATGATCACCAAATACAAGAGAAGAACTGAATTTGCTCTTAAACACAAATTCAAATAACTATAGAAATATTATGGTATTTTTAAACATTCTATCTTTCTAGGTCACAAAGCTAAAAGTCTCAATAAGGTTGATTTCGAAATCAGTCCTCGTTGGAATATCCAAGAAATTGATATGATTCTATCCAAAATAGAGATTCTCTAAGAAAAATAAAAAAAGATTCTAACTCAAGAATATTCTTTTTGTGAATTTTTGAGTAAAGATTCTGAATTTTCTTTAGTGATTATCAAAAATGGATGCTTGATAAAATTGTGATGATTTTTCTATAAATCTAACACATATATATATAATTTAAATTTCCAAATAAAAATGAAATAGAGATTTTTAACTAACTCTCATTTTTTATTCATCCATCCTGATAAAAGCATAGAAAATAATCAAACTGCTATTCTATTAAATTAATCGAATCCTTCAGTACTAGTATTTATTATAATTCCTATTTTTTTTAAAATATTTATTGATTCCTATAACCAAAAAAAACAGATAGGAAAGTAATTTTTAATATCTATATGATCAAGTAATAAAAAATCAGTAGAGCAAGTCATTTTTAATTCATAAAATTTTAATTAATATTTAATAGAAGAATAGGTTCATAAAACCAAAAAATTATTAAATTATAACTTATAAAAAGTTTCATCATCATTTGTTTAGAATTGTATAAAAGTAATTTTTTAATTTGTTTAAGTGAATAAGAAATTTGAGCGATAGAATCAAATAAATTTTAGATTAAATGAATTTTAAGGATTCATTTAAATATTCTGCAGATTTATCTGACAATTAATTAAATATATTTTTTTATTAATTTTATATTTTTTATTTTTTTTATTTCTTAATATTCCTTTTAACAAATTTTCATAAAATAATAATATTTGATATTTTATAAAATTAAGTTAATCGATGAAAATTAGAATAAAAATTTTGACACATTTTAATAATGAAATCAAATTTTCGATAAGAACTAATAAAGTTTAGATGAGTTGAATATATTATTAATAAAAATATTTGATTATGATAAAATTTAAATAGCCAATTGATCATAAAATAAAAAATAATATGAGAAAAGACTCAAGATGATCTAAATTTAATTAATTTGTGTAAATTATTTCATAATGGAATCTTCAATTAACTCTTAAATAAGAATAAATACAACATAAAACACCATAGTTTCTAAAAGTTACGGTAAAACAAGTATCCTAAACACATAATATTTGGAACTTAATTCTTATTCTGCTCAATTACCTTAACTAAATCTATAATTAAGGACATTAGAAATGAGTGAATCACCTTAAAAAAGAGTAAGAAAATTAAAAAGTGTAAGAATCAGAGAATAAGAGACAATATATAAAAGAATTAGTAAGAGTTTTGAATTGAGAAATATGAATGATACATAGAAATAATAAAGAAGGAAAAGTGGTATAGAACAACTATCATAAAAATAGGTAAAGAAAAATAATATAAAATATTAGTTAAATCTTGATTGTTAATATCCAAAAACAATAGTATAATAATAGGAAGTTATACAAAGGACAAAGGAGAGAAAAAGAACTCTATTTAAGAGAATGTCAAGCATTCTTATTAAGCATCAAAATACAATTCGAAATATCAGTAATTTAGAAAATCATAGAAACATTGAAAAATAGTAATAATAAATGAATGATGAATCTAATGTTATATAATGTTAAGAAGTGAAAAAATAAAAGTTTAGATCCTCTGTTATAGAATCTTAAAAACCTAGAGTAGTTTTAAATATTACTCGTAAATCTAGAAAGGCATTTGCTTCAATTCAAAGTTATATAAGTGAAAAGACTACAATAGTAACAAAAGAATAAACAATGAATCAAAATAATAGTATAAATTAAACAAATCCATTTATGAGCTACAAGTGTTTTTAGAGTCTCACAGATTTGAATGAATAAATTTAGAATAATTCACAATTGAATTAAGGACGATTTGAATAAATAAAGCCTACTTATCCTCTACCAGATATTAAATTGATTTCTTCGGCCAGAAATAATTATACTTAGATTGATATGAATTAGTTGAAATAGAAGAAACAAATTATTAATATTGGTAATAGTTAGAGAAAAAAAAGGATTTCTATAAACTAATGAATAATTATTTTTATTAATTTAACGTTCACTAATGCAAAAATAACAATAAGAATCTAGTTTGTAATAACGTCTAGGATTTGTATAATAGTACCATAAGAATCACCCAAATATGACTGAGTTGAAACCCGTAAAAGATTATAAAACATAATTAAACTCAAAGTATCAGAGTAGTATTTAATAGTAATAGAAAACCTAAAGAACTAGAAGAATAACCAAAGTTATCTTTAATGGATAATTTAAATAGAATCAATAATCTCTATAAAGCAGTTTCTCAACCTCGAATTGATGCAAAAGAAGTCAATCCACCATAATATTTTTATAATCATAAATAAGTTTGTTAGAAACCAGAAATAAAAGTAACAACTAAGGCTGTTAAAGAAAATTAGAATATTAAAACATTTTTAAATAATAATGAACTTTCATTAAAAGATTATGATTGGAAACCTACAAAAGGAAATGCACTTACAACAAAATCTACTTCTCCTATTGATTTTAGTGTTAAAAGTCCATTAAACAAAGTTTCTCGAACAGATTCAGTTTTAGCTAATAAAAAAACAAATGATACAGGAGTAACTTTTCTAAAAGGACTTTATTGATAAAATATACATTTTTTAGAATTATTACATATTTAAATAATTTTTGACTTACTAAAAATTTTCTAATTAATAAAATGCAAAAATTACATTATCAATCATGTGATCAAACCGACCATGAAGATGAATTCCTTAATATGGTATGCATAGATGAAAAATGCAATAAACATAAACTATTATGTGTATATTGTGTGGAAGAACATTAAACATGTATTAAACGTCCCTTAAAAAAATTTATAAGAGATTTTAAATAATAACTCAACTCTTAGAATATAGAAACTAATTCTAAAATTGAAGAGTAATATTTATAGATAATTTTAGTCTCATAGTATTTTATGATTAAATAAAAATGATGATGGAGTAATCATAAAAATAAATGAATGAAATATTTGACAAATCTAAACAAACAATAACAGAGTAATTTTTATTTGATAATTATAGTACTAAAAAGATGATTAATTAATTTTCTTAGTAAGAGACCGCCAAATCTATTTAGATACAAAAATTAACATAATTTGAATCTACTTTAAATTAAGACAATTTTTTATAGCTTCTTGCTGAAATAGAGAGTTTTAAACCGAATTCTGAAAGATTTTCCTTTTCTATTAAAAAGATTTCTGGACATCAAATAGAATAAATATCAGAAAGAATTAAAAATGGCAAATTACATTAATTATAATATTAGAGTGTTTTAACTAATTTAAATGAATAATTTGGAAATTTACATGAAACATTAAGAAGGAATTTATAAAATTATTTTTTAAATGCTCCATAAAAATTTATGGAATTATAAAAACTTAACGAATTATAAAAACCAATTGAACAAGAATAAAATGAAAGCAAATCAATTAAAAATTAAAATTTATTCTCCATAATATAGCCACCCTCTCTTCTTGAAATATAAGATAAAGAAATAATTGCAATTTATGATACTTTGGAAGAAATTGAAAAGGGAAATAAAAATAATGAAAATATTAATACAATTAAAAAGTAAACAAATAATAATCACACTAATAATACTAATAACATAACAAATAATAATATTTCAAATACAATTACATCTAATAATAACAATCATCAAAATAATTATTAAAAAGTATAGGATTAATAACAAATATCAGTTACTGATATATTGGATAATGGTTCCTCTAAGAAATAATAAATATCAGATAATAAATAGAATTATTAAAATAATAGTAATAATTAATAATAATCTATAAATAAAATGAAACAATAACTTCCTCAATCTTAAAAATAATATCCTTAACAATAAATATAATAAAATTAAACCTTCTAGAAATAAGCTTAAATAAGTACCACATCTTAAATACCTCCGAAATAGGTTGTTGCCCCTTCTCTTCCTATACAACCTCAATAGTAATGTCCTTTAATAGGTATTTTAATTATTAATAATTAGATGCAGATGAAAATTAGGGTGAAATAGAATTAAATGTTACTCAAGATTAAATCTTGTAATTTACTTCAAATTAAAGAGATATCACTAAATTATTACTTTTAAGTAAATCAGTAATAGTAGGATGTTGTGGAAATAAGATTTAAGGTTTCGATATGATAACTGGATAAAAATTATTTACAGAAAATGTTGAAACTGATATTACAGATGCAGCATATTTAGAAACTGATGATTTAAATGGAACCTTATATTTGGCTACAATTAAAGGAAAAATTGAAATATTTATAAGGGAATCTAATAATGAAACTTCTTCATTTATATTAAAAAGAAATTAATAATAATAAGTTGATAAAAATGGAAATTTACTTATTTAACTCAATTAATAAGAAAAACAACTTGTAATTTTAGGGGAAGAAAAAATCATAAAAATATATCCAGTTAAAACTTTTAAAGATCCAAAGAAATGTGATATTTAGGATTTCGGATTTGGAACTGCACTTCATGTAGATTCTAAATTTGTTTATGTTGGAGGAAATAAATTCTTATTAATTTGGGATTATATCAATTAAGAAAAGAAAAAAATACAATTATCAGACCATAAAGTTATCTGTATTTAAACTCATGAAAATAAATTGATTGTTGGATAATAAGATAAAATTAAAATATATGAAAGAAATAGTAAAGGTGAGTATGAATAAACAATTGAATAAGGATTTGGAGATATTAGTACTATGCATATTCTTAAAAAATGGCCAATAGTATTGGTATCATGCACCTAAGTACTTAATATAATATTATTTAATAGTAATAACAATAAAAGATTTGTTTATATAATTATGAACAAGGTACTTCAGAAAATTTATAAGAATAGAAAGCTACAAGTTGTACAGTCAGGGAATTTGAAAAGGTCTATCATGTTGCATTCGGATAAGATAAGGGACAATGTATTATTTATAGAATAGAATAAACTTAATCACATCAAACATAATGATTTGAGATTTCATATCAAAAATAATAATATTATTTTTTAACCAAATATTCTAGCATAAACAAGTTATAATATCATTTCAACTTATAAAAAGATTGATAATAATAAAGTTAATAAAGCTTTTGAATCTTCAATTAGCATTATTTACCAACATTTTACTATGATCTATTCAAAGTAAAACTAAAATTAATTGTTATTTTATTAAGGTTTCATTTTTAGTTCACTTAATAATTTTCAATTTACTCAAGATAAAAATTTTAATTAACATTATTAATATTAATAAAATGGGTACTTGTCAAACTAATTGTTGTAATAAAGAAGTTGAATATAGTTTAAAAACTCATCAAATAAGTGAAAGTAATGTTGATTAAGGTAATCCTTAATTGGAAGATTCTAAAATTAAACACTCAAATGATTCTAATCAAAAGGAAAGAGATAAATTTGATGAAGATCGTATAAATGAAGAATAAATATTAAATAAGAATAAAGATAAAACTAGTAAAAATAATTAAAAGAATGACTAAACAAAATCAATAAAAAAAGAAATAGTTTATAAAATTAAAGAACCTCCAACATCTAATCCAAATTTAAAATAAAATGAATAATAGAATTAAGCAGATAAATCTGAAAAGTAAGAAAAATCAAGTAAGAACTCTGTTTTTTAGTAGAAGAATTAGAAATTGTAATATAATTAAAGAGTTTAGAATTCAGATTAAATTGAGACTAATAGTGAGATTAGAATAAAATTGGGAGCTAAGACACTAGAAAAAGGGGCAGTTTATGAAGGAGAATGGTTAAAAGGTAAACGGGATGGATTTGGTAAGTAGGTTTGGCCTGATGGATCAATATATGAAGGAGAATGGATAGAAGATAGATGTTGTGGAAAGGGAAAACTTATACATGGAGATGGAGATATTTATGAAGGAGATTGGTTAGAAGATAAAGCTCATGGAATAGGAATATATAAACATGTAAATGGTGCTACATATGATGGATAAGTATAAAATATAAAAATAAATTTAGTGGTTTAATGACAAATAGTAAGGTAAGGGAATTGAAAAATGGCCAGATGGAGCACATTATGAAGGAGAGTATTATGAAGGTAGAAAGGAAGGACATGGAATTCTTTATTTTGTAGATAAATCAAAATATACAGGGTTTTTTGTTAATAATGAAATACATGGTTATGGAGTTTATGAATGGTCAGATGGAAGAGTTTATAAGGGGAATTGGAAATAAAATAAAATGAATGGAGAGGGAGAAATTAAATGGAATGATGGTCGATAATTTATTGGAGTATTGTTGTTATCCATAAAAGAATTATTAAGAAGATTTGAAACATGGAAGAGGATAATTTATATGGCCAGATGGTAGAAAATATATTGGTAATTGGATATTTGGTAAACAAGAAGGTTATGGTGCTTATTATTTACCTAATTAGGTTGTTTAATATGGAATCTGGTAAAATGGATATAGAACTTAATGGCTATAAAATGAAGAGGTAGATTAATTAAAGGGTAAATAAGTTATAGATTTCTGAATTCTGGTTTAATAATGATCATTTTGTCTTTTTTATTTTTTTCTTTTATATAGCAATGAAAGTATCATTTTCTGAATCACTATCTTATTCATTTAAAATTTTAGCTGATTATGCATATGTTTTTGATTTTTAAGAACGATTAATTTTATGTTTTTCATAATCTGAAAATTTGTCTTCCTCATCTGATGATATTGGTAATGGAAGCTATCAATAAAATTATTAATTACATTTTTAGAAGAAATTGGTTTAAGATTCTTAAGACTGCTTGAATAGCTTTATTCCCACCACAAATCATTCCAACTTTATCCTAAACTGTATTATTATGCTCCAAGCTACATATTTATATTTATTTAATACAGCTAATTGATCAGCTCTTCTTTCTATTTATACACAATCTGTTTAACCATCTTTATTTTTACCAAGTCCTTAACCTTAATTCCATCCCATTTTTTGCATCAATTTCATTGCATAATCAGATTCAAATTTCTTGTTTGACACTCCAGTACCTATAAATATGATTATTAATCTCATACCTTATAGTAACCTCTCTTTAAATTTTTAAGCCATCTAATAATAAAATATTATTTTACTCTAAAATGGATGAATTATTAGGAGCTATATAGCAAAGAAAAGCAAAAATAAATGAAATTTAAGAGGCTATTTATTCAATCAGAGGAAATTAACAATAAGAAAGATTGACTGTCTACTCTATGGTAAGAAAATTAAAAGAAGAAGAAAAAATAAGAGCAGAAAAAGAAAATTGGATTGTTGGGGTTATTAGAAACACTAAATCATACAATGAAGAATAAATGTGGTTAGTTTTATTATTATAATTAGCCATATCTATGTCAAAACAAATGAAATGATGAAAGCTATCAGCAATCATTTTTTAGAAATCCCTTATACACCAACATGTAATTTGTACTAATATTTGGAAAATTATTACATTCTTCATTCAAGTTTTTAGAAACATCTAAATCAAGATGCTCAACTAAAGATTTAATTTAAGTAAGCTGTCAGAGCTGGAAACATATCATTAGTGACTGATCTAATTAAATCACTTTTAGGAACCTCTCGCAAATAATATAGAGATTTTGTTGAAGAGTTGAGCAATCAAGTTAAAAAAGAATCTTCTCCTTAAAAAATTAGAGTAGAGAATCAACGCATTCGTTCATCAACATAAAAGGTCGAAGAAGGAAAATTAGTTGAAAAACCTCTTACCACTATGATCAATAAGGTAGATAGAATTAAACGAAAACAAATAACTATCTCCAAAATACAAAGGTAAACATTAATCGATAAATTAGTTCATGTGATTTATCCCCAACTACTGAAACACCTACAATATATCTAAGAAATAAATTCAAAGAAGTTGAAAAAACTCAATTCATCTCCATGTTTGCTAATATCTCTGCTGTAATTGAAGATTTAGATGAATAAAATATCCAATTATGTGATTATCAAACTGTCAAGAGACAATCTTAAAATTATGAAGAGTTTAAAACTAATTATGATTCACTCTGTGATAAGATAAGAATAAGAAACAATCTAATTTAATAGAGTGTTTCAGATTATACTAATTATGCATTAAAAAGGTAATAAATTTATAACATTAATTTTAATAGGGTTTAAAATGTAGAAACAGAATACCCAAATTTAATCAAAGAAAAATATACTACTTTGTAGAATAATTAAGATTATCATTTTTGTAATATCCAATTAAAACCCATATTCGATAGTATGTGTCCTTGTATGCAAAAATAAATCATCTAACTAAAACCCTCCCCTATTAAGAATAAAGTTATAATCAGAAAGTCAGTCTAATAGATTAAAAAGTAGGTAAATTATGTATATAAGTAGTCTGATTAATAATCAAAAAAAGAATATATAGATATGAGTAAACATAATAATAGTCCTAGTAATAATGGAAAATCTAAATAATAGATGCCACAAATTAAGTTATACAAAGAAACTTAATTAATGAAAGCTCATCCAAGAGCATTATCAGCTAATACTCAATAATAGCCTGTAAAATACTTGACTTGTTCAAGTTTTATTGAGAATCCTATTGCAATTAAAACTAATCTCTTAGTTCGTAGCACTAATGAATGAAAATATGAAATTAATTTATTTCTCAAATATTTTAACATTTTAATTACAAAATAATATTAATTTATAATTATATTAGAAATTAAAATTGTGGTAATAATTCGACATTTTTTTAAATTCTTTAATAAATTTTTTTTTTTTATTTATTTATCTGTTCTTTCTAATATTTCAACAGAAAAAGTAATATATCAAATATTGAAAACATCTTTAGAAATTAAAACTAAATAATGAATATGGAAAATTTTGTTGTAATTAAAATTTGAAAAACATAAATTATAGAATAAATTTTTGTTAAATAAAATAATATTCCATCAAAGAAATGATATCCATTTGGCAATAAGCCACTGTGGTTTTCCATAAAAATTTAACTATTTATTACCAAGAGAAGTAATTTAGACAAGAGTTCTTCGCAGCTCTTCTTGTATTTATTATACTTCTCGTTGGAAGTAAGAATATACGAAATATCCATTATTAGAAGAAACATCAAGTCCTGCACTCCTTTAAGTGGGAGCTGAATTTTTACCAATGACTCTATTGATAAGTTCAAGGTATATAGTCACTTAAATGATATCAGAGAAGAGCGATAGATAAAAAGAAATCTAAAAAGTATTCATCCTTGAAAATATTAGATCATGGGTTTAAAATAATCAGCATACTAGTTAGGCTGGTTTCTATTCAACTTTGCAAGAATAATGGCTGTCTCTTTATTTTTTCTTGTCCTAGCTGTACCTACAGGATGTTTTGGACCTTAAGAAGAATAAAAAACCATAGACTCTTAAACAGTGATAATTTACTACTTTAGTCCAATCTAAATCATTGGTAGCTACATATTATATGCTATGGGATTGACAGCTTAATAGTATTTCTTAACAACATTATTTGATCAACCAAAAAATGGAGCTGATGTATCTATGCTTCTGAATATTTTTGGTTCAATTTGTTCAGCTTTATTAAGTCTACCTTATTTCTAAAAGTAAATTTCAAAATAATTTCTAGAAATTCTTGGATTGTAATCTTATTTGGAATTATTTTTCCAACATTTTTATTTGATATCTATCCTTATAATCAAATTCTAGGAATCGTTAATAAAGGCACAAAACCAAAATTAGAACCTTCTTTGTACTTTGGATTATAGGGAGCTGAAATAATTTTCTATGGAATATTGTATTTATATTTAGAATTAGTTTTGCCAAATGAATATGGAACAAATAAACATCCTTTGTTTTTTATTGGAAAAAAATATGAAACTTAAGAAGAAGAAATTTCAAATTAGTATGAATTAACGAATTTGAATAAGCCCTTTATTAGCGGAAGATAATCTGAAATTTAAGAAGATAATAGTTCAGCAATTTATCATGAAGTTTTTTATAATTAAAAATAAGTTAAAGTATTAATAAATAAAAATTATATTAGAGAGCAATTTCAATAAAAAATGTAAAGAAGAGTTTTAATGATCTCATAGCAGTAAATGGTGTTACTCTCCAAATATATGAATCTTAAATTTTATGTTTATTAGGACATAATGGAGCAGGGAAAACCACTTTAATTTCAATATTAACTGGATTAATAAAAAGGAATAGTGGAACTATAAATTATTATGGAACAGACACTGATTTCGACATAATAAGAAATTATTTAGGTTTTTGTCCTCAAAAAGATACTCTTTATGATAGTTTAAATTGTGATTAACATTTATATTATTATGGAAGAATAAAAGGAATTGATGAAAAAGAATTACAATTAGAAATAGATTAGATAATTACAAAATGTGATTTATTAAATGATAGAATGAAATTAGCAAAATAATTATCAGGAGGAACAAGAAGAAAATTAAGTTTAGCAATATCGTTGATTGGTAGATCAAAAGTAATATTTCTTGATGAACCAACATCTGGAATGGATCCAATATCAAGATAAAAAATATGGGATATTTTAACATAAGTGAAAAATGAAGGGAGATGTTTAGTATTGACAACTCATCATTTAGATGAAGCAGAAGTATTATCTGAAAGATTGGCAATAATGGCTAAAGGTAAGTTACTTACTGTAGGATCAGTAGATTTTATTAAAATGAATTTTGGAATTGGATATCATTTAAATTTATATGATAAATCAAACAATCCATAAATTTGGAGTGAGAAAAGTAAGAAATTAACAAATATTGTTTAATAATTTATTCCATAAGCAAAACTTAGTAGTTAAACTTCTTAGGATAGTTTAGGATTTTAGGTTCCTTTCAAATAAAAGGATAAATTCTTACCAATGTTTGAATAATTAGAAAGAGATTAGTTCATTTAAATTAATTTGATGATGAATACTTTAGAAGAAGCTTTTATAAATATAGGAATGGATGAAGAAGCCTTCCTGAATAAAGCATCTGGTAAGAATATATAGAATGAAGATTCTAAAATTAATATCGACATAACAGAAGAATTTAATAAAATTATACCTCCTGAATGTTTGAGTTAACCACCTAAGTATAATTTTGGTTTATAGCTTTGGGCATGCTTCTTAAAAAAACATTATACAATGACACCCAAAAGATATCTAATGTGTATATTTATGCCATCATTTTTTGCAATATTAGGACCAGTTATATCAAAAATTACATTCAATGCTATAGAACCTACATTAAATTAAGACACTAATGCAATATAATAAGTATATGGAGAGATTGCTTTAATTGATATATATGTTTATCTACTTATTGGTGCTTCTATGGCAAGTTCTTAAATAGGAAGTGCTCCCGTAGAAGAAAGAGAAAAAAAATAGAAGTATGCTTTAAATGTTATGGGATGTCGAACATTACCATATTGGTTTGGATATTATTTATATGACATAAGTGTTTGTATCATTGTGATGGTTATATTTATCATCTCAGTAAATGTTTGTGATGTTCAAGTAATTAATAATGGAAATGTTTATGGACTTGTATTTTGTTGCTATTTAGCTTATATACCACTTTCATATATATTATCATGGCTTTTTACTTCATTTTTATCAGCTGTAAGATCTTTAGTTTTAATTCAGATTTTTGGCTTCTTTATGATTGCATCAGTTATTTATGTTGTAAGTTTTAAAATTAATGTAATACTTTGGATTCTATCCTTTTTGTGTCCTTCTTTAGCTACATTTAGTGGATTTATTACAGTGTATAATAAAATTATCATAAATGATAACTCAGATACTGATGAAAGTAATAATGATATGCCATTTTAAAATGTTGATCCTTTTGTTTTTATGATTATCATGATTTTCTAAGCTTGTCTCTATTTTTTATTTACATACATGATTGATAATAGAGAACTTTTGGGTGCTAATTCTGGTGGGAATTTAAGTGTAAATTAGGATGAAGATGTTATTACAGAAGAAAAGAGAGTTGAAATATAAAGTTGTCAAGATAGAGTAATTGCTAGAAAAATATCAAAAACTTATGCTAATGGATTCTAAGCAGTAAAGGGAACATCATTTGGAATAGAACCAGGATAAATCTTTGGATTATTGGGCCCTAATGGAGCTGGTAAATCAACTACTTTCAATATGATTACATCAAAATTAAAACCATCAACTGGAACTATATTATTAGAATAATAAGAAGTTAAAAAAGGTTTAGGAGATGTTTATTAAAATGTCGGAATATGTCCTTAATTTGATAGTTTATATGATATTGTTAATGTTAGAAAACATCTATAAATTTGGGCTTATTTAAAAGGTTTAAAAGGAGATGAAGTAAATTAAACAATATAATACTTTATGAAAGTTATGTAATTAACAGCATATGAAAATACATTAGCTTCATAATTAAGTGGAGGAAATAAAAGAAAATTATGTGTTGCTTTAGCTTTAATAGGTGGAACCAACATGTAATTTTTTGATGAACCATCTTCTGGAGTAGATCCTATTGCTAGAAGATTTTTATGGAATGCTATCTAATAAGGAGTTAAATTAAGATAAAGTTCTGTTATTTTAACCACTCACACTATGGATGAAGCAGAAAGTCTTTGTAATAAAATTGCAATCTAAGTCAATGGAAGATTTGCCTGTTTAGGATCAGTTTAACATTTGAGATCTAAATTTGGAGATGGATATAGAGTTTTAATAGAACCAATTAATAATTTAGTAATTATATTTATAATCTTTTTTAGGATAATGGAACAGCTATCATTTAAGAAATTAACAAGTATTTTGGTAACATTTATGTTGTTAATGATATCCATACAGCCAAAATTATATGCAAATTTCCATTAGCAGAATTCTAATTCCATCAGACCTTTTATTTCTTTTAAGAAAAATTACAAAAAGAATTTAAGTTAATTAAAGATTTCTAAATCAGTCAACCTAATCTTGAATAAATCTTTATGTAATTTGCAGCATAACAAATAATTGAACCTGATGTTTAAAAATAAGAACCTCCGAGTCGTTGTCATGTAGTTGCATTATGTGGAAATGATGAAGATGATTGATATTAATGTACCTTCATATATATTATTTCTTCATACCTCATTATTATACGCATATCAATAAAGCGATTCCAAAAATTAATAAATTAAAAACACTATTAATCATGAAGATAGGTATTATCAACCTATTGAAATAGCCCCTCTAATTTATTTAATCCTTTAAGGAAGTACTTTAGCGATTTATGGCATCCTCAATCCTTAAAACATTGATTTTTCAACAATTTCTTTTTATTATTTTGCTGCTGTCTTGATATTGTCTTTTGGATTTTATGCTTAAACTTGCTTTAAAGATGTAAAGAACAATTTAACAATTAGCCTGGTTATTTGATAATAAGAAGCCCTAACAATACTGAATGTTCAAATTAAATCACATAAAAACGCAAAATGTTTTAATTTTAAGTCTTGCCCTCAAATGCTAGAACTTATCCTATTATTGAATAACAAAATCCAATTTAAGAGTAAAAATCTGAAAATGAATAGTACTTGTTTCATTAATTTAAAGAGAATTACCTTGTGAAGCTTCAATAGATGTAAATCAATTACCTGAATTTGATATGAATTAAATTCCATCTTTTACTAAAACTCCTGAAAAGTATCAATCTCCTAATAAATAAAATAATCCATAAAAAATAATTCAAGATTTTGATTCAAAATAGCCATCTACTTAAGCTTTTTCAATAACAAGTTAAAATGAACATGAAGTTATTGCTCCCATTACAAATAATGATATATAAAATAATGATGAAATAAAGAAATAATAAGAAAATCCTTCATAAAAAGGTAAAAGCGAAGAGAAAAAAAGGAACAGCAAACTATAACCATCCTTAGCAATATAAGTGCATTCTGTTTAAAATGAATATATAAGTGAATAATATTCTCCAGGTATGTCAGAAAGAAATAAAATTACAGATTCTACTAGAGCAGCAAGTAAGGTTTTTATAGAAAAAAGGTTTTAAATTTTTAAAATATATTAGATATTGTCCAATCTGTTCAATTGATCAATTAGCTAGAGCAAAACATTGTTAATCATGTAATAAATGTGTTGCTTGTTATGATCATCATTGTCCTTGGGCTGGTAATTGCATTGGAGAAAGAAATAAATGTGTTTATTATTGGTTTTTAGTATTTTAGATTTAAGAAATCTACTATGCCTTTTTTAGCGTATGAAATTTTAATAAACTAGTTTTTAGACACTGCCAAACTTTGATTTTTATCATTACAATCCTCTAGTTAAATTTTTTTCAATTTACTTTTTTACAATAAACATATTTTTTGGAATCTTGGTTACTAGATTACTATGCTTTTAAACATTTCTTTCATTTCAAAATTTAACAACTTGTAAAATTTATTATATATTTCAATAGGGGAATTTTATAGTTGGAATAAAATCTCATATTTGTAAGAATTGAAAAAAAAAAATGGGTCTCCGTTTAGTTATGGTTGGAAAAAAAATCTATAAATTTATTGTAGATTTTAAATACCACAACTAACTATTTGGGAATATAACCCAGAAAGAGTTTATAAATGAGGAATTAAATTAAAATCAATCATAATATTTTATCATAGGTTCGATTAGCCATTTATGTAAAAGAGCTTCTTTCACTGTTATTCTTTTTTTAGGATTATTAGTAAGTAACTTATCTAAAAATTAAAATCCTAATTCACTTATGCAAGATGGTTTTTAATAAAATCCTTATTTAATATTTGCATAAAGTTCTTATTCATTTTTCCCTTTAAAAGGATATGCAATCGAGATCATATGATACAAGATAATTCCTAAAGCCCACATATCAACTTCGTAAGAATAGCAAATTATCTTTAACAACAATTCTGGTGCCATATAATTTGGAGTTCCACAAAAAACAGATAATTTATTTCCCTCTGTCTATACAGCAAATCCAAAATCTATAATTTTAATCATACCATTATTTATTAATACATTGTCTAGCTTTAAATCTCTATGTATGATCTATTTACTTTGAAGATAATTCAAGGCTCTAATCATTTGTCTAATTATCTGTTTAATGTTACTTTCTGATCTATTAGAAAGTTCTCTTAAATTCTCTTCTCCTCCATACTCCATCACCAAATTTATTCCTCTTAAATTATCAACTACTTCAATCAGCTTTATTATATTTGGATGTTCTAACTGATTCAAAATACTGATCTCTCTTTAAATATTCTACTTTCTCATCATATTCAAAAAGCATTTTTCATATACTTTTACAGCAACAATCAAACCATCTTTTTTTCTTTAGGCTTTATAAACCTTTGCAAATTATCCCTTTCCTAAAGTACCTTAAAATTGATAGTTCTTTAGTTAAAATCCAGGTAATTCACTGAAACTATTACGAAGTTATCTATTTCTTTTAAATTAAATGTTAGATTGATTTTAACCTTGATTTTGCTGATTGAAATTCGTCGAACTAGTTTGAGCCAAACTTATAGGAGTTTAAAGCATAGATCTTACTCTTTAAGTTCTTGTAAAAGCTATTCGAGGTTAATAAGGCAAGATGTCCATCTACCAATATAAAATTATTATTAAAAACCAAAAAAAATAAATATATGTTTCTCTAATTTTTTCATATACATAAAATTATAAAATTATGAGAATATTTATAATTTTATCAATTCTGATATTTAAAATAAAGTTATTTAAATTATCATTAATTATTTCAAGGACTAATACTTCTCTTTCTATCAGATTTATTTTATTGAAAACAAGCAAGGTATTCTCTTTAGCTGCATATAAAAACCTGTTTTAAATCATTATTATTACTTCAATATATCGAGTGCCGATTAATTTTCTATGATATTTTTTTTTTAACTTTTCAGCTGTTTCTAAATTCTTAACAACTACAAAACATTAACCTTTTGCTTTGCCACTATCATCATAAAGTAATTTAACTTATTTAATCTTAGAATTATCTATTTTTATAAATTGATACTTACTCTAAAAGAAATTTAGTACATCTTTTTCAGTACTTGTCCAAGGTAACCCTCTTAATTTAAGTACCCCTTGTTATTTACATTAATATTCATTTTCTTCATTTAAATTTCCTAATTCAGATTAAATCTTCGGGTTTATCTACTTTAAAAATTAATTTGATTAAAGTGCTTTTTCAAACTCATCAAAATTACTATTAAATATTTCAAGATAACGATGATCCATTTAAGATTTATGAAATGTTCTTAAGTAATCAAGATCTCCAATTGAATTTAATTAAATATATGCTTCACCTGTAAAAAATCCATTTTATTAAAATTTCATCATCAGATTTTCTTTTTTAAGACGAGGCATTTCCAGGAAATTTAATAAATCTTATTTAGTGCATTAAAATGGTAGTCCTCTAATTTTCAAATAAAATTATTATTATTATTATAATAATAATTATTATTATTATTATTTGGGTTTTGATTCATCCTTTAAAATAAAATCTTCTTCTTTAGTATTTTATTTCTTTTTGAAAATAGTTTCAAATTGCTCATCTTCTCTTGTGTAATATTAAATATTTAAAGTTTAATCTTAAGGAGATTCATTAAGATCCATAATAAAGCTATTCCCTGAAGGATCATCCATTATCCAATGAAAAGGAAGTCTCTTACCTAATTTATATTATTGAAGGTTCTCAATTATAAATTGAATGTTAGAATATAATTACCCTTAGCAATTCTTTCTTTCATTTTATTCTCTAGCCAATTCATTTATTGATATTTATAGAAATCCTTCTAAAGTATTGATGCTGCTCCTCTTAGTTGTTTAAATATTAAATTCTAATTCTGGGATAGTTACCTTACATTATTATGATCGAATTATTCTTCTTTAAAGTTGCTAATCTAATTAAGCAGACATACTTAAGGATGGTCAATTTTTAATTATAATTTAATACCCTTCTCTTTTTTTTCATTTTTGAACTTTACTTCATCATTTATGTACCCACATGATGGACAATTAAATGATGTGATAAAAATATGTTAAAAATTTGGTACTTTTTTTATAGATACTTTTGTTTTGCAGAATTATTAACATTTAGTACAGGTATTATCTGTAATTGTAACTAAAATAATAATAGAATATTATCATACTTTCTTAATCTTCTTTAAAATTTTCTAATATTTGTTATATGATATCCATAGATTATTAAAATGATTAAAATCTATAAAAATTGGACAAAGAAAAATAAATCAAAATAAAATAGGGAATAATATTATATGATATTTTATATATTAACACACACCAAATCATCTAAAAATTAATTATCCGACAATGATGCAACAGAATACCCAATTAGTACCCCAAAGCTAAGTTGAATTATTATTGAAATCATTTTGTTTATAACCTACAGCCCCTAATATAGGGTTAAATTAATCAAAAGAAACATTCTTCAATTCAAAATAAATAGGCCAGAATCCTAAAATCATGATAATGCTAATAAATTTATCAATAAAATTTAGCTATTTAGTTATTGAATGAGGTTTTGGAATTTTGGATTATTCCTCTTCCCATTATTTAATGAATGATTCTTATTATTCCTCATATTATTTCTTCAATTCTTCCAGTTATTCTTACTTAGGAATTAATTATCGTTAAAGTTTACTATACTTAGCAAATGTTTCAGTTGTATTTAATGTTTCAGCATCTTGTTTCATTTTTTAAACTTCAAGTTTGAGAGATTAATATTTGTTAGATAATTCAGATTCAGGAATCTCTGGAGGTTTTCTATTAGCATATTACTGCTATTTTAAATTATCTTATTATCTCAAATAATAAATCACATATTTGTAAGTGATAACAAAAAGCAATATTAAAATGAGGTAACACATTTTATTTTTTCTTATGTTTATAATATTTATTATTTGTTTCCTAAAAGCATCAGAAATCACTTAATTTGATTTGCAATAAGTGAATTTTATGCAGACAGTTGATTGGAAACCATGTATCGTAATGAAAACTATTAAGATATTCCAACTTAAGCATTTTCTTAAGCAATAACAAGTTAAGGTTGCGTATTGCCAAAGGAGAGTGTTCCATTTTTAAATGCAACTTTTACTCCAACCAGAGTTATTCCATCTGTAGATACAAGTAAATAAACCATTTCAAGTCCTGATAAAACATATGCAGAATTTGGAACAATAGAGGTCAACAATAATTTATTAAAGTTTTAAGTTGATTTTACAACACATTACTAAAAAAAATTAGTTTATGGTACATTATTTACCTAACCATTATCAATGAATTATTCTATTTGGGTCCATTAAAATAACAAGGTAAAAATCTTGTTTTTAATAATATAGACTATTGCATATAAATTATATGAGTGTCCAAATATGACTATGGAACTCACAATAACTCAAATAAATTTGGAAGGAATGACTGATATATAAAAGATGTAAGTTGTAAATGCAATGAATTCTATAAAATTCTTAAATCCAATGATAAATCAATATTACAAAGATCATGCTGATACTTTTTGTTCAAAATTAAAATTATTTATTAGCTAGAAGCTAATCTCAAATAAAATAAGTTTCAATATGTTTGAATTTTATTAACTTGATGATCTTAATCCTAAAATAATTGAATCAATAGAAAATATAATATTTTAAGGACTAAATTTCAATAGCCAGAGCTATGTTTTAGGATTAAATGTTGAAATTTTTAATTATATGACCGAAAGCACAACACCTTTAGATGTTAATTAGATTAAATTAAATACATTCTCTTTTGGTATATCAATGGATCTATTGAAAACATACTTTGATTATGGAGCAGAGAATAGCATGTTTGATGTTAGAATAACAAATAATAATTATCCAATAGATGGTTTTTCTTATAAAACAGGAGATTTAAGAACTATGATTCCATCAGCTTATTATTCATTCAAATTAAACACAGAACTAATAGTTGAGTGCAAACTTATAACTCACAGTTTTTTGGGTTTAACTGATTAAGCAGTGATAAATAACAGCATATCAGTTTAGTTAGGACATAATTGTTAGGTAATTACTTAAGGTATATTAATCACCAGCTTTGAAATTGGTGTCGAAATGAAGTTAGGAATAAAAGAATTTTCAGAATATATAGATCTTGTAAAGTATTTTTTTAATTAAATAGTACATAAAGGAATATCAATTATTAGTATTGAAATTTAAAGAGGAACTAAATTATGAAATTTGGAGTTTAAAGAATTTAGAAAGGTAAGAAAATAATTAAATTTTAAGTATAATTTAGAGTGGATTAGAATAAAATTTGATGGGTAGAAATGTTTATGGATCAGGATGGTTAAAAAACTAATTAGGACCATAAATCAGTTATGGTTTTACTAGTCAAACTTTATCTATTTGGAATGCACATTTGATTTGATTATCTATATTATCAATTTAAAAAAATCGTCCCACCGAGGAATTGAACCTCGAACTCGAGAGCCGGAATCTCACGTGTTACCATTACACTAATAGGACTTGCCTTGACGTTCATATATTAAACCTATATATATACTCAAAATTCGTAATTGTAAGGGGAAACGAATTATAAAATCACTATAATTCAGATTTGAATATCTTTTGCATTCTAATTTTTTTAGGTAAATTTTGTTTCCTCTTTCTCATTATTTTGTTCTATTTTTATTGTTCTTCCAGATTTCCTTACTCCTGTTCTACTTTAATTATTTAATTAAAATGCCTTAAGTAAGGTTTTTCTATAGTGTTTTCTAAATCATCCAATGTTTATAAACACTCCTTTCCTTCATGAAGATAATAACTTTGTAAAGCTTCTGCCTTATTCTAGAAATCCTACCATTTTTCAGAATATGTCTTTTCGGGTGACTTCTCCTTTTCTGTTCTATGTCTATGAGAAATTAAAATAGGAGAACTATTGTTTCCTGTATTCAATTTTAATAAGGATTGTTAAAGTACAGTTAAATTATTTGGACTTATTCCATTTATTGCAGGAGTAGTAGTACCTACAGTTGTTGGTAGTGTAATTACTTTTGTTACACTCATCTTTTTATGAGGAGAATGATCCTAATTATCAGGAGCAGTCTTTAAAGTGATACTCTTTCTAAACTTTAAAAGTTACTATTCTTTTGTTTATTTTATTAATCTGTTGGTGGCTTCATGATAGAATTACAAGTATCCTTCATTTGGAATACTTTCTTTCCTTCCCATCTCTATACCTCTTTCTTTTAAATATTCCTTTAGAATCTAGTATTTTTCATCAAGGCTTAGTTATGGTTCTTTTTTTCCTCTTTTATGAGAAGTATTAAAATTATGATAAAATTCTTTAGTGTCACAATTTCTTGAGGTTTGAAAGTTAATTTAAGTAATTTTGTTTAGAAGATCACTCTCAGTTAAGGTTATGTTACGATAATTCATTTTTTCCTTTATTCGATGCAAATTGTAATGAGTTTCAAGAGTAGCTGCAGATTCATGTACAAATTTATTTTGCAATTATGATGGAAATTTAAGTTTGACTAAATCAACTTAGGGCGTTGGACAATCTTCTTTAGCTAAATTCTCCAATTCTATTTCCAATTATTAACTGATGGCAGCAATCTATTCATCCTAGTGGTTGATGAATTTTCGACTCTATGCTTGAAATTTTAGATGCTACATAATCTGACGAACTTTCCTATGCTCTATATAATTAAGTTCTTAAATAGGTTTAGAGAGATCAATGAATGTATTCAAATTTTTCAGTTGTTTGAGTGAGGAATCAAATTTAGCAAAATGCTAGCCAGCCCTAATTAGCTAATACTGTACATCACTTTAAAAGTAGGTTTATTGAGCCCATACCTTTTCGGCAATTAGAAGTCCATTAAAATTAAATAAATATTTTAAAAAGAGTTGAAAATTATGTAAAATAATAATTCATTATTATTTGGTATCATCTTAACTAAACTATGACAGCCCAACTTTATTGGGATAAACTTAAATTAATTATTAAGAACTGAACTTTTTCTTTGTTTTTTATGGTTACTTATTCATATCAGTCAGTTACATCAGTTTTCGTTAATTAGTGATCAAATTTATTAATTACTGCATGAATTCTAAATTAGCATAATACAAAGTATTAGTTTTATCATTGACAAGCGCAAATTGGATATCAAAAATATCTTCGTGTTTGAGATGTTCTACTGAATCAACATTATATTAGACTTTTGGAATAGCTAACTTATCAATAGATAATTAATCATCTTCAGTTTCTAAGTTGATTTTGAGAAGACACCTTGATAAAGAATTCATAATAGAAGGAGTGTTCATAATGACTTCATCAGGTTCTTCTTGAATATCATTTTTTTTTTCTTCAGTAGGTGTACTTGCAGATTAAATTTTAATTTTTCTTTATTGATTAAGCATCTTATCAAGATCACTTTTAGCTATGCTTAAGAGTTTGTTTTTCAGTAATTTATCTTTACCTAATTTGTTTTCTAATTACATTCCTTCACTAATTTGCATTTCTGAAATCAACTTCTAGATTTTTTCCATGTCATCTTAATTCAACTTCCCATATTTATATGAAGAATTAGAAGAGGTATCACTATCATAACCAGAATCAGGTTAATTTAGCAACTCATAAAATCTTTTCTTTAAATCATAACGAGATCTCTTTCTATTTAATGACCATTCTCTTTGAACTCTTTTCCATCTTTTACCATACTTCTAAACCAACTATAACAATTGTAAATCATCTTCAATTCTAAAAGCATCTTTTGATATAGAGGGATCTAGAGTATTGTACCAACGATCCTAACATTATTTATCAGATTTATTAAGAACATTAGCCATACACTTCCAATTGATTGTTTAAGAATTATTCAAATAGGTCATTATCATATTTTATAAAGTTTAATCTTCCTATCCTGTCCATAACAATCCTCGTTATGTATGATGAATTAATTCGGTCCAATGTGTTTTCAATTCTTTAACTGAACGATTCAACAAATTTCCTAATTCCTTCCAAGAATTATGTTGTATACCCAATTTACATATAGCCCAAATCAAGATACGAGATTCCTCTTATGTCCATTATTAGCATTTTTAACTCTATTAAACATTTTCTACATTCTCTAACATTGACTTCTCATCTTCATAACCAAAGTTTCTAAGTAAAAATTACAATCTTGTTTCTACTTCATTCACTTGAATTGGACCCATAGATTTAAGCACCTACATAAATTGTTCATTCTCGTTTCGCTTTGATTTTATCAAACTCCAAAAATAACCATTCTATCCTGGATTTTGATTTTCGAAGTATTTTGTTGCCTTCCTTTAAGGACTTTTACATGCATCAGAACTCAGAGAGAAAGAATTCTTGCGTTTCTGAACTTCACAATTAAATACTGAAGGCATATTATGCATTCTTCGACGACGTAAATCAAATTTAACCTATTACATGTAAGAGCAATCTTTCTCTTAATTCATTTATATATATATTATATTGACATTATCTATCAGTTGGGGAAAGAATTGGAATCATGAAATCATACAACATGAATCAGCTTAAATCTCATCATTAATTTAATTTTATTTATTTAATCCAATTTACTCAAATTCCTCCACTATTTAAACCCCCACTCACAATATAATCTTATATTCACATTTATCCTCCCTAAATCCATTTCTCTACTTCCTACCCTAACATAACTTAATTATTAATTTTTTTAAGTGACTGTTATTTTATTTAAAATGCTTATTTAACCTCAAGCTTCTAAAACTAGATTTGCTATTACTCCCATTAATATTCGACCTATTCATGCATGTCTAGATATTAGACCAATTAGACAATTTTCCAATCATTAGAGCATCTGTAACTTAACTTAGAGAGTAGAACAAAGATTACCTGTTAGATAAGTAATTGAAAACTAAAATCTTTAATCTGTTTTAATCAAACAAGAAAACAATATTCGAGTTCATAATAATACCTGTTCTCAAAATTAATCCAATAAGGAAATTTAAATTTAGATTTTAGAACTCACTAAATAAATGGACAATATGTCCTAAATTTTATCAGAAGCCATTAGAAAAAGCAATATTCTTCAAAAACAGTTAAATGTATTCAAATCCATTTTAATTAGACGCTTTAAAGTGAAAAAATGGAACAGACACTCTAATTTTAAGTGAATTTAGATTAATTTCAAGTAGAAATCACTTAATTAACGAATAGATTAGAGTTTTTAATCAATGAAAACTTATAACTTTAAGAATCCTATTAAAATTAGCAATTTTATATAGATTAATTAGACTATTAAGAAAATGATTAATTTAACTTCACTAAGAAGTTTGGATAGATTTGAAATTAGAAATAAATTGATTTATACTATTTCATTTTTATTTTGTTACTTTTAAACTCTTTAAAAATAATTCTTTATATGATGTCTGATAATTTGTATCTAATACATTTACACCTTATTATTTCCTTGTTGATGTGAATCCTTATGGAGACATTGATTTTTTATTTCTTGAACTGCTAATGTTGAGAGTGGCTAAATGATAATTTGTCATATACAATAATGAAGACTATTATTTTCTTTTTGTTTTTTAGATTAACTACGTCCACTTCTAAGTTCAGATTATTTATGATCTCTTCCTTCAGTAAGGTATTTAATGACTTCTTGTAATTTTGTTTTGTGCATAGGGGATATATTTCCAATATTTACAATAATTTCACTATTTTATAGTAGAAATGAAATACCGTAAGGCTTGATTACTTTTGATTAATCTTTAAGAAGCATCCCTAAATTCTTCTTCATTCTTTTTATAATTTTGTTGTTCTCTGTCAATTTATTAGAGTAAATTTTAATTTATTTATTATGTGTAAGCTAAGGATTTATTCAATTCCTCCTAAATTAAGAAATTTAAATTAAATTTACGCATTATTTCTTTAAATCTAGAATAGATTTCTTCAATTTATTAGAAGTGTCTTCATGTGATACTGCTAAAACATGAATTTCTTATTGGGAAGAATTTAAAGCTTCAACCAATAATTTATTATTAGTTTCAAGGCTTTGATTCTACAATTAGAACTCATTCAATTTTTCAGATACTTTCATCATATAAATATGAATTTATTACTTGGTTTAAATAACCATCTTACTTATAATGATTTAATTCTCTACGATAATGAAGAATAAATTTAATTTTCAAGATCTCTAAAAATGGCAGAAAATAAATCTCCAATATTTAGAGTGTTATTATCTCTCTAAGTAGAAACTTCACTTTCAGGTTAACTATAAATTATTGAAAGATCTTTATTGATTCCTTTCGTATTCTGACAATCCATATCATCAAGATCACTTCCAATTAAATAATTCTCATAACCCTTATACTCACAATTATCTTAATGCAACAATTCTAAGAAAACACTCAATTCTTTTGACAACTCTGGTTTATTTAACATAATTCTGTTATTTTATTAATAAATATTTCTTTATAATTTATTTCAGCTGTTCTGCAACATCAAACGATCTCTTACATTAGGTAACTCATAAATCATTCCTTTACATTAATTTCAAAATATAAAACTTTTCTAATACAATTAAAAATGTTTAATTAGTAATATAGTTTGGATTAAACTAACTCTTAACATTCTTCATAACAATCATAAACATTTTTGGCAGTTCCTCGCTTAATTTAATAAGAGATTTAAGCTTATCAAGCAGGAGTATAGAAGCATGTCAATTTTGAGGACCCTAATTAATTATAAAAGAGTGAACATAAAGAAAGTTTGGAGGAAGGTGAAATCTTTGGTTCAAGATTGTCTATGGATAAAAGAGAATTTAATAAGATTGATGAAGTAGAGGAAAATTATAAATCATTAAAGTTATTTCAAATAGAAATGTAAAATATGAATGGAAGGAAGCTTATTTCTAAAAATAGTCGAAAATTTAGTGATTAAAGTGATATGGGTTTACGTAAACATAGTGAATAATTGAGAAAGGCTTCTTCATCATATTTTCCAAATCCTTCTCCTAAATTTAAACATTAAGGAAGTCCACTTTTACCTAAAGGAGATTTGCATTCCATTCCAAGATGGCCAAAGAGATGGTTTTATATTGTTAAGTTTTTGAGCAAAATTATGTGTGTTTAACCAAACATTCTAAAACAATCCCATTTAATGCTAATTGATGATAAGGCTAATATAATTACAAAAAATTGCTTTATTTTTAATCCTTACACTCCAAAAATCTTATGGTCTCGCTACATTATATTAATAATCTATATTTTAGGATTTATGATAATCTTATGGGAATTCGCTTTCAATGAAACTCAAGAATTATTTATAGCTTTTTGTAATTAATATCAATTTATTAAAGTTTGCTTTTCAATCTTTGAAAGTTTGAGTAACTATTTTGTTGGAGTGTACATAGACGAAATGTATACAGAAAATAGATGGAGGATTGCTCAATCGTATTTATACTAAGATCTTGTCTATCTAATAAGTTGCCTTCTTAAATATTTTATATCTGATTATTTCAGTAAGATTTACTAATAGTTTATCAATAGTTCTGTTATTGTTATTGAGAGTTCACAGACTCTACATGGTCAATTCAAGGTTAACATACTGTTTTCTTCCTATTTTAGTAGTACATGCATTTACAACATTATATTCAAGACTTTCTAAAGATTAGTAAAGCTTTGTGCATAATTAGATTTTCAGAAAGCAACATTTCTATCTACATAACATCACTTTAATGGACAATATTTTAAATGGCCAATAGTGGGAATTCTTTTGATAGATAAATGGAAATTAATGGATAAGCCAATATACCTTAAAGATTACTTTCAATTATTGCTACCATATTCGGTTATTTAGTTACAATATACTTAATAAAACAATTATTATAATATAAGCCTTAATAGAAATTCAAGATCAGTGCTTAACTTAGTTAGAATTTATAGAGATATGAAAATAGAACAAAGTTGGAACCTATAGACTTAAGTGGATTGAGGCCTGATTTATAATATAAAATGAGATAAGAATTATTTATGCCATTATTAGAAGGTTTACCATTTACAAAAGTGTTTTTGGAAGATTTATCCCAGAAATTATAAACATAGGTATATCCTCATGGAACAATATTACTATAGTAAGATTAAGTTATGAATAAATTGTTCTTTTTGATGAAGGGAAATTTTGCTTAATGTATAGGTAATAAAATTTTAATGAAAAACTAATTTCCTATGTAATATTTTTATCGTTAAATTTAATGTCCTTTGAGTCTTAGATGTTTAAGTGAATCACTTATAGCTTATGTTGATCTAAATGATTTTTTGTAGTTGATTAAAATGCATAGTCAAGATTTCTAAAAATTTTGTATGCTAAGAGAGCATAACAAAGATGTATGTCCTTGTTGTGGATATAGGAATCACACATTTAATAAATGCAAACATGTTTTTTATGTACCTAATTTCAAAGAATTAATTCTCATTCATAACACATCAGAACCAAATGATAGAGTAAACTTTTATAGAGATAATGGAAGAAATAGAATTAATGCTTTATTAAATAAAAATCTTATATGCATTACAGCCATAAGTTTTACTATTACTAATAAGATATCTTCAGAAACTGATTTGACAAATGAAGTCATGGGGAAATTATAGGGAAGTACTAATAACTTTGAAGATTCTATTTTAAATGACTTTTAAGATGAAAAATCATCTCGTTATTCAATGTATCAAAAGCATGGAACTGTTGAAGCACCTAAAACTATCAATTCACCTTAAAATACTTTTAGTAGTTAGACTCATCAACAAAGCAGTATGCCACCTATTAAATTGGAAGAAAAGGAATCCTCTTATAACAGTAGGAAATTTGTACATAAACATATGGATTACTCTCACACTTAAAATTCGATTAAAGTGAATTTGGTTAAATCTACTAACTCTAATGAATTATAAGTTAAACGAACTCAAAAAAATAGATAAACAAGTTCGTCAAGTTCGTTAAATAAAAAGATGCAATCGACTAGTATCATGTAACAGCCAAAATCATAAACAGGTTCAATCATACCCCAATAAGAAGAAAATGAGGATAATTTAGATTAAGTATGTAGTTATGAATATTATTATCCTTCTTATAATATCGAAAATATTGCTAATACTTTAAATCATAAATTAATGAGCAAAAGCATATCATTTGTTAATTGATTATAATATGTTTAAAAACCTAACAGTTATTATATAATTATAATATGATTGCTAAAATTAAGGAATTTATTAATGACAATACTACAACCCAAACAAAAAACAAAGTTATTTTGGCCTTTTCCGATTTGAAACTTATTATTAATGATACCTAATTTATGTCATAACTTGAAATTAGTAATCGTCTAAGGCAATTTTTTATTAATGATCAAACTAAAGTAGAGATATATTAACACTTAGATTTTATTTTTAAACTAATTGTTACAATTAGTTGGACATTATTTACAATAACAGGAAAACTTTTGGGTAAAACTCAAACTGCTGGTTATAATTCATATCATTATAAGTTCTTAAGTAGCAAGATCAGATTTTTCAAGAATGATCATTAATACCAAATTAAATATTAACATCTAAGCAAATAATGAAACAGATAATTTGATTGCTCAATTATGTTAATCATATTATTGTTATATTTACAAGCTGGCATCATAAACAACTTTACTTAATGAAGATTTTGGTAAGCCTTAGGATGATTTAATGATTTATTTCGCTCTATCCAATTAATGCTATATTGGTATCAATATGCAAAGATTGCTTGAAACAATTATTAATCAATAAGTACCAAATGATATAATTGCTCAATTAGTTAAGTTTACTTACTTTGATATTTAGGATATCTATATTTTCATCTTGAAAGATGTAAAGTATTTGATCGAAAAGAATCCAAATCTTATTAGTAACAAATAACAATTATTAGAACTTTATAAAGAAGTAAAAATAAATATTTATAAATAGTGTTAATCTTTACAAGCAAAAATGCTAATCTTTTATAAATTCAATCGCATTTTTCCTCATTTTAATTAAATAATGCCTCCTCACTCAATCTAGATCAAATATTCAGTCTTAAACTCTGTTATAGAAGATAAAAAGATTCAAGCAGTTCCAAGATCAAATCCACATGAAATTAGGGAACCTCTTTCTGTAAAAAATTCACAAGCAAAATTTCATGATTATCCAAGGCCTTTCTCACCGAAATAAAAATAATGATAATTAAATTTGAAAAAATACTAGTATATAATCATTATACATATATCAAATATGGCTTTTTAAATTAAAAGATTTTTTTGTCATGGAAAATTAATGAAATGGCTAAAATATGATAGTATCTCAAATTTAGTCATCAAGTTATTTGTCATTAAGATAAGAGACTTTTTTGCTTCATTTATATCTCTATAAATTAGTATAAGGAACAATCTATATACTGCATCATATATTGAGTTTAACCAAATCTTTAGATCTAATATACCTCTAAAATATATAATTAAAGAGTATTATTCTTATAAAAGTTAAAATAACTAGATTAAATCAATAATGTTTTGATGAAGAGTATATACTAAAATTTGGAGATTCAAGATATTATATTTCTATATTTGTGATATGTTAAGTAAAATACAATAATTCATAAAGGTAGGCTCTATTACTTAATTGTACGTAATGTTATCAATTATATATAACAAACTTTATTAATAAATTTTGTTTGTAACAACTAATTTTTCTATACGCTTATGTATATAAATCAAAGTCCCTACAGGAATGTTCCTTTTTAGAACATACCTACAACCACTATATATGTTGATCCTAACAAATACTAATAGCCAATGATTTAATAACCGATCAGATATCAACCATCTCCAAGTACTGATTATGGTTACAGAGATTCATAACTTTAACTTCAATTCTAAGATTTAGCTAAAAAATATGTATACATATATTTATGATTTGTTATTTAGTAAGATTTATAGAATGAAAATAATTAATTATTAAGATAGCTTTCGGATAGGCCATAGATTGGTTAGACAGAACTTTTAAATTAAAAACTAGTATTTATACAATCATATATATAAGCAACACTATGCAAATGAAAATGAAAAGCTCCGACATTAATTAGCATATACTTATGAATTATAAGAGAAGTTGACACTTGTTACTAATTAATTGGAGAAAGTAAATGAAGCTTTGATGTTATCAAATTAAGAAAATTAGCAATTATGTCAATAAATCGCTGAATACAAAAATTAGCAAACCTTTGTGTATTAATTAAACTCTACTATATAAACACAGGAAATTTAATTACAATAAAAGTAAGAGTAATTAAAAAACTTACAATAAGAAATCGAGTATTATTAATAATTATTTTAATAAAAAGCCAAAGAAATGTAATCAGCATAATTAGAAATTAATAAAGTTATTGGATAGAATTAAGTCTTATAATAAGAATTGGAAGCTCAGAAAAGAAATTGTTCGAAATTTAAATAAGAAATTGTTGCATTATAAGTAGAAGAGAACAATTTTATTTAATTAAGACATGAGAATATGTAATTGCATGAAAAAAATTAGGAATTGTTGAGGAATTTTGAAAATTAAAAGGCTTTAAACCAAAATCTTATAATGGAATTGAACAAATAATAATAAATTGACTCATACATAGATTAATTAATTGATTAATTAAATGAACAACGATTCAAATTAGAATTCGCAAGTACTAAGATTTAAGATCAAACAAATAAAATTAACGAATTAGAATTTATTGTAAATGAAAAGGCATAATTAGACGTACAATATAATCATTTAAAATAAAATTACAATATTATGGAAAATGATTACAACAAATTAAATGAAGTATTAAAATAGAAATAAATTGAATTAGAAGTAAATAAGAATACTAATATGTAATACAGTCAAAGAATCTAATAAAATTAAGTTAATAATGTCCTTATTAATGAATTAAAATTAGAAATAGAATAATGGAAATCTAAATAAAGTAGAATGGAATAAGTGTTTAATGATAGTAAAAAAGAGGATCAATTTAAACAGAGATGTCTGTAAGAATAAAATGCTCAATTAACTTAAATCACAGCTGAGTTATAGGAAAAATTGTAACAAAAAGAAAATGAATTACAATAATAAAATAGAATATTCTAGGATACTTCTAAAAAATTGAGAGAGAAAGAATAAATCATAAATTATTAATCAAATAAACCAAATGTGGATTAAGAAGAAGTCTAAGCTTTAAAGAATCGTATTAAGCTTTTAGAATTGAATGATGAAAAGAATTAAAGTCTTTAAAAAGAAATTTAGAGATTAAATGCTTAAACAGCTACTTTAAGATAGGAAATTGCTACTTATAAGAACAAGCATCATGATTACTAATTTATGGATGAACAATATCAAAAATCTAATAAATAGATACAGGAATTGAAAAGCCATATTGTAACATTATAAAAATGATGAATTATATTTATTATTTTATACTAACAGTTAAAGATAATATTTTTAAATGAATTCAGAATGGCAATAGATGTTGATGGAAGATTTGAATGCCAAATTGCTTTAACGTGCTGAGTTAATAGGACATTATGAAGAACTTGAAGAATTACTCGAATTTCATAAAACTAATAGCACTTTCGAATATAGTTTTGCTATCAAAATTGAATAGTTGGATAAAGAAATATAAAGCAATTTTAGTTCAGATCAAAAGATTAAGAGTCTAATAAAAGAAAGAGAGAAACTCTATCAAGAATTAACTAAAAGAATTGAAGAACAGACTCTATAAGTTTTTGAATAATATATGGCTAATTGGAGTAATTGTATTGGTTAAATTAAGTCAGTGATTTTAAAGGATTTAGAGTAATTCATGGAGAAGAGAAGTATCAATAATTATTGCTCGAATAATAGAAGCAAATAAATGGAATGATCTACACATAATACAATAAAAAGATATAAGGGATTACAGAAATTTATAAACAATTCAATTAGATAGACCAAGCCATTTAATACAATATATCATATGTGGATAATGATCTGTAGAATTAATTGAATCAGTAATAAAATAAGACAAATTAATCGATGATTCAAAAGAAAGATGACACTCTTCAATTATCTTAAATGTATATAAATTTATTATTAAAAGAATCCAATAAATGGAGTTCTCTAAATAACTAGTTAATTAGTAATAAGATGACTCTTTAATATAACACATGGATGAATTCAATAATATAATGACTAAATAATCTCATCCAATTAAACTATAAACCATATATGAAGAATAATAACAAAATAATAATTGTCAAATAAGATAGCATCATCATAGTAAAACTATATTTAGTCATAAACACTCAACTGCTTAAACTAGTCCTTAATTGTCAAAATCTTATTTTGTTAAGGAGAATCCGTTAAAGAAATCGTTAACAAAAGGTACCTTGTTACTCAAGAAATTCTCAAATAAACCATCTAAAAGAGAATTTGATGTATTTCTACATTAAAACCCTACATAATTGGGTTATGGTTTAAGAATGGCATAATTAACATAAGATAGAATAGAATTTAGAAATCAATTAAAACCGTAGATAATTGATTCTTCATTACCACTGTCTCAAATCTTAAGAGTGATCATTCCTAAATAAATACAGGGATATCTTAAGAGGAGACCAAGTAAAATATAAGAGAAAGAAAACAATGTTCCTACTCTCTCATATTGGCCTATGTAAATATTAACTTTCAATCATGGTTAAATAGATTTACTGTTCCATTCTTAAGATCATATGATGGATTGGTATAATGGTTTAGTGAATGTAAAAAATATTAATTAATGAAATATTTTAAATTCTTACCTCTAATTCCAACTATATTAGGTTCTTAAATTTATTAACATAAACATCTTCTTCTTCTTCTTCTAAGTTTAGGACCTTGTTGTGATATGCATACAACCCTATCAACTAAAATAATTTTAACACTCATAATTCCTTTTTTATATAATTGATATAAATTATTAATTGAATGAAATACAAACTAATTATTGATTTTAATTTTACTAGAAGATGACTACATTTCTTTTCATTAAGTTAAAGATCAAATTGTAAATAGAGATCTAAGAATATCCTTTAAAAAATTAACTTGTAGTAGTAAATAAATATGAATTACTTTTTTGGATTTTTAGAATTATTGGATATATATTAATAGATTATTATTTTTTGTTAAATTCATGAAGGTGGAATTATTTAAATTATGTCTACCTAAATTAATGATAATGATGAGTTTTAAAAATTGTAAATTATATATATATTATAATATTTTATTGATGAGACATGGTAACATAACAAATTTCAAATTTATACTTTTTTTCTCGTTGGTTCTTCGATAGAATCTTCTTCTTTAACTTCAACGTCTCCTTCTTCATCGTCACTATGATCATCAAATATATTCCATATTTTAGATATGGTCATTTCTCTTCTAAATTTATTCTATAGTCAAAAATAATATAATACTTTCTCTAGACCGATTAAAAATTTACCAACTTGGGTAGGATTCAAAATATTTCTTAGTTCATCTATAAAGTTCTCCACTTATGATGTTTTATTATATAGTTATTCTTTAATTTCTTGGAATTATGTCAAAATTCTATTAATAAATTAATAAAATTACTCTAATAGTTTATTTTTATCACTTATAATTCTTCTTTAAGATTTTTTCATTTATTTTTTTTAAGTTTCATTTATTTATAAATCATTAGTTAAATCCAATAACCATTATGGTTATCCTTCCTATTATTATTAATCTTATTAATCAGCAAATAAGTCTTTGCTTTCACTAGCAGCCCATAACATATATCGAACATGAACAGGAAAACAAATCTCCAATATTTAATTAAAAAAGTAATTGGAAGCACTTACTCTTTCTTTTCCACCACCACCAACTCTAAATCTCATAGAATCTAATAATAAATTTAATTCATTATCATCTGCTTTATTTTATATAGATTTTTCTAATTTCTCATATAGTTATTACCTTCCCAAAAAGAATCCTTATAACTATTTAAGATTAAAATATTAATATATTACTTATTAATTCTAACTCATCTTATTTAAATAACCTGCACTAGTTTTATTTAATAATTTCTATTTCTCAAGTTCATCATTTAATTGTTTTACTCGATGTTCTAATAATTCAATATAAATCTTCTTCCTCTTTCTTGAATTCCTAGCACATTCTCTATTCCTTAATAATTTTGCTTAAGTGCTATCCTCTATTTCCTAATAAGAAGCACTGTTATTTTTATCATTTCTATCATCCTCTGATGCTCTAAATTTTGCCTATTGTTATTGTAGCAATTTCTGACTATCCTACTAAACCAAATTTGTTATTTTATTAATATAAGTATTCTTTAAGTTATTCTTATACTAAAATGGATCTTTCTGTTTGGTTTGTTCAGATTACTAATTACATTCCTTTTTAAATTCATTACATTGCTTTTTTATGTTTTACGTTTTTTCTATTTTTGTTTTTTTGCATCTACCAATGGCTCCTCCTACTTCATATCCATTTGTTCATATTAATTATCCAATAATGAAAAATTTTATTATAATCCAATAAAATTTTGGTTGCTATTTGTTCTTGGAAATGTATGACTAAAAACATAAATCAACCACTTACGGTGGATCCATCAAATAATTGACCATGAAGTCATTATCAACTAAATCAAACAAGGAATTGACGACCTTTTCATTATTTTAATTATACATGATTTTATTTATAATAAATATTAAAACACACTTATTTTTACTAGCTTACCTTCAAATTACTTTTATATTTATGCAATTAAGTTAATTTAGATTATTTAAAAAATTAAATTATCAAACAACCTTTATGAAATATATTATTATATTACAATTTTTTTTAACATAGAATAAGAAAGAATTTGAACCAAATAATTTATTGAGCTCAATCCAGAAATTAATAGTATACAGAAAGTCTAGATTTCTAATGAAAGAACTGTTTAGATTTAGAATTCTATTAATTAATATCTCAAATAAATTTACTTAATAACTTATTTTAATTTATAAATGATTATAAGATTGATATAAGTAATATTTAAAATTAATTTTAATTAAAATATCCCTAACATACAGTATAGACATCTTATCTAAATATAAATAGAATACAAGGAACATTAAAATTAAATATCTATGCTTAATAGTTATAAATATTTAAAAACGATATTTCTGATTTACACTCATGAACCGATAATGACTAAACATAAAATTCAATATTTAAATTAATATGAAATTGATAATCTTTATCATATTGATAAATCTGATGGAATGCAGAAATTATACAATAAGTTCAAGTGATAATAAAAGCATTATTGGTCCAATATTTGTATTCTTAATATGGATTTACAATGATTATTTCAGCATTTCCATGCTTATGGTTTAATGAGAGTAGCTAAATAAAAGATTAAGATGATTAGAATGGCTATTTCTGAGACTAGATTGTTAGCTGCAAAAAGAATTTGTAAATCTGTTAATGCTGCTGAAATAGATCCTCGTATTGATAATTACTTGATTTATATAAAAGGAAAATTAATTACAATTAACCTTTTATTTGATTTAAAAATTTAATTGAATGTTAGTAATTGCATAAAATTGAGAAGAAAGGTAGGAATATATTAATGGATATAAAAATCGAGAAAGGAAGGAAGTAACAATGATAAAAGAACTGTTTATTATTATGAAAGTGAATGAAGTTTCTTATCCTAATTATGAAAACAGAAGAAAAGATTTGGCAATTTAAGAATAAGAACAAAAAGCAGAAAATCTCGCGTATAAATTAACAGATTATCTTAAAAGCAAGGCGGTCGATTACAATTAAGTTGAATGTATATAACAATAACATTGTGAAGCAACAAAATGGATTTTTTATAATAAGATAAGTATTAAATTAACATAAACATAGATATTAAGATAGTATATATATTTAATTTAGAAAATCTGAAAATTAATAATCAATAGGGGATTAAAGAGTTCTATTTGAAAAGTTTCTTGCAATTATGATGCCATTATAGCTAGATAACACAAGGAATCATTCAAACCATATTTATTAAATGATTCATATTTAGAGGAAGTAAACTCCGATTATGCTAAACATCCAGATATGTTGAAGAGTTTGAACAGATTTCATGAATTGAGTGATGAAGAATAACCACTTAATTAAATTAATCCATCTAAAGAGGTTGAATCTAAGATTTTCAAATCTTTTAATGCTCCTTTGAAAAATATCAATTGGTATTTCAATAGAAGTCTCAACTTAGATTAATGCTTCAATGCTTAATTAAATAATTTAGTTAGAATAGTACGGTTATATAGATATGGAGATATATTTACTATTTGTATTAATATTGAATTATATTAAAGTTATTTGGATTTGTCCTAGCATTTACTCTAATTATTACTTTCATATATTATATTCCTTGATTGGGTGGGTTCTTATCCAAATTGACTACAATTTTAATGGCAATATTGAGTTTAATGATATCTTTGCGTTGAACTCTAAGTAGGCAAATAAAAGGATTAATTTATTCATTGATGGCTATAATGTCAGGAGTTGTATGCTTCCGATTTATATTGAGCAATTGATTTATCAATAAAATTATAATATAATTATAATAATTAGTTAACTCAGATATAAAAACCTTAATTACCCAATTTAAATAATTCTTTTGAATTTAAATAACAAATTTCTACAAGGAAGAAGTTTGAATAAATTTCGAATAGTCTTGTAAATAATTTTGAAGACTGAATTAAATCAAAAATGATGAAAAACTTGGTAAATTTTATATGAAATCTAGATTTAAAAAACCATATTTATATAGAGTACATCTTGATAATGTTTTATTTGATCATTAATTTAAATATCTTAAGAGATTAAATATTTTAATTTATGAGTGCTGATTCGGAGGAACAGAATAGGTAAATTAAGATGTAGATGATATTGAAGGGATGTTTCAAATGACCCAAAACCTGGCAATAAGAAAGCACAAGAATATGCAGAGGATTGGGGGTATTAAGGGAACCCATCACCACGATTTACACCTATGCCCTATCCATAAGTATTTCCTTCCATATGTCCTCCTCCTTTTGAATTAGAGAAACAAGGTATGAGGATAATATGCTATAAAAGTCTATCATGATTATGATCCATAGAAATATCCCCAAATGAACAGCGATAGGAAAGGGCAAAGTAGATATGCTTATCCATAGCATTGTTTAGGTGAAGTTCCGCAAATGGATCACATTGACGATGATCCACATCGTATTCCTGTGCCTTATCCTTTCGGCTATTATCCACCTATGAAATACCCGCCACAACCAATGTTTATGAAATATCCACCACCCTCACATCAAGGTTAGCCATATATGGTTCCACCAAATCCATGGTATCCTCCAAGACCATAATAATAATTAATGCCTCCTTTTTGTTACTATCCGTAATCTCAATATGATGGAACATAATGTTAAAATACTGTTTCCAAAGAACTCTAATCTAAAGTGTTTTAGTTGGTTTAATATTAAAAAGTTTCAGATTTCTAATGTAATTGTAAAAAAAGCAAATGTCTGAAACTCTATTGTGAATGCTTTGCTAATAACTGGGTATTAAAATTCTTAACTATTATTATAAAAGGTATGTTCTCAAAGTTGCAATNTAGGCAAATAAAAGGATTAATTTATTCATTGATGGCTATAATGTCAGGAGTTGTATGCTTCCGATTTATATTGAGCAATTGATTTATCAATAAAATTATAATATAATTATAATAATTAGTTAACTCAGATATAAAAACCTTAATTACCCAATTTAAATAATTCTTTTGAATTTAAATAACAAATTTCTACAAGGAAGAAGTTTGAATAAATTTCGAATAGTCTTGTAAATAATTTTGAAGACTGAATTAAATCAAAAATGATGAAAAACTTGGTAAATTTTATATGAAATCTAGATTTAAAAAACCATATTTATATAGAGTACATCTTGATAATGTTTTATTTGATCATTAATTTAAATATCTTAAGAGATTAAATATTTTAATTTATGAGTGCTGATTCGGAGGAACAGAATAGGTAAATTAAGATGTAGATGATATTGAAGGGATGTTTCAAATGACCCAAAACCTGGCAATAAGAAAGCACAAGAATATGCAGAGGATTGGGGGTATTAAGGGAACCCATCACCACGATTTACACCTATGCCCTATCCATAAGTATTTCCTTCCATATGTCCTCCTCCTTTTGAATTAGAGAAACAAGGTATGAGGATAATATGCTATAAAAGTCTATCATGATTATGATCCATAGAAATATCCCCAAATGAACAGCGATAGGAAAGGGCAAAGTAGATATGCTTATCCATAGCATTGTTTAGGTGAAGTTCCGCAAATGGATCACATTGACGATGATCCACATCGTATTCCTGTGCCTTATCCTTTCGGCTATTATCCACCTATGAAATACCCGCCACAACCAATGTTTATGAAATATCCACCACCCTCACATCAAGGTTAGCCATATATGGTTCCACCAAATCCATGGTATCCTCCAAGACCATAATAATAATTAATGCCTCCTTTTTGTTACTATCCGTAATCTCAATATGATGGAACATAATGTTAAAATACTGTTTCCAAAGAACTCTAATCTAAAGTGTTTTAGTTGGTTTAATATTAAAAAGTTTCAGATTTCTAATGTAATTGTAAAAAAAGCAAATGTCTGAAACTCTATTGTGAATGCTTTGCTAATAACTGGGTATTAAAATTCTTAACTATTATTATAAAAGGTATGTTCTCAAAGTTGCAATTGCTAAGATTGTAAAAATAGAATTGATAATCCTTAAGAAAGATCAAAAGCAATTGAAGAAGCATTACTTAGAAATCCAGATGCTTTTGCTTAATGTTTTCAATAAAAAGGTTAAACTTAATTCTCTGTTTAATAACAAGGTTATTTTACTTTTTTATTTTGACTAGATAAACCACTCAAAGAACCAATTAAAGAAAACCCTAATATTACTAGAAAAGGTTGTAATTGTAAGAAATCAGGATGCAAAAAGAAATATTGTGAATGTTATAGTCAAAATCTAAAGTGTAGTGATCTCTGCAAATGTGAATAATGCCTTAATAGAACTGATGCAGAAATATAAGCATAATAAGATATTGCCTAAGTCTTGAATTCCTAAGATTAAGTCAATGTGGATATTAAAGTGAATCAAAAATCAAAAAAAATAAAAAAAATTGGAAATGAAGATAAAAGCGATTCTCAGAAACCTGTAGTATAATTGAAAATAAATCTTAATAATAATAGCAGTCGGAAAAAATAAGATAAAAAATGAAGAATAACCATTATATTTAATTCATCTATTCCATCATAAAATAAATAGTTGTTTCTTAATAAATCAATACTTCATCTATCTCTCAGCATCGTAAACCATAATACCAGTAAGTTTAGAATTTATTAATGTCCTTAAATAACCCTAATCACTTTCATATTTCAAATTACTTCATTCTTCCTAATTACTATATCTTCCTCCTCATAACTTATTTACAAAAGCATTTTATAAAACTTCTTCTCACAATAAACCTTTATTTCAGTCATTTCGAATTCATCTGATTTTCTATTTATTTCACTTAATGAATATATCCTCACTTCCTCTTTATAACTCTAATTCATATTGTAATATATATATCCTATATTCTTGATGTTCTATTACTTTAAATTCAATCCAAATAATCTAAGATTTTATATTTTTATACTTCCACCCAAACTACTATGAAAATTAACTATCAGTCTTTGTATCCTCCTTAAATTCTCTACTATTCCAAGCATCAATATCACTTAGTTCACAACCTATGTACTTTACCAAAGGTTCTGATATACATTTTATAAATCCCAATCTTTCTTATAAAGAACTATTTATTTCTTTTAATAGTTGATTCTCTTTCATTACATTATTATTTATCATTACAGTTAATATTATTTAATTGTTCTATTCACAAATAGACAATATAGAAATCTATTATGTGAATTTAAATTTACTTCAAATTTAAGTTATTGCTTTATTTAATTTATAAAATTCATTAATTCAACGTTTGAATTTGTTAAATTTTTAAAATATAATTTCCCTTAAGTAAAATATAAGCAAAACATGGAAATATGTTAAGTAGCTAGGATTAATGGAAAATAACTTAATTCAACAAATACTAGAGATATTGGTTATTGTACTACATTTATTGTAATGAAGTTAGGTCGAATTCAATGTGAAATCATTTTGTAATATCAAATCAAACCTACTAAATTTCATAGTTTCTCGAAATATATGAAATATCCCATATTCATTAATGTATTTCTCTGAAATCAATAGATTTTACAAAAAACTATCTTGAGATCTCATCAAAATTTCATTAAATTCAGTTTCGTTTTCTATTCTAAAATGGTAATCATTAATCACTCTATAAAGTAAATCCGAATATTTTTTATTATCATTCAAATGTAATAAAATCATAGAATGTTCATTCATGCTCTTAAGACGTTTATATTTAGGATTTGTATAAACTGTATTACAGATGTTGTTTTCAGCATCATCGAAATATTCTAAAGATATTTCTTTGCGTTAAGCAAACCCTACCACTTTACCACTTGCAGAAGCATCTCTCATATCTATTGTAAGTCTTTCTATTTTAATTGATTGATTTTCTTAAATTGTTATAAAATTATATACTTAATTCATTTTCAATGTATTTAGAGATTACTGATACATCCTTACTAGAATAGCGTTTCTTATTTATTTCTATTGAATTTTAGGCAGCATCAATTTTAGTTTATTTAGGTTCTTAAATTTCCTCCTCTGAGTCTTATTATGCTTAAGGTGGTTGAGCTAATAGAAGTTAAAAGTCATTAGATTAATAAACAGATAACTTTTAATGTTAGGACTATTATTTTGAACAAGGTATTCCCATTAAAAAATTAATTTAATGGAAATATTTGATCTCTTTGGAGAGAATATTATTATTGAATAATAAAATGAAAAGAACAAATAATTGAGATCAGAAAAGTAATAAATAAAGAATGAACTTCATAAACAGAAAGTAGTTTAGATAAAAAAAGAGAAAAAAAATAAAACAATAAAAATATGAGTTAATATAAACTCTAGAAACCTAAGAATAAAAAAATGAATATGTACATTCATTTAAAGGTTTACGAAATTAAAAAAGAGAGAATGGAATAAAATCACTTTAGAGTCCATTTAAGATAATTATTGATTGTGGTTTTGAGGAAAACATGTCAGATAAAGAATAGAGATCACTTGCAAGATAGATTTCTGAACTTTATACTGAAAATAGAAAAATTGATGGGCCTCTAAAAATATATGTGACAAACATCTATCCTATCTTACATAAATATTTAGAGCAATATCATTATAAATAATGGTCATTGATATCTGATGAAAGACTTTTTACAGAAATAGAAGAATTATAATTAGCAAACATTGTCTATTTAAGTCCTGATAGTGAAGAAGAATTATTGGAAATTAAAGAAGATGAAATTTATGTAATAGGAGGTTTGGTTGATAAGTATTTAACAATATCCTATATTTTAGAGTTATAATAAAAAATGCGACATTGAATCGAAGTAGATAATTAGGAGTAAGAAGTGCTAAATTACCTATTGGATAATATATAAAAAAGAATTACAAAAAATGTTTAAATGTAAGTACTGCTGCTTTAATGATTACAGGATGGTTAAAGTATAAAGATTGGAGTAAAGCTTTTGATAGTGTTGTACCATAAAAATTCAAAGATTAGGAAGCTGAAATGTAATGATATAATTAATTTTATTTTGATGAAAAATATTATCGTTTTTCTTTGTATTCTCTCTATTGCATTCTGTCAGAGATAATTCTTAGAATAAGCGTTAAGACAACGCTATTAAAACAAAGTGTTTGTTATCTAATCTAATTTAGTTTAAAGTGAATAATAAACACAAATATTATAATAAGATCAAGATGATTTAGTTGAACATTAAGAAGTTTAATAATATGATTAGAAATAAATTGATGAAGTTTAATAAAGAAAAAAAAATAGAAAAATAGTAAAAAAGAGAAGAATCCTTCTAAAATCTATTGAAGTCAATACTAAAGATTAGAATAAAAATAAAAAGAAGAGAAAAGTTCATAAAACAATAAAAAAATGCAAAAAAATTATTAAGGATTGAAATTTTATATATTAATATTAATAATAATTCAAAATGTTTCAATATACACCCTAAGAAGAGGCTTATTATAGATAGTTATGGACCACCTTTGATCCACAAGTAATTCAAATTGATTTGATTCTTAGGGTCTGGGATTTGCTGAAGCCAAAGGTACTGTTTAATTTTTCAAAAAAAGTCGACTTACTGTCGATGTACTCAAAGGTATTTGGCTTGCAGGTGTGAAGAATTAAGAAGGCAAACTATATTATTAAGAATTTGCTACTGTAATGAGACTAATAGCATATTGTTAAAATGGATTTGAATTTAGTGAACAACTATTAAACTTAAATAGACCTGTTCCTCTCCCAGTTATGGAAGGAATATAAGTACCATAACAATAATAATAATAATAATAGTAATAATAATAATAATAGTAATAATAATAATAATAGTAATAATAATAATAATAGTAATAATAATAATAATAATAATAATAATAATAATCCATCTCTAACCCTCAATAGTAACTTTTGAATAACTTTTAATAATAATTACCAAATTAACTTCCTTAATAAAATTATTTCTAAACTCAACCAGTTCAAAGTGCAGCTTAAGTTTCACAACAATCTTATGTTGAACTTAGATTAGATGTTTAAAAAGTATTAAATTATTTACTATATTTTTAGTATGATTTACTAGATGATTAATACAACAGATATGAACTCTGTTTCAATCAATAAGATAAAACACATTAAGGTTTTATTCAAGGTGATTAAGCACAAGCATTTTTTTAAAAGTCTTTACTACCCTCTTAAACATTGAGTCAACTTTGGAGTTTAGTTGATTTTGGGTCTAAAGGTTATTTATTTAAGAACGAATTTATTGTTGCTGTTCATTTAATAGCTCTTTGTAGAAAGGATATCCCTTTACCATAAGTATTACCTGAATCTTTATTATAATTAACAAGAAGAGATCAATAATAAAATTAAGTTCGATCAACATCTCAAACTATGTAACCAGTTTTTTCAGGTTTACCACCATAACCATAGAGAGTAGGATCATAAAATGAAGTTCAGGGTTTGAATCAACAAACCAATTTCTTACAAAATAAACTTTAAAATTAAACCTAATAGATTTAATTTGCAAATAATTTAGACTAACAAAAATAAATTATTGAAGATAAGAAAAAAGATATTGAGTTTCTCAACCAAACTATTCAAAAACTACAAAACTTTTATGATTATCTTAAAAAAGAATAAGATGAATTACAGGCATAAATATCATCATTAAATGATTAATAAGTCTAAAAACAATAATAAATGAATATATTATAGGATAGTATTTAAAATCAATTGTAAGTGAATTAAAACCTATAGAAATAATTGTTTGAATTGAAATCCTAAAATTAATTCTAAGAAAATCAACCTCCTGCATAGTAAAATTAGTTTTATACAATTCATGTAATTAATGATACAATATTGTAGGTATAAGATGATTATGATTATTCTGAATATAGAGCAAAGAAAGAAAAAGTAGTTTCTGGAGGTAACCAAAGTGCTGAAAATCTTCCTTGGCATTGAGAGAATATTAAAATTAATTTTTAACGAATAAAAATGTTAACTGCATCTCCTCATATAAAATCAGATAAACCCTATCAATAGAGTCCTCAATATAAGAAACCACATCCATACAATCCTGAGGCGAGTATATCTCTAAAGAACTCAATCAACTTGAAGGGTAAATGATAATAACTATCATTAAGATTTTTAATTTAACGAAGAATTAGAATATTATAAAAATAGATGCATTGATCTTGAATAATATGCTAGACATTTAAAAAATGAATTAGATACTACCATAATTAAATATAGTAAGCAAGGAGCTTTGGATGAGAAAGCAGAGTTAATGATTCATCAGAATTAAATACTTAGCTAAGACATAGACAAATTATAAAAGAATTTTGCTTAAAAGAAGACTGAGTGTGAATTGTGGAAGTCTAAATATGAACAACAACTCAATAGTGCAGTTTAATGTATATACATTATTTATATATATTTTATAGTAAAAGCTCAATATGAATTGGATTTACGTAAACTAAGTAATGAATTAAAACTTTTAGAGGAAAGAAATTCTATTCTAGAGAAGGAAAGATCTCATGAGGTCGAAGCTACTAAAACTAATTTTTCTAGTAAAATTTTTAAATATATATTACAGTTTAAAATGAATAATAAAGACATAGTTATCTCACTTAAATAGATATGCTAGAAAATTAATTAAGAAAATTAAGAGAATATGCTGATATTAGGGATAAAGAAATTTATGAATTAGAAACTAAATTAACTAAAGTTTTATAAGATAGAGAATACGTAGAAACAAAATTACTTAAGGACAATGATTTATATAGATCCAAATTATAAGAGTAAGAAAGAGATAACTAAATTGAAATGAACAACCTTAGATAAAAATTAGATATTTTAAATTAAGGATAGTTGGATAATATTAAAAATCAATATATGGCTTAGGCTGAAATCTTAGATGATGAAATTGGAAAATTAAAAGGACTCTTAGAAATTAAAAATGAAGAAATTAAAACTCTTATAGATTAAAATGAAAGATTAAGAGCTAATTATGAAAAAGAAATAGAAACCATAACTTTATAATTCAATGTTTTAAAAGAAAAAATGTTTGAAAATGAATAAAGATTTTAAGAAGAATCATAGCAAATGGAAAATGATTTAAGAACTTAACACTAAATTGCACTTGAAACTTTAAAATAACATCATTAGAATTCCAATTAAATTCTTGAAAATCAAATCCTCCATCTAAAAGGCTAAGTTTAAGAATAAACTAAATAATTAGAAGAATTACAAAAAATTAGATAATAATTACTATAAGCTAATCTCTAAGATCAAGAAAATGCATAAAATATTATCAATAATTTAAAAAAAGAAGTAATTAATTTTATAATTTTGTTAGATTTTAGATTAATAAAATCGCTATCAAGATTAAATATAAAAAAATTATTAGGACTATGATATATAAAAAAAAGAATTACTCAACTACAACTAATAATAATTAGAATTTAATTAATAGTTATAACAATAGATTTAAAATTTAAATCAAATTATAGAACTAAAAGAATCTTAATATGAAACTACGCTTGTATAATTCAAAAACATGAATGATCAATTAATTGTATTTAATTTTATTATCTTTTAGAATAAATTAAATGATTTATATAGAGAGAATGAACAAATCAAAACAAAATTTAATGTTACAGTATCAGAATAAGAAGATTAATTAAATAGATAACTTAAATAAATTAAATAACAAGAACATAAGCTATAATAATAATCATCTTCATACTAAAGAGATAAATAAAATGCAGAGAGACAAATTAATAATTTGTAGAATTAAAATAGATAAAAGGAATAATTAATAGCTGAATTAAAAGCTTAATTGAAGGCTACAGAAGAAAACATTTAAAAAATTGAGAATGAATTATAAGAAACAAAAAATACTTGTTAAACTTAATTCGAAGAATAAAAATATAATTACGAATAAGAAATAGAGTAAATCTAAGTTCAAAAAAATGAAGATTTAATGAGTACCAAGAAAAGCTTTGAAGAGAAAGAAAACTCCTTAAATTTGGAACTTATTCAATTAAAAGGAGATTTTCAAACTTAATAAACTCTTAATTAAGATTTGAACTAAAAGTATTTTTATTTTAAATATTTTTTAGATTAGATCAATATGGTTAATAAATTTAAAATGCCGTAAACAGCTCTGATGTTATTAAACAATACGAAATTTTATCTGAAATCAACTTAGTAAACAGATTAAGAAATTGAATATTATATATTATTTATTTATTATTAAACTTATTTATTATAGTTTAATATTTGCAAAATTAAAAGAATTAATATATAATTTATCAAAAAAACCCTTTTAAACCTCCAAATTAACCAGTGTTAATTATGTATTTTTTATTATAATTTGATTCGATAATTTCATCTGGTTGTAACAATTCTTATTATATAGGGATTTTTTTTATATAAGTTTTCGAATCCACATTATTGATTATATTTGTAATTTTAACAAAACTATCCCTGGGATTTCGAACTGAATTAATTTCTTAATTTAGAATATTTTATCCTTCTAATTAAAGATGATCAATCTTTTCAATATTTTAAGGTAATAATTTCTCAAACATATTTTAATTTTCTTTTATTTTTTTATTCAGATAGAAGCGTGATGTGAATGTTGAATAAGGAAGATAATCTTTTACACAGGAATTAGGTCTTCTAACTATTTCAATAACTGGCGGTTTAGAATCAATTTAATATTTTGAATCTTCTTCTAAATTATAAGGATATTTTTTATTTAATTAAAATTCCTAAGTTCTAAGTCCTTATTTCTATATAATTATAAATACTTACCCAAAAGTTTTTCCCTAATTTTTATTCAATAGGAGTTAAGTGTTCAAGTAATTATCTAAATTCTTGTTTCACTCTAAATTAATCTATTTTTTCATTCATTGAATAACCTTATTTTCTTTCTATACGAGAGCTAACTTTTGATTTAGATGTCTCCCAATTTTCTACAGTATTTTAATAATTTATTAGAGCTCTTTCAGTTTTGTCCATTTTTAATTAATCACCTTTATTTAGCTTACTTTTGACCTCTTAATTTAGCTTTAATGTCTTAATTTTAGGAGAACAATATTACTTCAATTTAATTAGTCTTAACTCTTCTTTCAACTTCTATAATTTCTTATTATACCTATTCTTCATTTAATTATATAATTTAAAATTCTTTAGATTTTATTTTATGAGGAGATTTCTTAGGTTATTCTTTATTAGATCCAAATTCTGTTACTAATATTACAATAAAATTTCAATTTACATTTTGAATAACTGTTATTAACTGCAGGCTAAGAATCTCCATCGGATAGAAACTGTGTTTTCATTTTTAAAAAATGTTTTTTATTCTCATTAAGTCTTCGTTATTTTTCTTATTAAAATTATTGTGCTGAGCCAACAAGGGTATGTTTAATAATTTAACCTTTTTTATCTATTTTAGGCCCTTTATCATGGTTAGGCAAGACTTTTAATAATTCTGATGAGCCTGAAAAAATATTCTATGCTTGAGTTTCAATTCCTACAGGGGTTGGAAGCATTAAAAAAATCATTTTATTTTTTGGAGATTAAACTTTGATATTTTATGAGCTATTCTATTAAGTATCTAATTTCTAAAATTTAATCATGCTGTGATATTTCTATATATTTTATTTTATTAATAATTGATTAATTGAATTGATCAATTTGTTAATTTTCAAATATAATATTAAAACTTGACCAAATATAATATAGTATATAAATGCTTTAATCTAATTTATTTAGAATTAATTAATATATTATTTAAATATAAACAATTCTTACATATAATTTAATCAGTAATTATAATTGATAAGATATATTTTTATTACATATTGAATTATTAATAATTGAAACTAACTTTTTGTTAAAAAAAAATTATTATTTCAGTTCTACAATTAGCTTTTACATTGATTTATTTTTTTTAAAACACTTTATCGCCAATTCTTCATTTAAGTAACATCTCCAATTTTAGGTCCTTTACTAAATAATCAAAATAATTTTACTTTTTGATGAAAGCAGAATATTATTTTTGATATGATTAAGTAGTTTTTGGCAATGGATGTAGTGGATATTAGAAATACGATTCAGTTTATTTTTCAAAAAAGACTTCGTTGGATAATATTGGATTCCTTAGTTAAAGAATTTGTGATGTACAATTTTGTTTAATTATTTTTATTTTATTCGATCATTTATGGCTATATTAAATATTTATTGTAATTCTTTTAAGTTTAAACTTAGAATTCTAGAGAAGTAGATAATCTGGGACAAGAATTTCTTTAAAGTTTATGACCCGTCTTATTATTCTAAAATTAAGAGTTTTTATATATACTTAAGAAATTGTAAATTTAGGAAATTATTGTTTTATTTTTTCAAATTGTAATTTCTTTGACTTGATTTAGTAATTTAGAGATGAGTATTCAAAATTGTGAGTTTTATATAAAGTTTAAACTAACTAATAATTTTAAGTAGTTTTAAAATTTTCAGAATATTTAATAAGCAGTAATTTTTCAGGAGTTTAAAACTTGAAATCACAATCAGAGTGGGTTTTCAACTTTGTTGATAAATTAAATTTATTTTTATTGAAATCTCTTTTCATTTACTCTTTGAAGTACTAACCCAACAATTAATAAAAATATTCTTTATTTTANATATTTCTATATATTTTATTTTATTAATAATTGATTAATTGAATTGATCAATTTGTTAATTTTCAAATATAATATTAAAACTTGACCAAATATAATATAGTATATAAATGCTTTAATCTAATTTATTTAGAATTAATTAATATATTATTTAAATATAAACAATTCTTACATATAATTTAATCAGTAATTATAATTGATAAGATATATTTTTATTACATATTGAATTATTAATAATTGAAACTAACTTTTTGTTAAAAAAAAATTATTATTTCAGTTCTACAATTAGCTTTTACATTGATTTATTTTTTTTAAAACACTTTATCGCCAATTCTTCATTTAAGTAACATCTCCAATTTTAGGTCCTTTACTAAATAATCAAAATAATTTTACTTTTTGATGAAAGCAGAATATTATTTTTGATATGATTAAGTAGTTTTTGGCAATGGATGTAGTGGATATTAGAAATACGATTCAGTTTATTTTTCAAAAAAGACTTCGTTGGATAATATTGGATTCCTTAGTTAAAGAATTTGTGATGTACAATTTTGTTTAATTATTTTTATTTTATTCGATCATTTATGGCTATATTAAATATTTATTGTAATTCTTTTAAGTTTAAACTTAGAATTCTAGAGAAGTAGATAATCTGGGACAAGAATTTCTTTAAAGTTTATGACCCGTCTTATTATTCTAAAATTAAGAGTTTTTATATATACTTAAGAAATTGTAAATTTAGGAAATTATTGTTTTATTTTTTCAAATTGTAATTTCTTTGACTTGATTTAGTAATTTAGAGATGAGTATTCAAAATTGTGAGTTTTATATAAAGTTTAAACTAACTAATAATTTTAAGTAGTTTTAAAATTTTCAGAATATTTAATAAGCAGTAATTTTTCAGGAGTTTAAAACTTGAAATCACAATCAGAGTGGGTTTTCAACTTTGTTGATAAATTAAATTTATTTTTATTGAAATCTCTTTTCATTTACTCTTTGAAGTACTAACCCAACAATTAATAAAAATATTCTTTATTTTAGTTAAATAGTTGTTCAACAGATGAACCTTTCAATTCTTCATGTGGTATGACTATTAGCCATATAGGATCAGAGGGAGGAATATCAGGTAAAGGTTCATCAAAACAACTGACAGACATGTTGGTTTGGCAACTAACTGAATTGCCATTTTGAGAACCCGTTTATTAAGTCTTCTATTATGTTTAGAATCTAGTAAGTTTTTATTCAGAAGAAATTTCCTTAGATGGTGAATATGAGGGAATATCTTGAATACTGATAGTGGAGCGTGCTTTTGATCTTTTCCTAAGTGTACTTGTTTTTCGAGAGAATTAAGATTCGAGAAATGGTTTTGTTTATTTATTGAGCGTCTACTTAATTTGTTCATTTAACATATATAGATATAATATAAATGAATAAATGCATATATAAAATACTAATAATGGCAATTAAAAGCGCACTATAAATCTTTATATATATCTATTGATGGAGAATGCATGATTAATACATTTAATGATTATTCAACCCAATAACTTTCATAGTCTTAGAACAAAATATTAACCTGAGTTACCACAATTATTGTAATTAGATGAGTTGGACACGAAAACAGAGACAATTGAAGTGAATCCTTAAATTCGAGAAGTAAATATGTATTGAGATGATTTTTATAGATGTTTCCATTTTTATGCAAGGATGAAGTTAAGGCAGTCACATTTTAAGCAGCAGATGCTAATGAAAATACAATTAGAGCACCTTTGAGAATAGGTAAGATATTAGTTAGATTTTTAAGGTTGTGTACTTTCTGGTGGATAGGCAGCAGGTGGCCACAATGTTATAGTTGGTATTTATGAATAGATAAAGAGAAGACATCCAAATAGTTAATTGTTTGGATTCTTAAAAGGGCCAATTGGTATTTACACAGGTAAGTATGAAGAATTGAAAGATGATACAATCAATTATTTTAAGAATAGGGGAGGGTTCGATATGATTCAGAGTGGAAGACATAAAATTGAAACAGAAGAACAATTCAAGAAATCTTTACAATATTGTTAATCATTAAAATTAGATGGATTAGTAGTTATTGGAGGTGATGATTCAAATACAAATGCATGTTTATTGGCTGAGTATTTTTTAAAGAACAATTGTTAAACTTGTGTAGTTGGTTGTCCAAAGACAATTGATGGAGATCTAAAAAATGAGTTTGTAGAAGTAAGTTTTGGATTTGATACAGCTTGTAAAACATATAGTGAATTAATTGGAAATATTATGTTAGATACAGTTTCATCTAAGAAATATTATCATTTTATTCGTTTAATGGGAAGATCTGCATCTCACATTGCATTAGAATGTGCATTATTAACAAGACCTACTTGGGCTTATATAGGAGAAGAAGTAGAGAAAAATAAGACTTCATTAACTTAAATAGTGACTTAATTGAGTGATTTAATTGAGAAAAGATATAAATAAAATAAAAATCATGGAGTGATTTTAGTACCTGAAGGTTTAATAGAATTCATTGATGAAGTGAAGATATTAATTAAAGAGATTAATTCAATATTAGCATCTAATAAATGGGAATCAGATCAAGTATTTGATAATATCTTAACTAAATTGACACCTGAATCATCAAAATTATTATAATTCTTGCCAAGAAGTATTAGTGATTAATTATTGCTTGATCGTGATCCTCATGGAAATGTTTAAGTGGCTAAAATTGAAACTGAAAAATTATTGATTGAAATGGTAAAAGCAGAATTAATTAGAAGAAAATATGCTGGAAAATTCTCAGCTATCAGTCATTATTATGGATATGAAGGTAGATGTGCATTTCCTACTAAATTTGATTGTGATTACTGTTATAGCTTAGGTGTTAATGCAGCTATTTTAATAGAAAATAAATTTACCGGAGTTATGAGTTGCATTCGTAATCTTCATCAAACTCCATCTGAATGGAATGCTGCTGGCTTTCCTTTAGTCACTATGATGGATGTAGAAACTAGAAAAGGAAAATCCGTTCCAGTCATTAAAAAAGCATTAGTTGATCTTTAAGGTCCTCTTTTTAAGTTCTATTAATCAAATAGAGATAAATGGGCATTTCATGATTATTATCATCCTGTAGGTCCTATCTAATTTGAAGGTGATCAAGTTCCTCCCTTTCTTATTAATGGAAAAGGATTTGAATTTGAAGAAGTAGACAACAAAATTTATCAATAAAAACCATATGAGGAAATGCATTTAAGAAATTTATCAAAATTAGGATTAGAAAGATCCAACACTCCTTTAGCCTTACCAAAACATTTAAATCTTAAGCTTTCTCTTAAAGTTATTCATCATAACTACACTGATAATGTAACAAAATCCATAGAAAAACATTTCTCTTCTCTTATGGCTAAAAGTATTAATGCATTTCAGTTTGTTCATGATGATGCTCACGAGGCTCATAATAAACCATTAAGAATTGCTATAACCTTAAATGGTCGACAATCTCCAGGAGCAAATTGTATTATTCGAGGCTTATTAGCATTATGTGAATAAAGTGGCTCAACTTTATATGGATTTATTGGAGGTACCTAAGGACTTTTCAAATAAGAATTTATTGAAATTAATTAAAATAGTTTACAATACTACATTAATTAAGGAGGATATCATTATTTAGGTCGTACTGCAGATAAGATGAGAACAGTTTAAGAATTATAAAAAGTAAAAGAAACTTGTAATAGTCTTTAATTAGATGGTTTAGTTGTGGTAGGTGCTTCACACACCCTAACAGATTGTTTAATAGTTGCTAACTACTTGTTGTAAGAGAATATCAAGACCAGAGTAATAGGAGTTCCATGTACAGTAGATAATAATATAGGACATCCATTTTTAGAAGGAATAGTAGGATTTGATACAGCTTCTAAAACTTACTCTTAAATGATAGGAAATATAATGATTGATGCAGCAAGTGCTGTAAAATATTGGTATTTCATCAGATTGATGGGAAGAGATCCATCACATTTAGTTTTAGAATGTGCACTTTAAACTCATCCAAATGTTGTATTAATTAGTGAGGATATCAAAGAGAGAGGACTTACTTTATAGGAAGTAGTATCTGAAATAGCTGATGTGGTTGTGCTAAGATCATAGAAAAACAAAGAGTTTGGTACTGTGTTGGTTCCTGAAGGACTGTTGGCACATATAGGATAATTTAAATAGTTGATAACTGAGTTAGATAAGCATTTTACAACAAGTAAATAAGAAATATTGAATAATTTAACTCCTTGGTCAGCAGCTTTGTTTTAATCGCTTCCTGATTTCACTTAATAATAATTATTAATGGAAAGAGAAGTTCATGGAGGTATTTAATTGTCTCAAATCGAGACTGAAAGATTATTAGCTCATTTGGTTGCTGAAGAATTAAAAGTTAGAAAAGCTGAATCTAAATACAAGGGATCATTTTCACCTATATGTCACTTCTTTGGATATCAAGGTAGATGTGCATTTCCAACTCGATTTGATGCTAAACTAGGAGAAGTTTATGGATACTTAGCAGGATTAAGTATTCAAAGAGGATTAACTGGTTATTGTGTATCAGCAAGAGGGATTGCTGGGCCTATAGAGAGATGGCATTTTAATGTAATTCCTTTATTAGGAATGTTATCTATTAAATAAAAAAGTGCTTATGGAGAAGCTCAACCAGTTATTGCTAGTTATGAAGTGGATTTAAAATAAGTAATTTAATCTATTAAAATTAGGCTCTTTTTAAACATTTCAGTTAAATTTCTAAGAATTGGTACTTAAAAGATCATTATGAGAATCCAGGTCCAATCTAATTCTATGGACCTATGGCTCGTAAACCCACTTTGACTGTTGAACTCAGTTATAAATGCTATGTTGATTAGATTGAAGAGATTGAACGTCTAGTAGAAGTGATATCTGAATAATGCAGATTCGAAACCAGAGCTGATTTGCTTGATTTAGCAATTGCTCAGTTAAAAGCTCTAGCTAAAACAATTGAAGTTGTGAAAGAGGCCAAACAGTGAAATATATATATTAATTTAATAATATGTCAGTTATTCGTGAGAGACATCCACTCACTTCTCTTAATCAGCTTCAAAATCTGTTTGGAAAGACTAAACCTTAAGAGACTTCTTAAAATATATGTCCAGAGAAGCCTCGTGGTGCCAGTAAACCTAAATAAAAAACTGAATGTTCTAGGAGAGAAATTTCCAATATTTAGAAGAGTTAGTACACATTACAATCCCAAAAATTATATACTAGTCATTTAGATAACATTAAATCATCAAGAGCTTTTAATGTAAAGAGCTAAGATCTTTTACTCTCACCTGAAAGATAAGATTCACTTTAATAGGAGAATAAAGTACTTGATAATCAAATTGATAAAAAAAGAATCCTTAAATAATCTGTTGAACATTCAAATGATCCTAATCTTAAACTTATAAACTCAGAGGAACCATCTAAAAAGATTGAATAATCATAAACTATCTAACTCAAAAATCTTATTTAAGCTAAGTAATTGAGAGACACGAATAATGAAAATTTTGAAAAGCAAAAGAACTCCAGAAGAGAAAAACATGTTGCTTAAATTTTATATGATGATAGTAAAAATAGAAATCAAAAAAACTAATAGAACAGTTAAAGCTCTGCTACAAATGAAACTAAATTATCAGAAATCACTCAACAATGGTTTATCTAAAGATTTATTAAGGACTTCTATTTCTTCCTTAGTAATACTGAAAGTGTCAAAATTAGTTGGGATTACTCTAAAATTTATGAAAATGATTTTCAATAAATTCTTTTAGGACTAGGATTTGGTGAAAGTAAAGAATTATGGAACGATTTTACTAATGGCTCATTTATTCTTTCCAGAAATATGCTTATCATCTTACTTGCTATTCTAAATGTACCTGTTTAGTAGATACCTCTTTACATACCTAAAGATAATGAACAAGTTTCTTTAGCATCGCATTATAAAAATGATTAAAATGGCAATCTTATATTATCACCCTAAGATTGTGTTGATATACACAACAAATACAAACAACTTTATTTGAACACAAAATAAATTCATGGAAATGGTTAAAGAAGAAATATTGAAAAATCTAAATCACCTCCATAAGTTATCAATTTATTAAGTAATAGATCACGCGATATGGCAAACAAGAAGAAGAACAATCTTAATATTAATGAATGGTTTGCTCAATAAGAATAAAAAAAAAAGGACAATATTGATAAATTGAAAAATCAATTAGAACAATATGAAGACACTAAAGACATTAAATCAACTATCAAACCTGTTGCAATTGATTTAACTTAATTAAGCAAACCAATCAAAAAATAATAGGATAAATCAACTATTGATCTTGAATTTGAAAATCAATAGTAATTTTGTACTTTTTCTCCACAAATTAATCCTATGAAAAATTTTCCTAATTCAACTGCCTCTACTTAATATGACATTGATTAATAAGCAAAAAGATTAAGAGAGGCTAGAGTAAGATAAAAAACACTCGAAAAATTGAAAAGCACTGGAAATACCACAAATAATGAAAGTAGAACATAGATTAAATAATAAACAGAATAATCAATGAGTTTAGAACCAAAATGTAAAAAAATTAAAAGTAAACCTATTTTTCTAAATTTTCCTATTTTGTATATAGATGTAAAAGTAGATGATGCAAAAACTGTAAGATTACCAGTATTTAATGGAGATAACTCTGAAAGTTTAGCTACCAAATTTGCACTAGATCATAGTAAATTTTTTATAAATAAATTTAAGATTTAGACAATTCTTTAGAAGAAAGACTTAAAGACTTACTAGAAGAGTAAATAAATTCTGTCTAAGAATAATAGTTATGAATTCACTCTAATTTATATTAAATTTCTTAATATTGAATAAAACTAGTATTAATGATTATCTTATAAAATGATCTCATTTTGGACTTTCGCTTTCTGATTTGTCTGATTATTGAGATTGATGGCTTTTTAATTTTTTTCCTTTCATCTCCTTTTTGTCCTTGTTTTTTTTAGTTTTTTTATCTTTCTTATCTTTTTTAATTTTTTTTTCTTTTCTTCTTTCTTCTGAATTCTTTTTTAATAATTTTTTATTATTTTTTTACTATAATCTTAATAATCTTTCCTGATTTGTTTCTTATTTTTCAGGTTCTTAGATTTGTTTATACTTTTGCATCTTATTATTGAAATATTGAAGAGCTTCAATTTTTTATAAAAGTTCTTTCTTCTCATCTTAAACCATTAACATTTTATCCCACTATAAAATAATGTTGTATTTATACTCTTTCATCTTCATCAATAATACCCTGCATATTTTTTATCTATTGCATATTTTCAAATATTTTTTCATTCCTTTTATTAATTTCTTATTATTAAGCTTCTATTTAAGCTTTTAAGTTTAATTCTTCTTAAGTTAACTCTCTAAACTCTCCCCATCCTTTACCATCTGGTCCAGATGGTTTGTATAGTTTATTAAATATTTCTGGATCATCAGGAGAGATATCAAGATATTCTTTGGGAGGCTTAAATTCTCTTACATGATCTACTCTCAATAATCTTCCACCTTTTTGGTAATTCATATACATACATACTTCAGCATGATTGAAGTTGTCTACAGCCAATATGGTTGATCTTTAATCTTCATATGCTAAGAAACAAAATCCTTTAGATTTTCCAGTTATTTTATCTCTAACCAAATGTACATCAACTATTTCTCCATATTATGAGAACACTATGGCTATATCCCCTTCATTCATGCCATAATTCAGATTGGCTACAAAGATGTAACTGCTCTTGTTATATTCATCATGCCAGGTTGTTGTTTATAAATTTTCTAATGCAGCTTCATTTAATTTTTTAATAGTTTTGCTCATAAAATAATTAATGAGTTAAAATCAAAATAAAGGATTCATATTTTGTGTATCAGGATAATCCAGTGACTTTGGATTGTGTTTGGAGTAAGTTGCCCTTTCAACAGCCTCTATTTAGGAACTGCTTGCTCTTTGTTGCTTATGATATTATGTTTGTACCAAATTATAGTGCGAGTCATTGAATAAAGAAGAATTCTCAAAAGAAAGCAATTCTTGTTTTTGATAATTTTAGCTGCAGATATATGTATTTATAATTTTAGGATAGAATTAATAAAATAGTTTTTCTAATCTTCACGATGGATAGAAATCTCACATTTGCTTACTTTTTGTATTTTTACTTTGATTAATGCTTTTTGATTTTTCTAGTTTACTTCTTCACAAAAAAGGCAACTGATCTCAATGTTTATAATAAAAGCAAAACTAAATTAGTGAGAGGTTGCACATATGGATTATTTGCTTTTTTTTCTATATTATTATTGATAGATATTATTGTTTACTACTTTAAGAAAGAAAATTGTAGTTGTATGTATAAATATCTTACATTTAGATATTACGCTATTTGTGATCAGACTAGTAGAGTTATTTGCTATAATTATATTCATCACAGGAGCTTATTACTTGAATAAAAAGATGAATGCTTTAATAATTGAATAAATAATGTTCACAAATAGAATGACAGGAGTAGAAAAGACGCAATACATAAAAACTAGAAATATTAAATTGAAATTTTGGTAAGAATAAAATTAAGATTAAAGGACTTTAGTTTGTGTGACTGCTTTTGGATAAATAATTTAATGGGTTGCGGATTTAATATATTTCATAAATTATCGATAAAATTAAAGCAAAGGGTGTGAGTTACCTGCATACGTAAATTGGTTTCGATTTTATATAGAATGTGGTCTTAAAACCTTGGGTTGATTTATTGATTTGTTTCTTTGGATATTTTTTGCCGTTATTCTGTGCCGTGTATTTGTTTTGGTTCAAAAAGAAATAAGTATAATATGTGGTAAGAATGTCATCCCGCTTAAATAGAGGAATCATTAGAAGTAGAAAGTTTACCAGAACGGTACTATCACAAATTGTTAAACAAGTCGAATAGTTCGTTCTCATCTTCAAAACAAAATTGAAAAAGAAATAGAAATTATACAATAATTCTGCAAATTATATAATTATATAGTATCTTCAATTAATTCAATATATATGTTCAAAGAAGATATGATTTTCATTAATTATATTAAATAACCATGTCTTGGGATGCTTATGTGACAAATTTGACAGCTAATGGAGCTCTTGAATATGCTGCCATTATAGGATTAGATGGAAATATTTGGGCAAGCAATTTCGGCGTTGCCGTCCTTCCTTCATATTAAACAGATGTACCAGATGAGAAGAACCCAGACGCTACAACTAAGGTTGCTTATGATGAGAAAACAGCTTTTGTTCACTCTATCACTCATAATGGAAATTCTGGAAATCCAGCAGGAGTTAGAGTCAACAATCAAAAATATTATTCAGTATAATTCGATGGTGAATCAAAGACATGGTATTTGAAGAAGGTATTTTACTAATAAACATCCATAGAACAAAGGAGGAGCATGTGTAGCTTGGGCTAACACTGTCGCTGTCTTTGCTTCATTCTCCTAAACAATCAATGCTGAAAATGGAGCTCCTTAAAATGCTAGTGATTGCAACAAACGTGTCATTGATATGGCAAAGTACCTTGCTGATTCTGGATATTGAGTGGTTATGTTCACAAAAAACATTAATACATATACATCATTTATCTCTTTCACCCCGTCTTCTCTTTATTCAAATTATATAATGTTTTTAAAGCATTGTTCTAGAATTTACATTACAAACGTGTTACAATAATTAAAATGAAAACTTTTGTCTTATTCCTCTTCATCATCTTTTAAATATTATGTCAAGACTATTACTAACTACTTGGAGTACCTCGGTCTGCATCAGATGATTAAATCAAAAAGGCATTCAAGAAACTATCCCTCAAATATCACCCTGACAAAGCAAAAGGCAATAAAGAGGAAGTAAGTCTATTCTCTTAATTTTAGTCTGAAAAACAATTCTAAAAGATTGTAAATGCCTATGAAATTCTGAAAGACCCAGAGCAAAGAAAAATATATGACAAATTTGGAGAAGAGGGATTAAAGGAGCATACTTAAAGATAGCAATAAAGTATCCATATATTTTAAATTAGAAGAATAAGGTCATTTTAATTATAATGATGTTTTCTCTAGGTTTTTTGGAGGAGGATTTTAATAATAAAAACCCAACCTTGAATAATCTTTATTCTCAAAAAGTGATGTTTATGAAATTGATATGACTACTATTAATAGATTTTTTAGAAGAGATCATGTTTGGCTCATATTCTTTTATAAGAATGATGATTATGGCAGATAATATAAAAATACTTGGAATGAATTAGCATCTAAATATTATGGCATTTTCTAAGTGGCTGCCATTAATTGTGCTGCTGAAAATGAAATTTGTGATGATGAATTTTAAGTTTATGAATTTCCAAAAGTATTTGCCTACCCTGCTAATATAAGATAAGAACCAGTTGAATTCAAATTAAAGATGGAATTAGATTAATTAGCCAAATTTGCCATTTCTTTCATGGAAAGCTTTGTTAGCATTGTAACTAATGATAACTATGATAATTTTATTCGACAACAAGACTAGCATATTGTTTTGCTATTTACAAATAAAACCTCTACTCCACCTCTCCTTAAAGTTTTATCAAAAGAATTAAAAGGAAAATTAGTTTTTGGTTAAGTCAGAAATTCAGATACTAAATTAATATAATAATTTTAAATTAACAATTTCCCAACACTTATGGTAGTCACTGAACCTGAATAATATAGGGGTGTGATTTATGAATAAAATGATTTTAAAAAAGATTAAATTATGAAATTCTTAAGAGAATATGCATATATTAGCAAAAAAGTTAAAAAAACTCATTAGGCTCCAAGAGAATTATCAACTTTGTTAATAAAAAGTGGATCTTGTACAACTAAAGACACTAAAATGTGTTTCATAATAATTACTGAAGATAAAGATTATTTAGATTTGCTCAATCCTCTATCTTAACATTATATGAAAGACAAGATAGATTTCTACTACATAAATAAAAAGTAAAGTTATCAACTTATATTTTTAGCAACTTAATATACTCAGAAGTTTTTGATGATATTAACAAATTCCCTACTGCAGTAGTGATCAAGCCTAAAAAGGAAAGATATGCTTAGCTTTAAGGGGAATTAACACTTTAAACTATTTAGGATTTTCTTGATTCCATAATTAGTGGAAATGTATAATTCAAGCCTATGAAAGATAGTCTGGATTTTAATATTTTTAAAGAAGATTTGTGAATTTAGTGTTAATTTTATTATATATAATTTATTTTAATAAATTATATATATAATTTATTGATATTATTGTTTATTAAAAAGTTTTGTTAAATATATTGAGGTTTAATAAATTTTATGGCAATTACATTCTAAGATTGAATTCTAAATGAAAGATTGTTAATAAAATTGCATATCATTATTTTAATTCTTTTTAAAATAAATTAGGATTGATAAATTTCTTAAGAAATATAATTAATATTGATTACTGATTGAATACATTACATGATCATTCAAAATTAAAAGTATGGATAATTTTAATTGCTATTTCTAAGAAGGATAACAATACCATATATGAATATTTTGAATGATGTTTAAAGAGTTAAAAATGAATTATTTAAATTAATCGTTGATTCAAGCTTTGTCATAATTATCATGAATCAATTAATGGATAGGAGTGTAGTTAATAAATTTTGATGGATAAATGACATATATTTATATAAATCATTTTTTTTCGACAATGTCTGCTCTAGTTGTTTCTGCAACAGCAGCAGCTTCAGCAATAACACTTGCTGGAACTCCCATTTCTTTTAAAGTGTCACCAAGATGTTTAACAATAGTATTAAAAGCAGCTGTTGTAATTCCAAGACCAGCATGACCAGCTTTCATGTCCTAATTATATAAATAATTATTTTTACTCTTCCTTTATAATTGTTGGGTCCTCCAAAAGCCATAGTAAGGAATTTTTATTACATCTCTGTTTATTTCTTCATATCTGTATTTTTGAAATAATGACTAACAGATGGATCAGCTAGCACTTTTTAATAAAACTTGACAACAGCTGCATCAACGTTTGCTTAACCTCCTAATTTGTCGAATATGGTCTTATTTTACATTGCTAAATTTAATTAATGATTTGAAATCATAAAATGAATTCGTTTAAAAATGCCAAAAAAAAGATATTTTTGGATAACCAAAATTATTTATTTTATTATTAAATTAATTAAAATTATTTAATCACTATTAATCATAATATTTAAAATCTTCTATATAAGTTATAAATGACTTATGAAGCAATCCATTAGAAACTTTGAATTGATATGTACTAGATTATTCGTCTTACATATGTTTGATAGAACAAAATAAACTCTTTCTAATAATTGACCTAATTTTAACATCATAATATCCATTTATATCTTCTTCATCACTTGAACCTGTAAAACAGTCTTTTTTTAAAAGAAATGTTCTCTATTTTTGTTTGTTTGAGTTCCTAGATGAAAGATGACATATATTTTTATTAATAGTTAGATGTCTTAAAGTTTTTCTGATTACATTTCTTTTAAACCAAGAATGATCAAGAGCATAATCTGGATGAGGTCTATCTTGAGGATCCTTCTATAATAATAGTTTTATTAAATCTTTAGCATCTGCTGAGACTTCTGAAAAGATTTAATCAGGAAAATCATAATTAGCTAATTTAATATTTTCTACAAGATCATTTAAGCTAGATATGATATAAATTTAATTACTAATCTGCATTAAATGGTAATTATCCAGATAACATTGAATAAAGAATACAACCTGCACTCCACATATCAACCATTTAACTTTGAATATATCATTAAAGTATTTGTTACTTATATCCTTCTCCTGTAACTATTTCTGGTGCTGAAAATGCAATAGTGCCAGTATATGTCCACATTTCTATTTTCTCTGTATCTTTTAGATCTCCAAATAGTTTATATGAATCACTAAACTTGCTCACATTAAAATCTGTAACTTTTATTTGCTTTTTATCTACATTAGAGCATTTTTTGTTATTTACCTTATAGACATAATATATTATTTGGTTTAAGATCTCTATGACAAATTCCATGACGATGCATATATTCAATAGCACTAAGCAACTATTTAAACAGCTCTTTTGCATCATCTTCACTATAATGTCCCGAATCATTTATAACTTCGAACATTTCTTTACCTTTTATAAATTCCATGATAACAAATGCTTAACTTTCAGATTAAAATCCACTATCAAAATCTAAGTACATCTTAAAAGCTTTTACTATATTCTCATGTGATAACTAAACTAATCTTTTAAACTCTATAATCATCTTTAAATTAGTATTTTCTTTTACATTGCGTATAATTTCATCATCTTATGTAGCAACAATCTTTACAGCAAAGTCTAAACCTGTTGTTTTTTACACTATTCGTTTTACTAACCCCAAACATCCTTCTCCTAATATCTCATGAATTTCATAATCTTCAAAAAACTCTCTAGTATTTGGTATAATATTATCAATATCAATTGATGTAATTTCTACTTCTAATTTCTTGCCTAATTCAATCAACTGCTCTTCATGCATTTTAAATTACTGTATTGGTTTTGTAATTATAGCATTCAATTAGCCTAAAAACAAAATCACATCAATTTTACATCTTAACTATTATTTTATTCGATTTCTGTTTCCTTATATTTATATTTGTTAATCTTCATCTTAAGTTTTTTAGAATGTNCTTTTAAACCAAGAATGATCAAGAGCATAATCTGGATGAGGTCTATCTTGAGGATCCTTCTATAATAATAGTTTTATTAAATCTTTAGCATCTGCTGAGACTTCTGAAAAGATTTAATCAGGAAAATCATAATTAGCTAATTTAATATTTTCTACAAGATCATTTAAGCTAGATATGATATAAATTTAATTACTAATCTGCATTAAATGGTAATTATCCAGATAACATTGAATAAAGAATACAACCTGCACTCCACATATCAACCATTTAACTTTGAATATATCATTAAAGTATTTGTTACTTATATCCTTCTCCTGTAACTATTTCTGGTGCTGAAAATGCAATAGTGCCAGTATATGTCCACATTTCTATTTTCTCTGTATCTTTTAGATCTCCAAATAGTTTATATGAATCACTAAACTTGCTCACATTAAAATCTGTAACTTTTATTTGCTTTTTATCTACATTAGAGCATTTTTTGTTATTTACCTTATAGACATAATATATTATTTGGTTTAAGATCTCTATGACAAATTCCATGACGATGCATATATTCAATAGCACTAAGCAACTATTTAAACAGCTCTTTTGCATCATCTTCACTATAATGTCCCGAATCATTTATAACTTCGAACATTTCTTTACCTTTTATAAATTCCATGATAACAAATGCTTAACTTTCAGATTAAAATCCACTATCAAAATCTAAGTACATCTTAAAAGCTTTTACTATATTCTCATGTGATAACTAAACTAATCTTTTAAACTCTATAATCATCTTTAAATTAGTATTTTCTTTTACATTGCGTATAATTTCATCATCTTATGTAGCAACAATCTTTACAGCAAAGTCTAAACCTGTTGTTTTTTACACTATTCGTTTTACTAACCCCAAACATCCTTCTCCTAATATCTCATGAATTTCATAATCTTCAAAAAACTCTCTAGTATTTGGTATAATATTATCAATATCAATTGATGTAATTTCTACTTCTAATTTCTTGCCTAATTCAATCAACTGCTCTTCATGCATTTTAAATTACTGTATTGGTTTTGTAATTATAGCATTCAATTAGCCTAAAAACAAAATCACATCAATTTTACATCTTAACTATTATTTTATTCGATTTCTGTTTCCTTATATTTATATTTGTTAATCTTCATCTTAAGTTTTTTAGAATGTGTACCTACCACTATACTTTCTATCTAACATAGATGATCTTTGTGGAATTAAAATCATATCATCTTGCATTTTAGTTTATGTTAATTTAAATTAAGGATGAAAAAAGATGAATATATTGAAGAGAATATTCTTAGAAATTAGATTAATATTAATTATAAAGATGAATATTATTGAAAAAAACATGGGAGAAAAATATTCTGAATATATTACAAATCTATATCTTGAGGGATTACAATAAAAGGAAATGAAGATTCCAGATTTCATGCAATATCATATTTATCAAGAGTAAATTTGAAATTGATCAGATTTAAAACTAAATCTATGGTCGTAATTATTGATTCCAAAATGGTTCTCCAAAAATCATCGGAATCAAGGGAATACAAATTCATTGATTTTATGGTAGATGATAAAAGAATATTTGTTCACCTGAATCCTTTACCTTAATACGATAGTAAAGGGGATCCAAAACTTGATCAATATTAGTAAATAGCTCATTTTCTATTTAAAGTTAATAGAGAAGAAAACAGTACCCTCATGATTTATTTGATTAAAATTCGAGTTAACATTCAGAATGGCACAAATAATTTGAATATAAATATAATTATGAAAAGTGAACATTAAATATTATCATTGACTAAAAGAGAAGAATTTTGATTTTCAATTAAAAAGAAGATATTAAAAGATCTTTCAATCATAAATATTAATGACAAATAATTATTGTTAATAAATTATTTCTTACTGCACAAGTTCCAGATAACTACTCAATTTAAATATTATGAATTATTATTTGTACTAAATATAGAGGAATATGAAGGGCCTTTTTTAAAAATTGATAAAAATTAGTCAAAAGACAAATCTTAGCTCAATAATTTTTGAGATTAATGACAGGAATCTTTTGCAGCAATCTAACTTAAAACTAAAATTTAATCAATTTTACACCTAAGAGAATATGAAAGCAATTCTCTGAATTTTTTCTATAGGAATTCCTTTATAACTTTAATCATAGAATAATTAATGTTATTCATCTTAAACAATTATATTATGAAAATTTGTTATTTTTTGATCCTATAGTTTTCAATTTTAGTATAAATCTGTAAATTCATTTATTGAGATTATTCAAATTCTTCAAATTAATCATATCAAAATAAAGAGCTCTCATTTTCTTTAAATCTAAAAAATTGTTATTCACCTCATATGGGTTAATAAATAAGATTCTAAAAATGTTACTTTTTTAATTATGCATTTAGAATCATAATTTTAATCAACAGAACCTAATCACTCAAACTATTCAAGATGTTAGAATAAAGAACCAATTTTATTTTAGTTAATTTTATATCATTTTTATAAAGCAAATCCACCTCCCACAAATTTTTTCTCTGGTAAAATTACCTAAATTGATTATCCTTATTCTTCCTATATACGAAGATCTCTTTGTTATTATTCTCTCTTCTTTTAATTAAAGTATTTCTACTTTACTCTTTATAATTCCTTAAATATTTATTATATTATTACCTTATTGATTCTATCTATTTCTAATTTATATTCATTAATGTGTGACTAATACATACTTAATTCTTAATCCATAGCTTTCATCTATTCTTCCTTCTACCTAAGACTATCCTAATAATAGGGTATCATTGCTTAATCTTCAAGTCCAGGCTTTCTTTTCATTTCATCTTTCAAGGCCTTCAATTCTTTTTCTTTCTCTTCTACAACTTTTTCTTTAATTAAAACTTCTTCTGTTTTTTAAATAAGTCTTTTTTAAAGACTATGAATCTTAGTCATTAATTCATAATTTTCAGAATCTGTTGCTTCTAACTTTCTCCATCTATGAACATTCATTGGATTTTCTAATTCTTCAGTTAATGCCTTAGCTTTCAATTTCTCTTCTGTTAATTCTTTAGTAAGATTATGAATATCTCCCTCTAAATCTTTAATAGTGTCAGCTTCCCTTTTAAATACTTTAATCTCTCTTTTGTAATCTGCAATTTTTTCTTTTAACATTTAAATATCTCCTAATCTCTCTCGATATTATTACTCTCCTTTCTTAAGAGTACTTTCATTAATTTTAATTTTTTCATAAAGTAGATTAGTTTCTGATATTCTTCTTATCAATTATGTACTTAATATATCTCTTTCAGCCACTACTAATTCAAATTCCTCTTTTAGATTTTAAATCTATTATTCTTCATCTTTTATTGTGAATTACAATTTATCAACTCTCTTTATATATTTATTTATTTTTTCTGCTTTTTCATCTATATCTGTTTTATATTTTTCCAATACCCTTGATTATTCTTCAATTGTTTTATCTTTTTTTTTATGTTCTAAATGTTCTTTTGCTAATGCATTTCCCTTAGCTTCTATTTCCTCTTTTAATTAAGAAATTTAATGATTTACAATTTTATAACTTCTTCTCATTTTTTCAATTTCTTATTATTTTTCTGTATAATTTTTTGAATAAAGATTTCTATCACTTCTAACAGTTTCATACAAATTTTGTTATTATTTTAATTTAGCTTCAGTTTCAATATTTTTTTTCTAGAATTCACTTATCAATGAATCTTTTAACTTAATTTCATCTAATGAATGAAAATACTTAGTTTATGCTTAAGAAAATTATAAACATTATTATTCTGTTTCTTTTTCAACATTTGCTATTTTTTTATTAAGATAATCTATCTTCTTTTATAAACCTCCTAATTCATTTTACTTTTCACTCAAATATTTTTATTTAGCTATAAAATCTTCTTCAATTTTTTTATTATTATTATCACATCTATCAATTTCTTTTTATAATATATTTCTAGCTCTTCTTAAATCTTCAATAATTTATCTATCTTCTGAAGCTTATCTTCTTTCAAGTTAAATATCATCCTCTAATTAATTTAAACCATTATTCGCTAATTGCTTTTCTTCTTCAATCTTTTTTGCTAATTCTTCTTACTCCTTCACTAATTCAGTCATTCTTTTCTTTTTTTCTTCTCCTTCATTAATTTTTTGATGAAGTTGAGCTATTTCTGTTTCAAACAATTCAATCTATAATCTAGTATCCTTAATCTTTTCTTCTATTTATTCATTTATTTTTTCAACAGAATCTAATTTTTCTTTAGTATCTCTTAATTCCTTATCTACTCTATTTTTTTCTTATTTAAAATTTTCTATTTCTTTTGTTTTAACACTATTTTATAAAGTGACTTTTTCAATCTCACTTTTAATTTTCTTTCTCTCATTACCTAATTATTTTTCATCTTCTTTTAATGAATCAAAATCTTTTTTAATTTTTTCTAATTCTGCTTAAGTTATATTTTTAGCATCTTCATCTTTTTATAATCTCTCTTCAAATTCAGCTTTCTTAGTTTATAACTCTTTATATTCTTTAGATACAGATTCTTTAGAAGCCTCAAGTAATTTTATTCGATCCTAAATTGATTAATTTTCAGATCTAGTACCAGTAACTTAAATTACTAAGATTTCCTTTTCTTTCAATAACTCCTATTTTCTTTACAACAATTCATGAACTGTAGTTGTCTAACCTGAATTTAGAGCTTTACTTTATTCAATTGTTTGATTAAGTTACCTATATAGTTACATAAATATACTTGATTTCATTTTCCTAGATTTTAATCTTTTATTTATGCTTTTCCTCTCTCTCTTATTGAATTTCCAATACTTTATATGCTTTTTCTAATTGAGTCTTCAATTATTAAATAGCAGCAGAATCATCAGCAGTCATTTTTAAAACAGTTTGAATCTATAATCATAATAAGTATATACTTTTGATGCATTTTAAGATATTTCTGCATTATACTCTCTACATTTGCTAATTAAACGTCTTTGATTCTCATGGATGATTTTAAGAGAACGATAAAGTTTGTCAAATTCAGATCGAAATCTTTCCAAGTTTTAATCAGTGCCTAAATCACGTAAAACCTCTTAAAAGTCTCTCTCCATAGTATCAAATTGACCTGTATCAATATCTAGATCCCCTTAGTTTTGCATTAATAAAAAATATTTATATATAAATGTAAATTCGTTAACCAACACGATACCCAATAGTACCTCAAATCTAAAATTTAAACTAATACGGTCCTTTTGTCTCACCTACATAAAGGACATCTTAAATTTAAAGAATTGGAACTCCAAATACATTACGTTTTGATTACTAGAGATTAAGAAATACTTAATCAATGCAACAATATCCAATAATCAAACAAACTTCAGTGGTCACTCCATAAAAAGCTGCCACTAAAAAACCTCATATCAAAATGCCTTAATCTGGATAAACTGTTTCACAATCATAGACACCCTCTTATGATCCTGCCCTTATGGTTGGACTTATCAAAGAGAATCAAGAAATCAAAGCAAAAATTGCTTAGAAAGAGAAAGAGCTTTAATTACTTAATGAAGAAATTGCTTTGTATGAATAAAAATCATGATATATATTAAAATATTTAATGGCTGAATAGGTGTAAATGTTATAGAGTAAGATTGAAGATGAGTCCAAACTTCTTTAGACTTTATAAAGAGAAATGTAAAAGTATGTTGAAGGTATAAACTCCTACTCTAATTAAAGGCAGACAAAAACTTATTGAGTAATCTCATGAAAATGAAATGGTCAAAAAAGAACTTGATTTACTTGAACCAGATGCTAAAGTATACAAACTCATTGCAAGTGTTTTGGTAAACAATCTTTGCGTTATCTTTCAAAGGTTCAATAAACACTTCAGGAGTCCAAAGAGAATGTAAGTAAAAGATTAGATTTCATTGGAAAAGAATTCAAAAAAGTAGAGGACTTAATTAAAGAAAATACAAACAAACAAATTACCAAGAAAACATCAGTCTAAAAAATGCAAGAATAACTTTATCAAATTGTCTAAGCTTATTAACAATCATTAAATAAGTGAAAATGTAAAATTTGTTCTAAATACATATATATAATTTAAAATAAATGCACATTATATTATTTATGCTTAAACCAAAAACTAGAATAACAATATTATTTTTATTTATATGTTACTAAAGAAAGTTGACAAAAAAATTCTTTTTATATTGATGTAAGTTAAAGATGATAAAAACATCTTTATTTAATTTAGTAGAAGATTTTATAATGAGTATAAAAAAGTTTATTTGATAAAGTATTTTGAAATAATATTAAATTTAATTCAATATAAGTTAAAGAATTTGTATATTATGAAGATAATTTTTTGATAATAATAAATTAGATAGTAAATTAAATTTAAGATTGTATAAATAACTAATCAAGAATAAAATTAGAACATAAAAACTTTTAATAATTTTAAGTTTTAAAATATAAAGGGAATGAATATTGATTAATTTATAAAACTTGAATTTACTTCAATTAAATGACATTAAAATATTTTTGAATAATTTTGATGTTGAAAAATAAAGTTAAATGAAAATAAGAATGATTCACATAGAAATAAAAAAACAATAATAGAAATATGGTGGAGTGAGTATAATAATTTATTTGAACTTATTTAAATAAATTTAATATATGTCGAAAAGTGATTAAACGAAAGTGGCATTAGTTTGTTTGAAAACATCTTAAAACATAACAAATTAATCATTGCTTTAAGTATTTGGGAAGCATGGTAAAATCACAAAGGTATGAGAAAGTTTTAATTGTCATAGATTTTGATCTTTGAATAAGGTCCTATGCAGACAAAAGTGTTTATTGAATATGAAGAGCCTGATTAAGCCTAAGATGCAATAAAGTAGGGAATTAAATAGATTTAGCTGTTTAAACAATACAAAAGTGATGAATAATATAATTTGCAATGTTTATCCTTCTAGGTTAAGGGAACTGAAATTGGACAACGTGCCAAACACAAAAGGAATGGATTTGACTTAGAAGTTACCTTTCAGTATGCCATCCTTATGGGATTTGAATGTGAATGAAGATGAATGTGCATAATAAGTATCAGAAGAGAGACAGGTTGATATTAGAAAGAGGCTGAGTATGATTGATGATGAGATAAGCAGAACAATAGAGAGCAAATTAGACAATGCTCTAATAAAGTTATATCAGCAGACAAAATGCTTAAGGGTTTTGATGGGAGATTATCGATTAGAAGAGATCTTGCATAGGACTAGCAAATATGGCAAAATAGTACAGCTGCTGCCACTCCATTAATTTAGGTTTACCTGAAGCAGGCATAATAGGAAGTGTACGTGAAGTATGACTCAGATAAGGAGTGCTAATAAGCCTATGAGGAGCTCAAAGACCAAATGATTGTGCAGATCAAGTACAATTTCGAGAGCATCCCTGGCTACGTGATGATGAACTCAAATTGCTGAAACATCCTCTCTCAATTTATAATTTAATTAATTTAATGTGGCTGCATCCTGAAACTATGATTAAACTTGGTAACGAATTCTTTCAAAAGAAGGAATTTGATTAAGCTATCAATTGGTATCAACAGTCTATAAATAAAAATACACAATTTGTAGAAGGATACTACAATTTAGGATTGGTTTATATGTACCGTAAGAAGTTTGAAGATGCTATCAATTACTTTAAACAATCCTTAGATTTAAGACCAAGTTTTCCTGAAGCTTTATGTAGTATGGGAATTGCATTGTACAATCTTAATTAAGTATTTATTTCAATGCTATATTTACTAGTATGATAAAGCTCTAAACTATTTAGATTAGGCTCTAAAGCATCGATAGTCTTATCCAAATCCACTTAAATATAAAGGAGATACTATAAGAAAGATGGGTAATTTACAAGAGGCAGTCAATTAGTATAAATAAGCAATATAACTAAAGGTAACTGTTTTGCTTAATCTACCAACTAGCCTGACTTTTACCAAGCTCATAAAGCTCTTGGTGATACCTATCGGAAATTGAAAGAATATAAATTGTCAATCTAATCCTATGATAATGCATTAGAATATAATTAAAAATATGCAGAAGTTTTCAAAAAGAAAGCTGATTCTTTAAGGAATATGGGTATTTTTGAGGAATCATTGCAGAATTATACAAAAGCTATAGAAATTAGGCCAAGTTATCCTAAAGCTTACAATGATGCAGGATTGCTATTCATTTAGAATGGCAAGTACAAAGATGGTGTAGAATACTTTTAGAAGGCTGTGTAATAGAAATAAGATTATAAAGACGCTTATAATAATTTAGGTGTGTGTTATTATCATCTTTTGTAATATTAAGATGCTATTGCATAATTTGATACAGCACTTTAAATATAAGTTGGTTTTCCAATTCCAATGCTGAATAAGGCATCAACATTATTAAGAATGAAAAAGTATGATGAAGCTAATAAATGCTTTGATTAAGTAATGAAACATCAACCAAAGAATGTATAAGTTTTATTGGGTAAAGGAATATCGTTATATGAAACTAAGAAATATGAATAGGCTGCATTATTATTGAGCTAAGCATATGATATAGATGCAAATAATTTTGAAGTAGTTTTTAATTATGGAGTATGCAACTTTTAATTGAAAAAATATAAAGAAGCCTTGTAATTATTATAGGAGGCATAACAATTAAGGGAGACTTTGGAAGGTCATTTTAATTAGGCAATATGTTCATTATATTTAAAAGATTATGAATATTCAAAAAAAGAAATTGAGATGTATATATAACATTAAGAAGATGATATGGAGGCTAAAGCAGTATAGGGTATTGTAGAGTATTATCTTAATAATTTTGCTTTTGCTTAAGAGTGTTTTTAGGAGGTATTATAGAGACAAGAAAATCAAGTTGTTCATAACAATTTAGGTGTTATCTTATTGCTTAATCAATAATTTGATGAAGCCTTGAAACACTTTAATGCATCAGTATCAGGCAAAGGAGATTATGCTGATGGATTATATAATAAAGGAGTTGCTTTGTGTAATCTTAATTAATATGAGGATGCTATTCGATAATTTAATAAAGCAATATAATTGAAACCTAAAAATGAGTGTAAATTTGCATTCATCAATCGAGGTATTTGCTTAAAAAATCTAAAAAAATTTAATGAAGCTATTTAAAATTATGATGAGGCTATTCAACTTAGTTAAGGTACAGATGTAGAAGATATCTACTATTTTAAAGGAAATTGTTTATTAGAATTGAATAAGTATGAAGATGCTATACAATTGTATGATCAAGCGATATAATTGGAAAGTGTTTATAGTTCATCAGCCAATTTCTAAAAAGGTATTGCATACACTAATCTTAAACACTTTGATGATGCTATTCAATCATATTAACATGCTATTGAATAGAACTCTTAGAATTCATGGGCATATTTCAATTTAGGTATCACTTATTATAATCTTGAAAATTATGAATAAGCTTTAATTCAATTCACAAGATCATTTGATTTGTAACCAACTTTTAAAGATGCTGTATTTAATGAGGCAGCTGCTTATATTAAATTGAAAAGATATGCTGAAGCCATTAATAGTTTAGATAAATATAATAAATTAGAAAGTAATGACTATGAGAGTTTCTTCTTAAAAGGTTGTTTATTAAAATCTCTAATGAAATACGAAGAAGCTCTTGAATGCTTTTCAAAAGCTGTTTAATAAAAACCTAATTTTTTTGAAGGATAATTCAATAAAGGAGTTGCATAACTTGAGAGCGGATTATCAAAAGATGCTGTAATTACATTTGATGCTGCTTTCAAGTTAAAATCAGATTCAGAAAAATCCCTCAATAATAAAGCTGTTTCCTTACTTAATTTAAGCAAACCTGAAGAAGCTATCAAAGAATTAGAAAAGGCAATCAAATTAAGTCCTAATAATCCTACTTTATTAAACAATAAAGCAGTCACTTTAATCGATCTAAAAAGATAAGATGAAGCTATAATAATCCTTGATGAAGTTATTAATATTGATGCGACTTTCTTTAAAGCATACAATAATAAAGGAACCATCTACTTTAATCAAAAGAATTTCGTTCAAGCTTAATAATATTTTTCTAAAGCCATAGAGATCAATCCTCAATATGATTCGGCAAGAATTAATTTAAGTATTACATTTTAAGAAATGGGAGAACATTAGTAGGCAGTCCAATAATGTGAATTAATATCAAATCAATAATGGTTAAACAGTAATTCTGAAGCATTGATAGCTTTTGCTACTGCTTTAAGAAATTGTGATAGATTTGAAGAAGCCAGATAAAGATATGAGATGTCTTTATAATTAAATCCTAGACATTCTTAAGCCTAAAATGGTTTAGGAATTGTATATTCAAATATTGGTCAATATGAAGATGCTTTAAAATGCTATGATTAAGCTATTAATCTGAATAATAGATATCCCGAAGCCTTAAATAACAAAGGTGTTGCACTTTATCTTATGGGTAGATATGATGAATCTGTTTAAATGTTATAGTAATCTCTAAAATTAGAAGTCAAAAATGCTTAAACACTTAATAATTTAGGAGCTTCTTTGTTTTATTTAAAAAGATATGATGAAGCTAATAAAATATTTGATTAAGCTATTCAATAAAATGATCAATTAATGGAAGCGCTTGTCAATAAAGCTAATGTACTTATTGCTTAAGAAAATTTGGCTGAAGCGAATAAACTTTTATAGAAAGCAAGTCAAATTAAAAATTCACCATATATTCACAATGCTTATGGAATAATAGCTTAGAAATAAAAATAAAATGATAAAGCAATATAATCTTATTAAATGGCACTTCAATTACTACCAACCTTTCCTCAATGTTTATCTAATCAAGCTACACTTTTGATTGAAACTGAGAAATATTCATAAGCTCTGGATTTACTTAAATAAGCTTTAAAGGCTGATTAAAATAATGCAGAAGCTCATAATAATCTAGGTGTATTATATTATAAACAGAATAAACTTGAATTATCTTAAAATGAATATATGGAAGCTATTAAATTAAAAGTTCATAATCCTGAAGCTCATTCTAATTAAGGAGTCATTTTCTGTGCAAAATAGGATTTTTCTCAAGCTTTATAATGTTTTGATGAAGCCATCAAATTAAAAAGTGATTTTGTTAAAGCTTATCATAATAAGGGAACTACCCTAAATGAAAAAGAAAACTTTAAGGAGGCCGTTGAAATTTATGACAAAGCTATTAAGGCTAAAACTCAAGATCCAGAGACCTATTATAACAAGAGTATTGCTTTATAAGGATTGGAATAATTTGATGATGCTCTTAATGCCTTAGAATAAGCTTATAAATTAGCTCCAGAAATGGCTCTATTATATGTTGAAAAAGTATTATTTTTCACATTAATTTTAGGGAACTCTCATGTATAGAAAAGGAAAGGTTGATGAAGCTATTAAAAATTATGATCTTGCTATTCAATTATAACCTAATTGTGCTGAAGCTTACTACAATAAAGGATGTGCATTAGAAAATTAAGGGAAAATTGATGAATCTAATAAAAATTATGAAAAAGCTTTTCAAATAAAACCAACTTTAGTAGAAAAGAAAAAATGATAATATACAATTATTATTATTTTATATTATTATTATTAATAATATGTCAAATGATTTTGAGATTAAACGATCTGGACTCTCTATCTCAACTTCATCCTTTGATGCCTTTTGTGAAGAATTATCAAAGAATGATAATAAATTAGAAAGTCATCCATTAAGAGGATGGATGAAAAAAAAGAGTCCCGCTCTCTTAAAAGGATGGTAAAAGAGATATTTTATGTTAATTGAAAATCCTTAAGATAAAAGTTGGAAATTAGTTTATTTTGATAATGATGTATAAAAAACTAAAATTGTGAATGTAGAAATCTAATACAAAACCCAATGGTGCATTTGATCTTTAAGCTATCACTTCTATTTAATAAGTATCTAAAAAAGAATTCACCATTAATTTCCCAGGAAGAAAATTAGAACTTAAAGTTAAACCTCAAGACACTTACCAAAAGTGGGTTAATACTCTGAATGAACTTCGATTAAAAAATAATCTAGAAAGAACTAAACGATAAGTTAGCATTGATTAAGTTCTTAATATATCAAATGATAGTCCTATAAAGAGTATCTATTTATTTTATTTTGTAGTAACTTCAAATCATAAAATTGTTGATAATATTACTGTTTAGTAAGCCTAAGCATAAAAGGAGAAATAATCTAATTCTATATCTATTGAACCGCAAAAAGATAATAAGAAGAAGTAAGATAAAGAAAAACTAAATCAATTATCGAATGAAAAAATGATTGAGTTATGTGGATTGAAAGAATTCATAAAGAATATGAATGAATAGTTTATTTATCAAAGAATGATTTATGGATATTTAGGTAAGAGAAGCAAAGGTAAAGTTAAATATTTTCAAAAAAGATGGTTCATTTTAGTATCTGCTAAACCTTTGGTATTATTTAGTTTTTATTATATTAAAGTATTAAGAATACAATGATGAAAAGATCTTAACAGAAGCATAATTACCTACATGGTTGGAATTAGATACAATTACTTATTTTAAAGAAAAAGAAGAAGGCAAACCTCCAGAAGCAAAGGGAGATGTTCGTATGATTGATTGTTAAGAGATAATCATAAAAGATATGTCTAAATCAAAAGAAAGTGGGTTTACTTTTAAATTAAATATGGGGGATAGATTATATCATTTAATGGCAGATAGTGAATAAGAACGTATGAAATGGATATCAGCTTTGAATCTATCAATAAAAACAACAAAGGAAATTCAGAATCTATTAAAAATAAAAATAAAAAAGAATATAGATCCTATAATTAAATTATATGATGAAGAACATCAATTGATGATAAGAAGAGAAAAGATAAGACAAAAATTAGAGTAGGATATTTCTTAAATATTGGTTCAGAATGATTAAAATCTGACTATATTAGTAAAACAATTAAGTGAGTTACGATAAGACATGTTAGAATCAATGTAAGCATGTATAGTGAAAGATCCATAAAGAAAAGATATAATAAAAGAATATACTGATATTTATCACGAAAAGATTTGTGATAGAATCACAGTGTTTTGGGATGAACACTATAAATAAATGCAAGTATTTTATACTAAAATGAATTTAGTTACCTGAATTATTAATTTTAGCTTCGTGGCTAAACGATTACTTAAATTAGATGAAAGATTTCTTTAATGATGATAGGATCATTTTTGGAATAAGAGTGCTCTTTAATATTTATGTTAATAGATAACTTGAAAATTTAGAGTCAATATTAAATTCAATCATAGAACAAGAAAAAACATAAGAACCTACTTGTAATGATCAATAACTATTGATTACTTAAACTCCTGTAGATTTATTTAAAATTATAAATGAAGGATTTGATATGGCATATAAATTATGTCCTTGTAAAGAGATTAGCTTGAAACTTGCTGGATTTGGTAAAACTATATTGTAATAATATTAATATGGAATTCAAGAGATGATTGATGAAATACAATTATAAATACCAAAATTAATTGCCATTTGTAATAATACATTAGCCTTGCATGACAATACTAAGAATTATAGTAAAATACTTCAATAAGGTGGTAATTTGAATGAAGAAGAGATTGATAAAATATTTGATTCTTAGAAGATCACCAAAAATTTTGTTTAAATAGCCAATACTTGTAGAGATAAAATATTTTACTTTTATTTCAGTCGTATTGGAATGCATTTCAAAAAATCCTTTCTCGAATTATAAATAATTGATATTCTCAAAATTATAATTGAACCAGCAACTGAAACTCTATATTAATTACATGATAGTTTTAGTAGAAAATTATGGAAATAACTCCTGGATTAAATAGTTCTATATTATTTTAATTAATTTATTATTTCTTGTGGAAAAGCTAAGAAAGAGAATTAAAAAGAATTTAATACTAAATTAGAAAATGATAAAATTATTTTAATATAGGAATTAGAAACTTTCATTTTCGAAAAATAGTTGCTTGCCTCATTAAAACCATTTGATGATATGATTAATTTTATGAATGAAGAATCTCTTAGTATTTTGGATCCATGTAAAAATTTGAGGATGTATTTTGGAAGAGCATTTACTGAAAAAACAATAAAATCTATAATGTGTATTCGATTTGATTTAGATAAAGAAAAAAAGAAAGACACAATAGAATTCTGTAAAAATTTAATTGATGATATAAACAAAAATGAACCAGTAGAAAATTAGAATAGAATAATGGAAGTATTAGGTTAAGAAGAAGATGAAATATCTCAATAAAGTTTAAATCAATAATTTCAATAGAATTAATAATAAGAAAATAGAAGAGCAGATATATTTTTAGATTTTCGTAATGATGATTAATTATTGGTAATTTTTATATATTTAAATTAGATACCTGAATAATAAGAGAAACGAAGCTCTGTAGAAAAAAAAGAATTTATAGATGAAGGTTATTTAAATAAGAAAAAACCAAAATAGAAAGGTTGGGATTACAGATATGTGAGAATAAGAAAAGGTTAAATGTATTGGTATATTAATGCAAATTCAAGAGAAGCATAAAATAAAATAAATCTATAAAATATAGATGAAGTAATAGCAAATACAAAAAAACCAGCTAATTTTAAGATTTAGTTAGAAGATCAAAAAATATATAAATTTAAGACATAAAGTAAAGAGGAATGTGAATTATGGATAAAATCAATTTTAAAAGAGTAGAATTAATTAGATTAATCTTTACTAATAATAGAAGCAATAGTATATAAATTTAATAATTAGAAAATTGGAAATGGGAAGAAGGCAATAATATAAGATTATGATGAAATAGCTAGGAAAGAACGTCAATTATAAAAGCAAGAGGAAAGAAAAAGAAAGAGACTAGAGAGAGAAAATGAGTATTTAAATTGCTTATATTATTTAGAATAAAAAGGAAACAGCAAGAAAAAAAGTTGTTATAACAATAACAACTAAAAGAGCTAGGAGATAAACCTAAACTTCATTAGGTTGAAGCATTTGAATAATAAATAGAATAATCAGTAATGAAATAGTAATATAATTAGGATAAGAATTAAAAGTAATCGACTTCTTGTTGGACTCAATTTTTAATAGCATTAGGAATTGAGAGACCAAAATGATATAAATAGTAACTATTCAAATAAACTCATGTTATCTTTGTTCAAACTACAATTACTATTATAGAAAATGTAATCTTTGCATTAATACTAATTCTTCTTGAATTAATTCCTCTATTACAGGATCTTTAAGTAAATTGATCTCAGGTTTATTTGCAGTTTCTTTCAATTCCGATTATAAGATAGAATTACTTTAACTATAACTTAATTGAGAATAAACTTCCATTTTCTTAATAGGTGTGACATATTCCATTGATGAATCTTCATTTATGAATTAAGGAAATTATGAAGTTGTTATTAATTCTAATTTTGGTTCTTCATTTAGAATTTCAATAGGTTTTTCAATCTTCTATGATTTTGGTGGTTTAAATGTATCTCTTATTCTCTTTACTTCATCTTTTATTGATTATTCTTTTTTAGGTGATGGTTCTTTTATTGGCAATATTATATTTTCTTCACTTATTTATGTTTCTAATTTAACATCTTTAATTTAAATTTCTTCTTTTTACTTCTTTGATTAATTTTATGGAATCTTCATTTTTATTTATTAGATAATGTCTTATTCTTTATGTTATTCTATTTTGATAGGTGAACTTTTCTTTTCAGGAGTTTATTTCTGAGGATTCTATGTTTTCATTTGTATTTTTTCAAGTATGCTATCTATTTCTTATATAATAGGTGTTGTATCAACTAATTTTGGAGATTAGAGAGGTGTTATGGATGTAGGTGATTATTATGATTGTAAAGTTTATTTTGAATTTACTATTTTAATAACTTGATCAGTCATTTAAGATGTTACTATTGATTATTATGGAGATACTATTGTTTCAACATTTATTTAATGATTTTTCATAAATTGACTCAAGAAATCCAAATTTTCTTTACGCTTGTTTTTTGTATAATCTAAAAATTCAGATGACATTAAAAAATTAATATACAAAAATAATAAAATCATCATTTAAAATATATGTATATATTTATTATTACTCATTATAAGTACAAGTCAAAATGTTTTTGTTTGTTGTCTTTTTTATAAATTTCTATTTATGAAAAAAATTGATTCAAAATTTTGTTCTAACTCATTATCTATAACTTCTCGAATTTATAAATTAATATGTCTCATGAAAAGACTTTATTATTATTTTTTCATTTGCATTTAATATAATGAGGTTTGATATTTTAGGAATTACTTTAATTTATTATAAACAATTTTTAATTAGATTTAAAGAATATATACAAATACATGAATAATGGATAAGGGTTCTTTGATGTAAAATATTTAATTTTCTACGGTGAATATGTAGATGTTCCACAATTCCACTTTATGTTTCTTATCTATTAATATTTATTACATTAAAAATCTAAATTTATAAAATGTATTATTAATTTATACATTATACCTTTCTTTCATAAGCATTTTCAAAAGAGCTAAATTAATTGTGAAGTTATGACAAAATATCCAAGAAAATTGGTTTTTTAGATGGAGTCCAATATTTCTGAATTGTATGTTGCTTAATAATGTTAAAAAAATTGTTAAATTATTTCTTTTAATGTGAAAATATCTTTTCTTTATCTCTTCTAATAAATACTATATAAAGATTAAATTGGTCTTAAACAATATTTTGTTATCTTCATCTCTAGTCATAATTATTTCCAAAAAGTGACTTTATTGTTAAATAATAATTTTATAAAATGGAATAGAAATGGGAGATGTAATATATTCTAATAAACTTGATAGTCTAAGAACGTTGAGTACAAAAATAAAAAAAATACTAAACAAAGCCTAAGATTAATTTTAAGAGAGACATTCAAATATACAACAAGGTTACATTACAGACTTAAGATAATATTGTAGGATTGTTACTGCTTGTGAAGAACAATTTATTCTAAATTTGAGTGATTATAACTTAGAATTTATTGGGGATCTTGTAAAAGTAAACAATTGTTATTTATTTAAACAGACTTTGTCTGGATTTCATTTACTATTGATCTCAAATCTCTTAAATTGGATATAACAATTTGAACTATTACTAACTCCTCATTCAGGGAATTTACCTTTCGAACATTTACTTGAATAAAGTCGATTACATAAGAATAGATTCAATAACATAAATGAAAGTGATGCTGCCAAACACATAAATGAATTGCATGATTCCATACAATCTCTTGCTTAAAATAATAGATAAATAATTGATAGTCATAATTCTGATATTCAAAATCCAAACTCTCTTGATGTCATAGATTCAGTAATTACACAATAACTTAGAGATAATATTAGAAGTAACTCTAAATCCAATTCAAGAATAATGTTATAAAAATTATTATCAAATCAAAAGAATAAAAAAGGTAGTATTGATTAGGAACAATAAACGATTTTAAATTTTTAAGATGTTGATTACATTGAACATTAAAACCAAGAATTAAGAATTCTTATCGATAGAACAATCAAATAATATGAAGATAAATTAAAATAATCTATAAACAAATACAAAGAAGCTAAACTTATTCTTAAGGCTCAAAAGATTGAACTCGAACATTAATCTACATTATTGGATGCATAAAATGAATTATTTAAATAATATTAAGATAAAAAACCACAGCAAACTCTAACTCATTTTATTCAGGTTCCAACTATTGCTGATAAAAATAAAAAGTTATAAATTGAAAGATAATCAAAATTTTTATTTACTAATATGAAATTAAGATCTTCATCTCTTCCTAGAATAGATGGAAAAGATGAAACACTTATGAGAAATTCATTTACTAAAATTGGGGTTTAGTTGTCCAAAAATTTAATTCCAACTTAAGATGTAGTTGAGAATTTTAAGAAATATTAATAATCACATGAATTTAAAGAAAAAATTACTAAAGTTTGTCTCTAAGTCTAAGTTAAAGTACCAGCAGATGAATTATTAAATGAGTCAATCTCTCAGGAAAATAGAGTGATGATATTCTCAAAATTATGTTAAATTCTCAAAGAAAAGCATTAATTATGTTTTCCTTAATGTGATCATTTAAATTTTTTAAATTGAAATTAAAATAAATTCTTATAAATTTTTCAATAAATTAATATTTTTATTAAGCTATTTGTAAAAAATACAGCACCCTGATTAATTAGTCAAATTTTTATAATTTATCTATTAAATAATTGAAACTTTTTTAAAAAATTTTTTTTAAATATAAAAAAAAGTTAATGATTTTTGGAAAAATAAATTTTTAATTGATGATTATGAAATGATAGAATGATAGAAAGGAAAGAAAATTAATGAAAGATTGAAAAGCTTTAAGATAAGAGATTTAATTGAATTGTTATGATATATATAAAAATGAATAGTTTTGAAATTATTTATAAATTTTTTTGTATATAAAAATAGAATGCTTCAAATAAATAGCTTAAAAGATCGTTTAAAATGTAAGATAGAATTTAGTGAAGAGGAGGAGAAAGGAGAGATAATAAGTATGAGTAGTGTTGATGATGCTTTAAGATTTGAAGATAGGTATGAATAAAAAGAATTATTGGGTATTTTGTATATAAATTTAAAGGATAAGGAGCACATGCGGTAGTAAAATTGGCTAAAAAAAAGGAAACAAATGATTTGTTTGCTGTAAAAATAATGAGAATGAATAATGAAGAGGTTTACAATAATGTAAAAAGAACATTTAAAAATTCTCGTTGTTTAAGACATTAGAATATAATATAAGAATACGAACTCTATATAAATGAAAAATATTATACAGCAAGTTTGGTTATGGAATATTGTCCATATCCATCATTAGAATAAATCTTAAAGGATAGAGGGACATTAAAGGAAGATGAGGTTAGAATTATAATAAAATAATTACTTCTAGCAGTAGAACATATACATAGTAAAGGGATAAGTCATAGAGATATAAAACCAGATAATATATTAGTAAATGTAGAAGGGAATTGTGAATTAAAATTACTTGATTTTGGAGTGTCTAGAAGATTTCTATATAAAAATGAGCATCAAGAAATGTTAACGAAAACAGGAAATTTATATTATTGTGCACCTGAAATATATCATCAAAGTCATTATTCAAAAGAGATAGATTTATGGAGTATTGGTGTGATAATGTTTTAATGTTTAACAGGAGAATTACCTTTATAAAATGAAAATGCCAGTGATCATATATAATTATTAAATAAACCTGAATTATGGAATTTTAAAAATAGAATTAAAGGAGAGTCATTAAGTGCGTAAAATTTAATATCTCGATTTCTATAATAAGATCCAAGAAAAAGGATTGGATCATCAGATGCTTTAAATCATCCATTTATAGAAAAAAATAAGATATACATTACATTAGCTATGTTATCATCTACAAAAATGATTGATCCTGAAGATGATGAAATATTTTTAAATAGATGTTAGTCACTTTAAACTAGTTTATCAGTAAATCAAAAATAGACGATTCATCGAGCATTAAAAACACTTCATTTAGGTTAAGAATATTAATAAATTGTACTTGAAGATTTAATGTAAGAACTTGGTAATGTTCATATTATTTAAAGAAGAAATAGTGATAAATGTTCAGGATTCATTTAATTAGTTAATTCATTAGGAAATAGTTAAGGTGTTACTATTAGTAAAGTTGTTGATGTAAGCACCACCAATTAATGCAATCTTGGTATTGGTTCTGCTTAAAGTATTGGTATTATTATTTAAATTCATATATTTCATAGTATCTTCTGATCATTAAACATAAGATTATTTTGGAGAACTTGGTAATATTCAATCAAGTGTTAATTTAGAAAATAATGCTTAAGATATTCTAATTTAAACAGATATTAAAAAAAATAATATTGGCTCAATTATTAATCAAATTGGAGCTAAAATTGAATGTAGTATTGATATCAATGTAAATCTAACTGAAAGTTAATAAGATACTGGATTCAATAATAAATTTAATTAAATCATATCTGCTCTTGATGTCTTAGGCATTAAAGAATGTGATGAGACAATCGAAGATTAATCATGAAATGTATTATAACTTCATTCTTCTTTATTATTTCAATTACTTAAATTTATCTATTTTTATTCATATAAATATACTTTCAATAGAATACTCCCAATTGTTATCTCAAGTGAAAAAATGATATTTAAAAAAAATTATAAAATATCAAATGGATTTCAAAACTCGCTTTTAAGGAAGAACATCTACTATGGATAAAAATGGTATTCTTGGGATTGTCTAAAGTACATCTTAGCCAATCAAAAAATAAATTGATTCTTAATGTCTAAAACTAAATACAAATACAGATCTAATTGCATAATCATACTTTTTTCAGAAATTCTAAAAAAATGCTGAAGCTATTTTATAATAACCAACAGACTTTGAAACAACCCTATCATCACCTTCTGGATATCCATCATTTAGATTTCTATAAGATCTTTAAAAAATCAATTTAGATCAATATAAAATTATTGCCATTCCAAAAAAAGCTTAGGATGAGGATAAAAACTTATTAACTCATTCATTTGTACCTCTTTTAAAAAATACTACTAATAATCATCCCTTTTAAAATTCTTAAATATCCTCACTGAACATAAAAAACAACCCTCATCAAAATTTTATTCCTAAAATTAAGAATTTGAATCTTAATAATAATAAGAATCTATTTATTTCAGCTGGATATGGAGCACTTAATTAAAAGAAATTAAATTTTTTGACAGACAGAAAAATGAATACATAATTAAAATGATTTTAATATTTCTAACTTAAAAACTTTTATCGCTATATTTAAATTTATTTTAAGATTCAATTATTTGGATCTTTTAAGCACTAAGATTATAAATCAATGTATTTTAAAAATTATATCACTTGAAGAAATTAGTTTACATAATTTATATCACAAATATAATTTATGTTAAGAAAATTGCTTCGATTCCAATTCTGTACTCTACAAGATCAAATAAAAAAACAATAGAATTCTTATAGCAATATCACAGATAAAATTATATAATATGTTGGTAGAGATTTACATAAAATTCCATCACATCCTTTAGGGATAATAAAGAATAGAATCGAAACATTTTTTTGAAATGATGCTATAACAGAGAAGCAAAGTTAATATCCTATAAAGTACAAAATTATAGATAATCTTTCACCAATAGTTTCAATAAAGTAGGTAGTTATATAAAAAATAAGATAGAATTTTGATTCATTGTTAGTACCTCCAGATCATCCAAGTAGAAAAAAGAGTGACACTTATTATATAAATGAAAATATTTTATTAAGATGTCATACTTCAGCTCATTAAGTTGAATTAATAGAAAAAAATGTTGATGCTTTTGTTGTAGTAGGTGATGTTTATAGAAGAGATGAAATAGATGCAACACATTATCCAGTATTTCATTAAGTAGAAATTGTTAGAATCTTTTAATAAGATTAATTCTCATCTAAATATTTACAACATTAAATTCAAGAATCTATGGATGATTTAAAAGAGACTTTAGAAAGATTAACAAGACATTTGTTTGGTGATGTATAAATGAGATGGGTTGAAACAACATTTCCATTTACTAATCCATCTATGGAACTTGAAATCTATTTTTAAGATAAATGGTTAGAAGTTCTAGGTTGTGGTGTTATTCATCAAGATTTAATGAAAAATTGTTAAGTATTTATTTCTATCAATACAGAGATTAACTGAAGTTGGATGGGCAGCTGGCTTAGGATTAAAAAGATTAGCTTTACTTTTATTCTAAATACCTGACATACGTCTATTCTGGTAGTAAGATCCAAGATTTCTCGATCAATTTAAAGCTGGATAAATAAATAAATTTTAACCCTTTAGCAAATATCCAAGTTGTTATAAAGATGTTTCTTTTTATGTTGATCATAAAACATGGGAAGAAAATGATTTACATTCAATCATAAGAGATATTGGAGGAGATTTAATAGGAAAAGTAGAATGTGTAGATACTTTTTATAATTAAAAAAAGGATCTTACAAGCAAATGCTATAGAATTCATTATAGAAGTTTAGAAAGAACACTTTAAAATGAAGAAATAGATGTTTTATAATTTAAAATAAGAGATTAAATTAGAGATCTTTTAAAACTAGATTTAAGATGAGAAATATTATATATATTTCTTAATCTTAATTATTAAAACATTTTAATGTAATCTATAACTCTAATGATTAAAACAAATATTTACTATAGAAATTTCTTTATATTATTTTATTTAATAAATAATTTTAATATAATAAAATAAATAGAAAACTGTCTAAGCAGTCTGAAAATTATATAAATTTTCAACAAAATAAAGCCCAATAGATTCTATAAATTATTAATTCTTCTTTTAAAAATAATAATAAAAAAATTAAAGATTGATAGTAAAATTTCAATTTTTTTCCAGCCCTTAAAATTTGATTTTCCTTTTAATTTAAATTAAATTAAATATCTACACCTTATATTGTTTATTAGATAAGATTTGTAAAGAGCAATTATTAAAATAATTCTGCATTCAAAATTTTCCTTAAACTCGGATCTAAGAAACAATTAAAAATTTTATTTAAGAGATTTATATTTTAGTTTAAAAAATGAATTCATAACTTGATGATGGTATAAGTATTTTCACTAATAAATAGTATTACATAAAACATAATTTACTAAAATTGCCAAAAACTCTCCAAAATTTGATCAAGATGAATGTCTAGAACCACCATCATTTTTTGAAAGTTTTTTTCTTGACAAATCTGGATAATCAAGCAAATAATAGATACATAATATTCAAGATCAAATTAATCGATTTTTATATGATAATTGCAATCAATGGGCTGATGTTAATGAGCCTACAAAGACTTAAAAAATATCACAAAACAAATCAATTCAAATTAAAAATTAGGAAATAAAATCTGCCACTTAAATTGCATTCTTTGTAAATTGTATGTTAACATTATGGAACAACATTTTTAATGCTTTTTTTGCTTTTTTATTTCCTTATATTGTCTTATTAGAAGGGGAGAAGAGTAATACTAATTTATGTTACTTTCTATTGTATTATATTTTCATCATTTCTTTAACTTACACAATGTGCTTATATATATAAATCAAGAATTCAGAAAAATAGTCTACTATTTGCTTGTTTGATCTGATAAATTATTTCACAATTATAAATATCTTTTTAATTGTGCTGCTATTGATCTTTATTATTTTAAATATCAAAATCTTAGCAATAATTTTGTCATTTTATTTTTTTTATGAAGGTTATAATCAGATTGAAATGTTATTTAAATTACTTGTAATTCAAAAAAGTAATAATTTATAATTTAATTTAGAAAAATAGTATAAATATATGGCCATTTTAAAGATTATAATTTATTATATTTATTTACTTCATCTCTTAACTTGCCTCATTTACTAAGATGATTTTTAACTTAATTATAGAGAGTTGCTATTAATAAACATAAATTTTTTCACTTTTCAAGTAAATTATTATACAATTGAATCAACTTCTAGTTTATCGATGATATTAAGTTAAATAGTTGGATTAATTATGCTATTTAAAACTATAGATACAATTATTTAGATTAGACTAAATAAAGTTGAAATATATATTAGACCTTATATAAATTTACATATTCTACATTATTATATATGGAATCATTAAGGAAAAATACTAGAAAAGTTAAAAATCTTTTCTTAGCTGGCAAACAGCAGGATAATAAAAAAATAAGTAATTAAAAAAAATATTGTAGATAAGTTAAAACATCATGAAAAACATTTTTCAATAGATTATTGTTGATTATTTGGAAATTTCTTAATTTTTCTCAACAAAATTTATTTTAAATTTATCAGAGCGAATAAAAGTTTTAAGAAAGATTTAAGAAATAGATCTCCATGTTAAAAGTGGATTGTATATGGTTTTAAGTGGAGAAGGTTTAATCAGTAATAAAAAGGAGGGATTAAAGTTATATGAATAAAATAAAATTGAGAAAGTGTTTGGACTGATTGATTGCTTTTAAAAGAATGTCTCAGATTAAAAATTAAGTAAGTTATATTATTAAATTAAGCATTTTATGGTGATATTTTAGTTTTGTATGTAAGTGAAGAAGATTTTAGGTCTTGTTTGAATTCAAGTTAGGATATAGTATAATATATGTTTAAATAATAAGGAAAAATTTCATATGATTAAAAATAAAATATAGTTTGAAGGAGATACATCCGATGTCAATTATAGATGTTTAATTTGTAAAGGATATCATTTGATGATGAAATGCTAAGTTTAAAAAGATGTTCAAAAATTAATATTAATGGATTATAATGTATAGAACGAGAGATAATAATGGAATAGACGAAAAATTCGTAAATAATATGCTTATGAAATTTATTTAGTAAATATTTTAATAATAATTGAAAGAAAAAGTTGAAGTAATAGATTAGTGTAACAGCTAGTTCAGAATGTGATAATAGTGAGGATAGTAGTGATAATGATAAATTTCAGATTTATTTGGATGATCTAAGTGAAAGTTAAAAATTTATAGAAAAAAATTTGTTTCTTGGAAATAGTAAAGGAACTATAACAATTCCAACAATTTCAAAGGAAGCGTATGGTGATTTCATTTCAGAAAAGATTTTGTTGGAATAATTAAAGTAAAGCCACAAATAAATTTCCATTTAACCATCATTAATATAACCTGGAAGTTAATAATTGGGAGATTGTTTTAGAGGAGATATTCGTAGTCAATAATTACATCCTTCTTTATATAAATTTTAAGATATTTTGGGAAGTGAAGCCATTGATTCAATAAAAGAGTATGTTTATTTCTATCCAGAGTTTAACATCAGCTCAATAATTTCATAATTACATAAGTGATTTTTAATATTTTTATTTTAATTACTAATTATTATTATGTAATAATAAAAGAAAACTTAAGCTCCAGCTGTTTTAAATAGAACAAGATCTCTTGGAAAGTAAGCATAATAGAAACCATAATAATAATAATAATAATAACAAATATAATAATAGCCAAAATAGGGATTTACTTAGATGCCAAGTTAAAAGTTGACTAGTATTAAAACAGTTGATCCTTTTTCTGATAAATCAAAATAAAAAACGTAGAATTAAATAATAATAAAAGAAATTCATTTGCTTATGTTTATAATGCAGGTGGTATTCCTTGTAGAGTTAACCATGGTTGTAATACAATGAAATTATAATGGAATTAAGGAGTTGAGATAGGGCATTTACCTTATGATCCATTAATGGTTACGTGTTTTGAAGGTTTGATTGAAGAAGCACATCCATATTGTTTTATTGCTACAAATGCAATAAAAGATATGCTTAATGAATAAGTTTAAATTTAAATTTTATAATGTTTTAGAATGCATAAGAAAAAGTCATACCTATATTACCTAAATTAGTTTGGCCTTTAAGAACTGCATTATCTAGTTAAAATGATAAAGTTTTTATGTCTTCTTTGGAAATTTTAAAGTAAAGTTTTTGTATAAATGATTTAAGATTACTCTCTAATAATATAGGTTCTCATCTTAACAGTCATCTTAAGAATCTCTTAGTTCCTCTAAGTAAAAGAATGGATAGAAAGAATCAGAAGGAGATTATATAAGATGTTTTGAGATAGATATAAGAAAATGGGGTAAAGATATTGTATCATATTTGAAGGGACCAGATACATTGAAATTGATCAAAGCAGCAATTCCTACTTATACAAATATGTGACAATTTTAATTTATATAAAATATATAATTTATATTCAGTTATGAAGACAGATGGTGGTCTTATATTAATTTAGAAATTTACATCAGAAGAGGATTGTTTGTTTTGTTAGAAATACGGAAGATTACAAATTGAGAAGATTAATTTTGCTCCACTTTTGAATAGAGTATATAAAATAGTAAAATAATTTACAGGCATTATATACTAAATATTCATAATCTTCAGGACGAGGTAAAAAATTCGAAGATTTCTTTTCAACTAAGTCAATTAAATGGGTTATAAAATTTAAAGATTAATTATGTTATGATTATTAAGAGGAATACTTAAAGAGGTATTTTAATAAGAATTTCAATTAATAGATATTATCCAAATAGAGATCAATAAAATAAATTTGATCAACTGTTGGAATATTATAAATATCATAAAGATATTCCTCGAATGTTCTTACCTTAAACATCAGAGTTAGCAATATATTTTTATGAGAAAAAGAAGTAAATAAAGTTGTATAATCTAATTTTAGATAATTAGAGTACAGAAAAATAAAAATGATGTTGGGTATTCCTATAGATGACTTTAGTAACTGTACAGGTATTAATTCTACAATGATTTAGAACATGAGTAATTAAAGGAAGAAATCAAAGTTCTCAATAGTATTACATAATAAACTTAAGTATCCTCAATATCTTTACTAAGAGATATGCTAAAATCCAAGGGAAATGATGAAATTATAGTAATTAATCTTTAATCTTTAGAACATTGATGCAACTTGGATAACAATGGTTAATAACTAATAGCCTAAAACTACATAACCATCAAATTTAAAATTACTTAAGTAATTGATCTCTAAAAATACTTAATTTTATAAAGATAAATAACATACATATGGTCCTGGATTAAGTAAAAGAACTATTTAGAATTCTCCTTAATAAAAAGTTCATCTAAAAACACTATCTAAAGATGCTTCTTAAAAGTCTTTAACATCTTCTCATAAACTCATTAATAATAGTAATGGAGATACTGAATTTTAGAAATTTTTAAAACAACAAATGGTTGCAATCAATAATTCAAATCCATGCAATTAAAATAGTGCTAAATAATAACCTAAACCTATATTATTATCAAGCTTTTAATCTAAATAAAATAGTATACATCATATTATTAGCACAAGAAGTATCTCCTCTGAATAGCTTAAATTAATATAATCATAATAAATAACAAAACACAATAATAATAATAATAATAATAATAATAATAATATCAATTAATAATCTAAACATTAAAAAAGTTAAACTTAAACTCATTATACTGAAGCCAGTTCTCCAATTAAACATAAAAAATAAGCCTCAAATAAATTATATACAAATATAGGAATAGATTTTAAATAAGCGTTAACTCAAACAAAATCTAATAATAAATTATTTAAAGTTTATACTTCGTAATCATCCATTCCTTTATCAGCAAATATCAATATAAACATTAATTAATTAAACATGAATAACCTCAATATCAAGTCTTCATTTTAATAATATAAGGCAATGCTCGAAAGTCCTAAAGTTTAATACAAAAAGAAAACCCAATCTAATGTTGAAACTTAAAAGGTCATTAATTGTAGTGCACAAAATAATGGTACTACTTCTTTAAAAAAAACATAAATCTCAGTTTAATAATTATATGCTTAAAAAATCAAATAAAAAAATAAGATTTAAAAAAAATGAATACTCTAATTTAATTTATATAAAATTTATATAAATTTAAATTGATTCTCTATGTATAATCATATCATAACTCTACCTAATTATAAAAGTTCAATATCATTTATTTAATATAAAGTTACTGGATATATATGACTATAATCAGTTGAACTTATAAATTACAGTTGATAACTTCGATAGGCATTTTCACATAATAAAATTTTACAAACTATATATACCTTTAAATATTTTCTGCTATTTGAACTTTTGAAATAAATGTCTCTATCGTTTCTTTTGAATATTTTTTTGTTGAGTAACAAAAATTCTTTGTTTTTATATGTACCAAAAATTTTTATTCTTTTCACTTAAAATTTATCAATTTCACTATTATAAAAATTTTAGTAATCAAATTAGCTCACTTTGATATGAACTAAAAACAAATTAGCAATCTAAGGTTTAATAAACTTTATTTTGAGACTTTCTGTTTTATGAAGTTAATAAAAATCTCTATTCATTGTAATTGAGAATTATGCTTCATCAATTAGAATTTTTGGATTCAAATGAAAACTCTATATTAAAAACAATAGATACTGATGATTGATGAATATCTACACTAACATTTTCAGGATATGAAAGTTTCTATATCATTAACTATTTATCATAGAATTTTGTTATTTTGTTTAAATTAGCATCACTTTGGTTAATATTATGATTATTAAATGCTTCTTAGTTAATTTTAGATTTAACTTGATTTGTTTTAGTATGTCTTATCATTTACACAATTATGAAAATGCTAAGTAACAAATGAAGTATAATCCTGATTTTCATTATATAAATTAGATCACTTCAAACTTTGTAAATATAACATTAAGAATATTATACTTATAAAAATGAAATAAAGAGAATATTAAAAATGTCAATAGTTCTTTCTAATTCTAATCTAAAAGTATTGATATGAAAGCTTATAGTTAAGTTGTAGTTAAAGATCATTTTTAAGAAAAAGTGGTGATTTGCATTTTGCTAATAAAATAATTTATATATATATCAGTAATATTATTTAAAATGGGATTATCAGAGTCAAAGAAAGAGATTAAAGGAAATATAACACTCTAATTAGAAAAAAAGAATTATTTTTGTGGTGAATTAATAACTGGAAGNAATGTTGAAACTTAAAAGGTCATTAATTGTAGTGCACAAAATAATGGTACTACTTCTTTAAAAAAAACATAAATCTCAGTTTAATAATTATATGCTTAAAAAATCAAATAAAAAAATAAGATTTAAAAAAAATGAATACTCTAATTTAATTTATATAAAATTTATATAAATTTAAATTGATTCTCTATGTATAATCATATCATAACTCTACCTAATTATAAAAGTTCAATATCATTTATTTAATATAAAGTTACTGGATATATATGACTATAATCAGTTGAACTTATAAATTACAGTTGATAACTTCGATAGGCATTTTCACATAATAAAATTTTACAAACTATATATACCTTTAAATATTTTCTGCTATTTGAACTTTTGAAATAAATGTCTCTATCGTTTCTTTTGAATATTTTTTTGTTGAGTAACAAAAATTCTTTGTTTTTATATGTACCAAAAATTTTTATTCTTTTCACTTAAAATTTATCAATTTCACTATTATAAAAATTTTAGTAATCAAATTAGCTCACTTTGATATGAACTAAAAACAAATTAGCAATCTAAGGTTTAATAAACTTTATTTTGAGACTTTCTGTTTTATGAAGTTAATAAAAATCTCTATTCATTGTAATTGAGAATTATGCTTCATCAATTAGAATTTTTGGATTCAAATGAAAACTCTATATTAAAAACAATAGATACTGATGATTGATGAATATCTACACTAACATTTTCAGGATATGAAAGTTTCTATATCATTAACTATTTATCATAGAATTTTGTTATTTTGTTTAAATTAGCATCACTTTGGTTAATATTATGATTATTAAATGCTTCTTAGTTAATTTTAGATTTAACTTGATTTGTTTTAGTATGTCTTATCATTTACACAATTATGAAAATGCTAAGTAACAAATGAAGTATAATCCTGATTTTCATTATATAAATTAGATCACTTCAAACTTTGTAAATATAACATTAAGAATATTATACTTATAAAAATGAAATAAAGAGAATATTAAAAATGTCAATAGTTCTTTCTAATTCTAATCTAAAAGTATTGATATGAAAGCTTATAGTTAAGTTGTAGTTAAAGATCATTTTTAAGAAAAAGTGGTGATTTGCATTTTGCTAATAAAATAATTTATATATATATCAGTAATATTATTTAAAATGGGATTATCAGAGTCAAAGAAAGAGATTAAAGGAAATATAACACTCTAATTAGAAAAAAAGAATTATTTTTGTGGTGAATTAATAACTGGAAGTGTTGATTATTCTGTAGAGGATTCTGAAATAAAAGCTTTTCTTTAACTTATATGTGTGGTAGAGAGATATGTCAGAAAGGAAAGGTTATATAGAGATGAGTCAATTGAATAGACTCTAATGTTGAGTTCACCAAATGAAAAAGGAAATTTAAGAAAACCCTTTTCAATTATAACTCCATAATTGTAGAGTATGGAATTTAATA